TGAATTACCCAGTTTAACATCCCTCTTATTATTGTTTGTTACTTTTTTCTGGATCCACTTCTACATTTAGTTTGAAACGGAATGTAATATTTCAATAAAGGTCTGGGTTCATGTGCAAAGATAATGAAGATAATTCCTGGCCGTGGCATGTCATTTTTCCACTCATACCTCCCTAATATTTTGCTGGCATTTTCACCATCTTGCAGCCTCAGATCTGGCTGGTTGCCCTGGGTCCTCTTCTGTGATTGTTTGTTTCTTTTTCTGAGGGTCTGTCCATCTTGTTCTTATCTCTCTCCCAGTCTGTTCACCTTTGCATCCACAGCATGTGGTACAGTTCTGGGCATACAGTAGGCACTCAGTAAATGTGGGGGAACTAGTTTGATGTGGCAAAGGAGTGGTACAGACACTAGGAGCTCAGAGGAGGGAAAGAGCAGATGGGGATTAGAAGAGTCAGAGAGATTCTTGAGGAAGTGATTTTTGGAATACTCCTTTAGGGAAGGAAGATGTTTGGATGGGCAGAGAGGATGGGAAAAGTGGTGCAGGAAGTTATGGTGAAGTCAAGATTTTCAGGCAGAGAGTAGAGCCCCAAAGGCAGAAGGGAGAGGGGTAGTGGGCAACAGGGAAAGAGCCCTCAGTTTAGATCAGGGTTAGTGCTGAATGTCCACTTCTCTTTTCATTTAAAGAACTCTGGTGATTTCCATCTCCGTGAATCAGAAAGAATGTGACAGCGTACAAAGAAGAGATTACCACTCTGACACTGATGGCTTTTACCACCAGCTTTAGCAGAATGTGGCACCACTCGGGAGCACCATAGTCTTAAAGCCCAGGTCTGGCCACCCCATTCTGGGTGCAGGCTATACAGATGGATGTAAATAAAGGTGAGAGAAATGCTCCACAGAGAGGCTGAAATTCACTGCAACCACAGTCCAGGGCAGAAATCAGGGTGCTGGTTGCCAGGTAGGTACCCAGCGGAACTGACCTGAAACAGAGGTCAGAGAGCTTCTTGTGACTCTTCATTGCTGAGATTGCAACCAGTCTTGTTAGAAAAACCAAAGACACAACTTCCTGAAAATTTTCATTAATGCAAAAATGGGTTTGTTTCTTTGGCAACAGAAGAGTCCACCGTGGGAAAGAGGTTTTCTCAGCACCTAAGCTGTCCTAAGTAACAACAAAAGCTGTCCTAGCACCTTGGACTCAATATGCAAAGACTTTGCAGTAGCCCTAGTTGGCCCAGCCCAACCCTGCCCTGGGGTACAGTTTTAGCTCAACCTGGCTTTTATCTGCATGAAGAGAGTGAAACACTTCTAAGGTTGAGAGAGGATAGACTGAATCACCATTTTAGAGAGATCACTTTGTTGAGGGGCAAAGCCAAGTGCATTTATCACATTCACATATCACATCTCCTATCGTTTTCTTTTCCTCTAAATGGAATCACCTTTCTACTTCTACCCAGTTATTTTAGACGGGAAGTCACTGTGTGTCTACCACATGAAGTCCCTCCTGCCTGAAGCCTAGTTTCTCCAGAAAGCAAATCTAGTTACAAAGCCCTAGATGACTGGGGATGTGAGTCCGGTGGTATAGGACAGGGGGATTTGACACAGGGAAGGAAGAAAGGCCAATACAAGGGTGCCTCACCATGCTGGCCTCTGCTTCAGGCAACTGGTACTCCATCTCACTGGGACCTTCTGGAAAGCGTCATGAAATGTTTCTCTCAACTCCCCATCTGGGTGATGAAAGTGGAAAGCAGTTATCCATCATCTTCCAGCCCCCTTGGATCAAGAGTAGCCCCATTGGTTCTAAGTCCCTCATATTTCCAAGTTGCACATGCTTGAGTGCAGACTTTCCAAGGGAATCTGAGGTGAAGGCAACAGAGAAGCCTCAAGTGCCAGAAGCAAACTGAGAAAGGTATGGGTCAGATAAAGTGCTGTCAGGTTCCACGAGTGCAAAAGAGATCCCCTGGACCAGTGTGGGTTGGCTGCTTACCCATGAAATGTTCTAGAACTCTTCACAGGAGTAGTAGGCTGGTTGGAAATTGGCAGGGGAGGACTAAAATCTTCCTCAACTCACCTTTTGGTTCTGTCACTGTGTTTACCTGAGGGTTATTGTACCAGGCTAGGGTGACTGGGATTCACTGTCCAACTTGGCTAGTAGGATACCCTGTCCAACCACTCTGTAAAGATGGCAGGGGTAGGGGGGAATGTAGGTAAGAGTGGTCTTGTAAGCTAGGCACTCTCCCAAAGTTTCCACTACCCATGAGATGGATGGCCCACTCCTGCAATGGCATGACTGTGACTAGGGAGGGGTAATTCTGAGTGCTGAAACAAAACTTGAAAAGGCACAGAAACAGCCAGCCTTATGGCTCAAATACTGTCTACCCCCAAAGTTGGTGGGTTGCCCGCCCCCCCCCCCACAATGGGGCACCATCCTAACCTCTCCCCCAGGTGGCCCAATGCAGTTTCCTCTCCCCTTGACACTGAGGCATTGCTGGGGCAGGTGAGGGAGAGTGGCTGTGTGGTCTGCAATACCATCTGAAGGGAACTGACAAAACAGGACAGCAGAGGGAGCTTCCTCAAACTGCACATAAAGAACATTATGCTCGTCCCCTGGTTGGACTTAAATATTTCTGAACATCAGAGTTCGCTATCAAGTAAAAGGAAGTTGGGAGGGGAAATGCCACCTCTGTGAAATATCACCCGAAGAAAAACCGAGTGACTTGCCATTAGTTTGAAGACGGCAAGAAAGGAACATCTCAGAAGTGGAGCCTCATCCTTCGATTTTTAACACAAGAGGAATTGTTCTTTGGCAAGTAAGTACATTTATTATTAGCTTAATATGGGGATAGCTTGGTGGATCTAGTTACCAACAACCTAACTGCTTTTTAAACAAACATACCTCCAAGATGCATCCCTTCCCCTCAGAGGGCTTTCTGGGGGTCTCTTATTCCGACATATTGGAGAATCATTATTAGAGTTATGACTCTAGATGGTAGAAAGGAAAGTGGAAACTGTTAGTCGCTTAGTCGTGTCTGACTCTTTGTGACCCCATGGACTGTAACCCGCCAGTTCCTCTGTCCAAGGGATTCTCCAGGCAAGAATACTGGAGTGGGTTGCCATTTCCTTCTTCACGAGATCTTTCCAACTCAGGGACTGAATCTGGGTCTGCTGCACTGTAGGCAGATTCTTTACTGCCTGAGCCACCAGCAAAGCCTGGGCATCAGTTATGGCCCTACATGGTAGAAAATATTAATTTTTCAGGCTGAATTTGAGTTTTCCAAAGCCAGTAAAATTCTGATGAATAAGTGAATCCAGGCTAATTCTGATTAAAATACAGTATGGTTGATAAGACAATCTCATGTGACTGACAGACTAACCCTGGGGTGGTTCCCCAAGAGGGGTCCCAAACATCTGGGTAGCACCCAGACTAGGTCTCTGTTGGAATCGGAGAGGATCACATCAAAGCACAGCTTTCATTTTTATTCCTAATGTTTAATATATTCACTAAAAAAAAAAAATCAGCTTGCTCACATTATAGTACATAATATAGCCAAGTAATGATTTCCGTATGTCTTTTCTCTTCCCCTTTTACTGACACTCTTCCACTGATTGAAATCCTCTACCCCTTTAAGACACAGTCTTTGAGTTCAGTTCAGTTCAGTCGCTCAGTTGTGTCCGACTCTTTGCGACCCCATGAATCGCAGCACGCCAGGCCTCCCTGTCCATCACCAACTCCCGGAGTTTACTCAAACTCATGACCATTGAGTCGGTGATGCCATTCAGCCATCTCAACCTCTGTCGTCCCCTTCTCCTCCTGCCCCTAATCCCTCCCAGCATCAGGGTCTTTTCCACTGAGTCAACTCTTCGCATGAGGCGGCCAAAGTATTGGAGTTTCAGCATCAGCATCAGTCCTTCCAAGGAACACCCAGGACTGATCTCCTTTAGGATGGACTGGTTGGATCTCCTTGCTGTCCAAGGGGATCTCAAGAGTCTTCTCCAGCACCACAATTCAAAAGCATCAATTTTTCAGCGCTCAGCTTTCTTCACAGTCCAACTCTCACATCCATACATGACCACTGGGAAAACTATATCCTTGACTAGACAGACTTTTGTTGGCAAAGTAATGTCTCTGCTTTTTAATATGCTCTCTAGGTTGGTCATAACTTTCCTTCCAAGGAGTAAGCATCTTTTAATTTCATGGCTGCAATCACCATCTGCAGTGATTTTGGAGCCCCCCAAAATAAAGTCAGCCACTGTTTCCACTGTTTCCCCATCGGTTTGCCATGAAGTGATGGGACCAGATGCCATGATCTCAGTTTTCTGAATGTTGAGCTTTAAACAGTCTTTGTGTAGAAGCATTTAAAAACAGAAACATTTGTTTTTCTGTGTTAATATAGTAAGAAAGAAGTAGTTTCATGACTTAAGTACTGCCGTGGACAAAATATGCCCTCCCTGGTGCTCTGTGTTTCTCGATATGTTCTAAAGAGGGTCCAAGCTTTCATGGGTTGGCTGGCTGGTGTCCAGGGCCCTTTAGTTCTCTTTGTTTCTAGTCTTCAACATCTCCCAGCAGTGGGAGAGTGGTGGTTGGTTCTTGGAACATGCGCAAGGCAGGGTCACTTCCTCAAATGTCCGTCAAGTCTTGCTTTTCCCTCAAGATTGTGCTGTGATTTAGAGGTTGCTCAGATTACAATCCCTGACTCATTTCAGGCAGTAAACTAAGAGGTTTTACAACCCACGGCAGGCCAATCTTCCTTCCCGGATGACTTTTATTTTTTTTTTTCCTTTTCAGGTTGTGAAGATAAATCCTGTCTTTTAATTTTAGGAGTCTAGATACCCAGATACTCCAGCCAGCGTTTCCTCGGTGTGTTTTGCAAACATCACGGGCCAACCCTCTGTGTGGGGGCAACTGAATTGCCTTCTGCCCTGCCTGGTGTAAGCTGTGAGGTGCCAGCTCTCACGTGGCTTGAAGCTGTTTGCCTTTGTTTTCCGTCCTCCCCAGCAGAAGCCATGGGTCACACAATGAAGTGGGGAACACTACCACCCAAACGCCCATACCTCTGGCTCTCTCAGCTCTTGGTGCTCGCTGGTCTTTTTCACTTCTGTTCAGGTAAGCAACTTTCAAGAACTTGACTGAGTCCACCACTTCGGGGTTTGAAAGGGAAAGGACATGGCGTTCTCTGTGCTGTCTCCTTCTGTCGCCCTGCAAGAGGGAAGGGACATTCAGGGTATTTCAGTCCATTTTAGGGATGAGAAAACAGGTTCAGAAAGGTTAAAGGACCTGTCCTCGATCACACAACAAGCCAGTGGCCAAGCTAGCTCAGGAACACAGACCTTAAAGGAAAGGTGGGGCCGTGTTATTTTAACAAAACCAAAAGCCAATTCAGAAGGACAGCTTAGAGTTGTGATCTCCTCCACTAGATGCTCATTTACATTCTGTGACACACTCAGGGCACACTGGCCTTGGGCTCTGCTTCCCAAGCTACATTTCCATGAGACAACACAGCTAACATCCTCTGCTTCTAAAACTGAACAGCGATGATCTTTCCAAGTTGAAGGGGGAAAAGAAAGTAGTGGTGACATACAATCTTTTTCATATTAAAATTTTCTCTTAATATTTACTTTTATGCTATATGTGCCAATGCCCTTTGTCAATGCTGGCATCTAACATTAGGTATCAGATTTAGCACAAATCATATTTTGAGTTACTTTTAACTTACTACATAGGTATTTCAGGTGCATCCTACAAAGAGTATTTTGACTTCTGGAGACTTTATCCAGCTCAGGTGCTGAATTTGGGGGGCTGTTGGGAAGGATGGTGCTGATTCTGCTGACAGGGTGGCTCTGACTTTTTTTTAGAAGGCAGAACAAATAAAAGATCTGCATTTCTGCTGAGCAGCATACCTGCCTGTTTCCTCAAAATAAAGAGGAGGTTTTGCCTCCTGCACAGTTTCCTAGTCTTCAAAGAACCAAATATCAAAGGATCTTGTCTTAAGCTCTGCTTGCTCAAACTGCAGTCATCACCCAGAATGATTTTGCGGGTTGCGGGGCGGGTGGCGGGGTACAGGGGGGTTGGCACAGTAGCGAAAGATGATTACAATGCAGGTATTTATACATTTTCTGTCCTGAAATTGCTATTTGACACTGTTGCTGAAGCAAGAGAACCATGATTCAAGTTTCACAATTTATACATCAGATTTTGCAGATATTTAACAGTAATATTTCCAACAGTTATAATTTTTTTTCTGGGTAGTTGAAGGCAGCATTCCCAATCGAGAGTCTTCTGGGGAGTCTAAATGAGCTTTACAAGATTTAAAAGTAAATTTACAGGCTTCCTAGAAATGTGGTGCGTGTGCAAGCATGTGTGTGTGTGTGAGAGAGAGAGAGAAAGAGAGAAAGAGAGAGAGAGAGGTGGGGGAGGGGTGAGGAGAAAGAAACAAACAATAAAAAAGAGAGAAAGCATAAAAAGAAAATTAAAACCAAGACTTTAGCAATTATACCAGAAAAATTAGAAGTACTTTGAACTAAAGCTAAAGAAAGGTTTTTGGAAAGCACCCTGCTGTACAGTCACACCCAGATTTTATTGTTGCTATACTGAGTCAACAAAGGAATCCATGAACTTCTTTTGTCTGAACACCTACTGTGTAAAAGATGGACCTTGAAAAACTGAGCCTCAGATTCCTGCTTTCAAAGAGAGATTTGAGTATGTTAGCTGGAGAAGGCCAAAGTAATTAATCTGCAAGCAAGTGAAGAGCAGAGAAGTGCCTGGCTCTGACTGTAAGCGCCCCTGACCTGGGAAAGGCAGGCAGGCTTTATGGGGGAGGATGGGGATCGCAGCAGCAGAACTTGGGCAGAGCTGTAGCATGGACAAATGCACAAAGATGAGGATGAGTCAGCGGGTGGGGGACTCATTTTCTGGTTTAATCATTTGTATATTCAACAAACACTGAGCCTCTCTTATGTACAATACACTTTTCTTGGTCCTGGGGACAAGCTGTTAGCAAAATTGACGTGGCTTTTGCCTTCATGGAATTTAGTCATTAGCATGAAGATGAAGATGAATCAATTATTAAAATGAATATATGACCAAGAAACATGACGTTTCCCTGCCAGAGGGGAGGGTGGTGAGAGTGAGCTGGGTGAAGGTGGAAGAAGCAGCATGTGAGGGACATGGAGGAGCAAGGAAGTGAAAGTGGGCAATGTTGGGGCAGTAGGGAGACACAGACTAGACTCTGTGCTCCAAGGCCAGGGATCTGGAAGTTATTTGGAGGAATGGAAGGCCACAGAGGATTTTAAGCAGGGGAGTGACAGTCTCTGCCAGGGTTGCTCACACTTTAATTATACATACCAATCACCTGGAGGACTCTTTAAGAAGCAGCTTCTAGAACAGGGGATTTTTTAAAAAATTTTATTTTATATTGGAGTAGAGTTGATTAACAATACTGTGTTAGTTTCAGGTGTACAGCAGAGTGATTCAATTATACATATACACGTGTCTATTCTTTTTCAAACTCTTTTCCCATTTAGGTTATTACAGAATATTGAGCAGAGTTCCCTGTAGCACAGGGGATTTTTAGAGCAGTGAAAATACTGGGTGTGATACTGTAATGGTAGATGCATGTCATTATACAGTTGTCAAAACCCATAGAATGTACAGCACCAAGAATGATGTCTAATGTAAACCATGGGCTTTGGGTGATAGTGATGTGTCAGTGTAACTTCATTGGTTGTCACAAAGGTACCACTCTGGCATGGGATGTTGATAGTGGGGGAGGCTGCACCCATGGGAGCTGGGGTACATGGGTACTGTCTGTACTTTATGTTCATTTTGCTATGAACTTAAAATTGCTGTAAAAAATAAAGGCCATATATGTATTTTTAAAAATGCAGTTTCTGCTTAGGTGGGCTTTGGGGAGGGGCCAGCAAATCTGTATTTCTAACAATCAGCCAGGTGATATTGATACTACTGGTCCACAGTCCTTTAGGTTTAGTAGTAAAAGATACATTATACAAAAAAAGAAAAAGACAGTGCTGCTAAAGCATGAAGAATGGCTTTTAGAGCAGTCAGTACAATCAGGGAGGACTTTGTTCAGGGCGGGGGATTTGCCCCCTCCTCTCCTCCCCTGTGCAGGAAAGCTACACTTGCACCTGTCCTCATCCGCTGCTACCCGGGACAGGGGGACCTCTTTCCTCCACAGGGCAGCACCAGCAGGGCTCCTGTTTCACTTCTGGTTTGGTCTACAGAGGGAGGAGCACTGGACTCATGTGCTCCAGAGACTGGTGGTCGTCTAATATGGGCACCTTTTTCTCAGAGCTAGGGTCCTCTCAGGGAGACACAGCCCTAAGGAGAGGAGAGAGACCTTAGGTAGGAGTAGGCCAGGAATTCAGGACAGGTGTTGGCCTGGAAGTCTATAACATGAGGAACACTGAGCTAGAGGAAAAGAGGGCCCCAGAGTGCCACTGTAAACAGGGCCTCTCCCCTGTCGCCATGTTCTGTCTGCATGCCGCTGGCCAAGGTGTCCCCAAAGCCACGCTTCTTGCTATGACTACGGTGGTACCAGCTGTTCAAGTACCTGAGCATTCTGGAGAGAGACACAGAAGTAAGGATCAGATTTACAAAGAGCATGTAGTCTGGGTCTGTAGAGGAAAGTTGGGAGCAGTGTATAAATCAGGTCACCCCTGTAAATTTGTCAGCTGTATAGCAGATACCTTTAGCCCCCTTGTGTACCCAGCACCTAGCCCAGGGCCCACACCAGCCCTGTGGATGCTGGCTCACTTAATCAAAAGCACTTAGAAGGGTCCCAAAAGGTCACTTCCATTGTGTTAAAGGTCACACAGACCATTAAATCTCCAGATGGTGAGATTATAGGTGATTATTATGTTTTTCTTTATTTTTCATTCTTTCCAAATTTAATGTGTGTTTCTTTTAGAGTCAGGGAAAACCTTTATTTAAAAAGCACACCACAGTCCTCAGCAAGATACACAACAGCACACGGTGATCTAAGCTGCTGTGGGCACCTGATTTTTTCTCCTTTAAAAGTGTTGGTGCAGCTCTCCTGACCACTGCTGGGGTTCACCTATGAGGAAGGGGTGCTGTGGCCAGCCCACTGTGTCCACACTGCCTCCCCCTTCTTTGGAGGGACTAGGGGAGACTCATGGCTTCCTATACTGGGTTCTTATTTCTTTAAAGCTAAATATTAAATTTTATTGTAGTATCTCCCAATTGTCCTGCATGGGTTTATTGCTGTTTTTCCTGCAAAATGGTAAAAATTTTTTTTACCATTTTAAAGTGTGTGATTCAGTGGTTTTTAGTATAATCACAAAGAAGTGAAACCATCACCACTATAATTTCGGAACATTTCTATCATTCAAAAATGAAACTCCAAACCCATTAGCTGTCCCTCTCCATTCCCTCTACCCCACCTCTTGGTAGACATTAATCTAATTTGTCTCCATGAATTTGCCTATTCTGGACATTTCTTTTAACTGGAGCTATATAATATATGGCCTTTGTGTCTGGCTTCTTTCATTTAGCACAATGTTTTTAAGGTTCGTCTATGTTGTAGTAACAGTGCCTCACACCTGTTCTGGTTAAATAATATTCCATTGTATTTTGAGTTCTGAGAGGTACATTATTTGTCTAGAACTAGTGTACTGTGCATTTGCTGGCAGAAAGCTCCCTCTCTTGGGGAGTTATCAGTGGGGAGCTGCTGTGATCGGGGCAGGAAGCAGGCAGAGGGGTCAGGAAGGGCAGGGGTTCTGAAGTGTACCCAGAGTGCCCTGCGGGTGGGGCGGTTTGCACACAGACTTGCAAGAGATGAGCGAGGTTGCCTTCCATCCCTGCCGCCCCTCCTCCCCCTCACAGTTGGGCAGACAGTTGGTGACGGTGGGCACTGGGTGCCAGTTGGGAGCAGTACTCAGTGCACGTGTCAGCCAGTTACCACAGTGATTCTGGCCCCATCCTGGGTGTGACTCAACACAGGAGGCGCAGGAGGTGCTGTGCATGAGAAGCAACCCCATGGGGAAAAAACACAACTGTATAGCTTTTACGGTTCATAAAACACTTTACATCTGGGTGTCATGTGACCCTGTGGTAATTAGGGGAAGTAAGTTAGGGAGATAGTATTATGACCATTTTGTAGAAATTATACCTGAGGCCCAAGGAGGTTAATCAAAGGTTATGAGTCTAATACACAGCAGGTGGAATCAGATCCCATCTCCTAAGGCCTAGCCAGGCATTCAGCAAGTACTTAGGGAGCACCTGCTTTGGGCCAGGCCCTAGTTCTACAGATATGACAACAAGCAAAACAGATAAAGTCTCTGCTCTCATGGTCCCCAAAGTAACTCCAGCTGATATGTAGCAGCTAGAGACAAGCTCAAGAGAGAAACAAATCAGGGCAAGTGACTCAAAAGGAGCATGAGGATGGTGCTGGTTGGGGAGAGTCAGAGAAGTCTCACCATAAGGGGACATCTTCCCTGAAGGAAGCAAAGGACAGAGCTGTGTGGAAGTCTGGAAAGGCAACAGTCCTGATCGTGTGCCTGGTACTGGGTCAGGTTTTACCTACATTCCCTCACAGAAACCTCAACCCACATTATCAGGTAGGTGCTGCTAGGCCGTTTGTAAGACGGCAAAGCAAGCTCAGAATCCAACAATGCAGGCAGTAATGCTGAGACACGCCTCTCCCCTCCAGAACCACTGAAGCAGACACAACCCTTCAGAAGTCTTTCAACAGTTTTCTTGTAACCATGTGTAGCAGAGTCCCTGAGTATGAAAGCCAGGTCCTGGCGGGAATTGCCCAGAAGATTTTTGTTCCTCTTTTCAGTCTGGTTCTTCCTCAGCAACAGAGTCTGGTGAGGGGATCTCACATAGGAACATCGAAGAGCCCATTGATGGTTTGCTGTTGACCTTTACACAAACACCCACACTTCTCCTCAGATGGCTGGACAAAAACTCCTTAAGAACCATCATTGAAATTTTTCAGTGAAGAAAATTTTCAGATCAGTTTCAGTTAAGATTTCTTTTTGCTAATGTCACCACATGTCAAAATTAGAAATCCTGGATTATTTTTGGGTGGGAACAAACAGCGCAGGAAAGACTCAGTTATTCAGGACCCCAGATGACTGAGCTGCTTTCTGTCATGGGGTCTGTCTGGCCCACAGCAAGATCAGTGTCTGTCATAACCCCAGAGTGAAAGAGACCAGAGGGTACGAGAGGAAGGAGAAAGAGGAAAGGAAACCTTTATGGAAGACCTGCTAGGTACTAGGGACTTTTCCACATATACAATTTAATTTGAATTTAAGTTTTCAATCATCCTGAGAGGTTGGCATCAAACCATTTTACAGATGAGGAAACAGGTTAGTCAGTAAGTGGCTGAGCTGGGACTAGAACCCAAGTCAATCCTTCTACATACCATTTTGTTTTAGTTGTATCTTTTTTTAAAAGAGAGTTTTGATTATTTAGCTATTTCATGCTCTCCTAAAATATAAAGGGACTCCTGAAAGTCCCTAGGAGTTCAAACCAGTCAATCTTAAGGGAGATCAACCCTGAGAACACTTTGGAAGGGCTGATGCTAAAGTTGAAGCTCCAGTATTTTGGTCATCTGATGTGAACAGCCCTCACTGGAAAAGTCCCTGATGCTGGGAAAGATTAAGGGCAGAACGAGAAGAGGGAGAAGAGCTGTCAGAGCATGAGATGGCTGGATGGCATCACTAATGAACTTGGGGAAACTTTGGGAGATGGTGAGGGACAGGGAGGCCTGGCATGTTGCAGTCCATGGGGTCGCTAAGAATCGGACATGACTGGGCGACTGAACAACAAAGTATAACTTTTCATTTATTTCCCTTTTTCAGTTATATTCCCTAAGTCTAGGGCTGGCAATGTTCAGCACAACTGCTGAAAGAAGTGCCCTGGATCATTCTAAGGTACCTCACACTGCTGTGAAAATACCCGCAATCACAAAACTCTCTTCCTGAATGCTGCGGTGGGGCCACATCCAGTCTGATGTAGGCTGGAAGGTTGGCTGGGGAGGTGGAGACGGGCTAGTGTCCCATGATCCTGCTGTCCAGGGAGAGCAGGCCTGGAAACGAGATCCCTATCTTAGTGAGATGGGGGCCTCCCCGGGGGTTCTGTGTGGCTCTGAAGGATACGGAAGGGAAGATGTCAGCACTGGGGGCCTTCAGGGCTGGCCAGTTGTGAAAGTGCTGGGGTTTTGGAGGGGCTCTACTTTTAGGTCAAGCACAGCGTGGGAAAAGTTACTATGCCTTCTAAGCAAAAAAACAGAAAATATAGTCTTTCAAGGATTTTGGTGCTACTGATGAGTGTTTAGGAGCTAACAAAAATATGAAGTTTGGTGCTGAAATTCTGTGATATGCTGATGGGAAATGGGCAAATGTTTTAAATGGAGATCTTCTTGCCAAGTTAGGTTGTAGGGGACCAGCTATTTGGATTGCAGATAGCCAAGGAAGATAAAGACAGGATAGCCGTCTGTTTAAATAGATAGAGAGGGCAGAAATGGTCCGGAGGTGTAACTGAGGTCTTGTCACATGGAGATGAGGACAGTCATTTCAATCTGAAGTCATGGGTCAAGCTGGGCCTGGAAGATGGGACCCGGCTCAGAGCAGGCAGTGCTGGCTTATTTATCCTAGAACTGGGTCTCAAATGAGGGAAACAAATAAATAAGGAGAGTGATCCAAAAAGTTCTCTGCAAAACTGGGGCAGTTTTCTTTCCTATGCTTAGTTTTCTCGTCTATAAAATAAGACCACCAAAATGAATGACCAGGGAAATTCCTTCAAAATCTCACATTCCTTAACTATGACTTCTCTGTCCCCATGGGACTGAGTGTGTCTCACCAGTAGTTGGCATTCATGTGCTGGGGTCTCCTAAAGCCCTTCTTCTTTTGGGACTAGTGTAACTTTTCTCTCATTGTCCATGGACAGACAAATGGATAAAGAAAGTGTGGCATATATTAATACATACAGTGGAATATTTAGTCATTAACATCATTATCACTCCTTAAAGAGGAAGGGAATTCTGACACATGTAAAACACAGAGGAACCTTGAGGGCATTATGCCAAGTGGAATAAACCAGTCACAAAAAGGCAAATAAATACTGTATGATTTGGAATCTGAAGTAGTAAAATTCATAGAAACATAAAGTTGAGTGGTGGTTACCAGGGGGCTTAAGGGAGGGAAAGGGGGGAGCAGTTTAATGCATACAGCATGGAAAATCTGTTTCACAACAATGTGAAGATACTGGATGCTACTGAGCTGTACATTTTAAAATGGTTAAGATGGTAAAATCTATGTTATTGTTTTAATCACGATTATTTAAATGGAGAAAAAAAATGCACTGGAGACCAAAAGAAAAAAAAATCAACTGAACACTCTGTCCAACCCTGCTTAGACACTAAATACAACACTCTGAATTCTGTTACTGCCAACTCTGATTTCCTGCTTGTGCAGGCATCTTACATTTAATAGACACAAGATCTTATTTTGTTTGCCTCTCCATAGGCATCATCCCAAAGAGTGTGACCAAAAGAGTGAAAGAAGCAGTAGTGCTATCCTGTGATTACAACACATCCACTGAAGAACTGACAAGCCTTCGGATCTATTGGCAAAAGGATAGTGAGATGGTGCTGGCTGTCCTGCTTGGAAAAGTGCAGGTGTGGCCCAAATACGAGAACCGTACCATCACTGACATCACCAATAACCCCTGCATTGTGATCCTGGCTCTGCGCCTGTCAGACAGTGGCACCTACACCTGTGTTATTCAGAAGCCTGAGACAGGGACTTATAAAGTGGAGCACCTGACTAAAGTGAGGTTAATGATCAGAGGTCAGTGGAACTTTCTGATTTTCAATAAGCCATCAATAGGAGTATGTCTTTGATGTCCTTAGAGACACATTCCTATTGGTTTAAGTGGAAATTTTACCAGAGGGGCCTATCTCACTTCATTTCTTAGGGTTGAGTCTCTAGTTTTACAGTAAATCCTAATTTGTTTTCTCAGGATGTCCTGGAAATATTTGTTAGTTGCATTTCTTGCACTTTGACAGTCCAAGCTCATGTCAGCCACCCTGGAGCACTATCGTGACCTGAAGCACTTTCTGAATCATAAAGGGACACATTTGATTTGATGTAGTTGTACTATTAACTGCACTTGATCCAGTAATATATTCTCGTAAAGTATATTAAAGGGTATAAAAGCTGCACAGGCATAAATACTTTTCAAGTAGTATTTGAATGTCTATTACTATGGCTATTTTACTATTATATTTATTGTATATTTGAAACTTTCATCTAATGTCATTCCTACAAGGTTAGATGTTAAAAAACTGTGAAGGGCAGGGTAGGAACCAGCCTTGACTTAATCACAGGTAATCCTGCCAGAGGACACAAATATGTCCTGAACCCTCATTGAGAAGTGGCAGCCCTGGGCGATTCCTTCATCCTTGAAATTCAAACACATTTCTTTTTCTTTCTGGGCACTTGAGCCTTTAGTGGAAACAAAACCTTTTAACAAAAGGTAAGAATTAATCTTGATAACAGTTAGCTTAAGAGGATCCTTAGTGAATTCTTCACTTTTCTTCCCTGCTTTTGGTCTTCGGCTATATTGAATCTTTAGTTGTGTAACACCCAGATCATACCTAAAGCTTAGGAAGTAAGCCAAATTTACACAGGGTTATCTTAAACTTCACTCTGTGTATTCCCTACCCATGGAGAGAACAAATATCCATGATCATATGGTGGGACGTGAGGGGCTCTGAGAAGCCTATCTCTTCCAAAATTTAGATCTGCCTGGATTCCTGCAATTCCCACTATTATAGCCTCTCCTACTAGTTTCAGCACTATGCTCCCCTTATGTATGTATGCTCAGCTGGTAAGTCATGTCTGATTCTTTGCAACCCCATGGACTGTAGCCCGCCAGGCTCCTCTGTCCATGGGATTTCCCAGGCAAGAATACTGGAGTGGGTTGCCATTTCCTTCTCCAGGGATCTTCCTGACCCAGAGACTGAATCCACGTCTCCTGCATTGCTGGCAGATTCTTTACCGCTGAGCCACCTGGGAAGCCCTCCCCTTCCCTCCAGGATCCCTGTTAAAGATGAAAATGTGTTACCTAGGTGGAGACGTTATCACAGACATATTAGCCTGTATCAGTTAATTACCTTTAGATACATAGTCCTTTAACAGAATATCCAGAGAGAAACAGACTCAGGACGTGTACATTTTGACAGAAAGATAAAGAAGATCCAAGGAGAGAAGAGGCAGAGTTTCAGGGAGGGTGGGCCTTAGTCGCAGGTCACAGTTGGAGACCAACGCAGCTAAAGGGCTAATGGGGGGAGTGTTGTTTGAGGCTAACACGGCCTCAAACAGGGGGATGCGGCTCCAAAATCAGACAAGGGAAGACAAAGGGGGAAATACTGCTTAATTAGACCCAGAACCAATTCTGGTATTCCCAGTTGAATCAATTAGAATGGTGCTTCTCAAATGATAAGGTGCCTATGACTTGGGGACCTTGTTCAGCAGGTCTGACACTTCTGACAAGCTCCCTGGTGATGCCTGTACTGATGCTAAGGATTACAGTCTGAGAAGCAAGAAATTAAGTAAATGCTCATTTGGCCAAGGTGACCAGCTGTCCCAGTCTGCCAAGGACTGAGGGGTTTCACTGGACATGAGACTTTGGGTGTTAATACTGAGAAAGTCTCAGGCTAACTGGGACAGGATGATTTCTCTACATTGCCAAAGGATACAATAACAGCATAGTATCATGAAGTAGGATAGCTAGTTCCTCAAACGTGCTGCACAATGGATGAAAACCTGCACTAAGCAGCGAATTTGAGGAACTAGCTATACTAGTTAACATATTAACTAGGTTAACAAATTTTTACCTTTCTAAAACATATGCACCTTTTCCTTTCCTAGTAGGATATTCTTACTCTACCCATTAAGAGTGGTGAAAACTTGGGTTAACTGATTGAAATGAGATACAAAAGAGTAATTCTTCGATGGTTCATTCTTGCAAAACCTTTGGCGCTGCTACTCCGAACAGATCATCTTACAGAAGGAATAGCAGACAGAGCTTAGGCTGTTCTAAGCCCAGGCAGACCGTGAAAAGGTGATTTTCAATACGATCCTTGGTGTTAGTGGCATTCCTGTGGTTAAATATTTCTTAGAAAAGCAAAGTCCAGAAATGAACATGAATCATAATTTGGATATGTTACTTGGATTTGTTATTCCAAGTTATAACATGACATACTGATATTATAAGAAACAAAATGTTAGCTACCATTGCAATGATTTGATCTTATAGGATAAATTAAAGGAGTAGAAAATAATAATGTCAACTAAAAATGGCTCAAAAAATGTCAAACAATTTAGGAAAAGGACTGATTCAAAAAAGAAAGGTGACTCTATCTGTATCTAGGTCCAAGTTTTTCCTTGCCTTGGCAACTATAATCACTTGTCATAACTTCTCCTCTCCCTTATTACCACCAGGCAGTCCTAGAAGCTTTCACCTGGCAACTTGATTTACATGAAGGAACTCCTCTAAGAGAGGACACATTTAAGACTCACATTAATTAGTCTAACTAACTTCCTGTATGTCAGTCTCTGGTCTATGTGATTTATGTTAATGATACCATTTAACTCTTATAACACTGGGAGGGAGGTATTACAATCCCCTTCTTACAATGAGCAAATTAAGATGGAAAGTGGTTAAGTAACTGGCCCAGGATTAAAGGCAAAACTGGTTTTAAAACCTGCCCTTGATGACCACTGTGCATTATACTACATCTCTCTGTGAGGTTCTGAATTCTGAAAAGAAAACTAACATATGAGATGAAGTATGAGGGGATTAGTCCTGTGTGTGTGTCCTGACTCTTTGAGACCCCATGGACTGTAGCCCATCAGGCTCTTCTGTCCATAGAATTTTCCAGGCAAGAATACTGGTGTGGGTTACCATTCCCTTCTCCAGGGGATCTTCCCAACCCAGGGACAGAACCCCCCGTCTCTTTCGTCTCCTGCATTAGTGGGCAGATTATATACCACTGCACCACCCACCACTCGGGAAGTCCACATTTGGATTGGTTCCCCACACTTACGCTATAGAAGTATAAATTCTTTAAGCCTCACAATAAATGAGGAAGAGGTGAGTGGAGTTTTTTCCTGTTTCCTCTTCAGTCATTTCACTATGCTTTGCTTTGTGTATAATTTAATATGCTATTAGGGGTCAAAAACACAAATGAAATAGTGCCTCAAGCACTTTGGAGGAATATTAGGAAGGACTCTCTGTCCTTGTTAGGTGTATCAAAACAGCAAGGGGATCAGTAAAGTATGGTGGTTGAGATTACAGGCTCAACAGTATAAAAGTGGAACAGAGGCCTATCTGATTAAAGACTACTTTTGAAAATGTAAAGGTAATGCTAAACAAACGTTAGAGTAGTGTTATTCCAGGTGTGGGAACTAGGGGTCCAGCAAAGTTAAGACCATACAAGTAGATTTATGTAAGTTATTGTCAATGCTCTGGTTCTCAAGTTGGGTGGTAGGCTCCCAGGTGTATAGTATAGTATGAATTAATAAATAGATACATAAAAGAGGGTCAGTTTGTATACCTCAAAAATTAGGTAGAAAGGGAAGAAAAAGAAGTAAAAGAAAGGAAAGGAAGGAAAGGAAAAGAAGGTAGACATATTTAAATCTGCTTGTTTGTAACTATCTCTAATACCATGCCATTGATATTTTTCTGAGGCTACATTTTTTTTTCAATATAATCTTATTTAATGTTTTAATAAGACAGCAGAGTTTAAAGCTCTAAAAAAAAAAGGAAAAGAAATCAGGGGAAGGGAAGGCTCTGGTATCAGAAAAACTTGAATTCAGTTCTCCCACTTATTGGTTGTGATTTCTCTAGACCTCAATTTGATTATTCATAAAGTGGAAACACTGTATTAGGATAAATAATATGAATTTACTGATATTTGACCTTTTTGGATCTACAACCTACCTCCTAGGGTTGTTTTAAAGACAAAATGAGATAATGTCCAGACCTAAGAAATATTAACAGCTCAATAAATGTTTTTAAATGCAAGCACTATGTCAATATTTATTCACATGAATTTAGTTCTTTAATAAGTGCCCTCCTACCTCCACTCCATCAAAAGTAATGAATTGATATAACCAACTCAAACTAAAGTTAGTCTTTGGGTTATACATAACTACTAATACTTATGGGAAGTTGAAAATTATATTTTATTATTCTTATTAAAGTGATGTATTAAAAATATAATTACACACAAATATGTAATGATATGTATTTACATTCTTGTTCTTTCTTCAGCTGACTTCCCTGTCCCTACTATAAATGATCTTGGAAATCCATTTCCTAACATCAGAAGGGTAATTTGCTCAACCTCTGGAGGTTTTCCAAAGCCTCACCTCTCCTGGTTGGAAAATGGAGAAGAATTAAATGCTACCAACACAACACTGTCCCAAGATCCTGAAACCGAGCTCTTCACAATTAGCAGTGAACTGGATTTCAACATGACAAGCAATCACAGCTTCTTGTGTCTTGTCAAGTATGGAGACTTAACAGTGTCACAGACCTTCCAATGGAAAACACGTAAGTGACATTGTCCTGGAGAGTTTCTGCTGTGTAGAATCTAAAAAGAAAATAACTCAGCCAGATACATTATAGAATTATGCATATTGACTCTGATGCTATTACTTACAGTATTTTTTAGACATGCAAATAAAATAATAATAAAAGTGTTACTATGACTTATTAAGGTCACTGTACAAGGTTTGACTATATGGTACTAATTTTATTTTCTTTAATAAACATTCTAAAATTTAGATATCCAACTAAGTTCTATCTGTCAAGTCAACATCTTAGGAAGTTATTACAATAATATTGTTGTTATTGAAAGCACTAAAATTTGCCCTTCTTTGAAATTGCTCTCTAGGCTTTGGCACTTTCATTTTTTTAAAATTTATTTTAATTGGAGGCTAATTACTTTACAGTATTGTGGTGGTTTTTGCCATACATTCAGATGAATCAGCCATGGGTGTACATGAGTTCCCCATCCTGACCCTCATGCATCGAGCCTGGACTGGTGATCTAGTTCATATATGATAATATACATGTTTCAAAGATATTCTTTCAAATCATCCCACCCTCGCCTTCTCCCACAGAGTCCAAAAGTCTGTTCTTTACATCTATGTCTCTTTTGCTGTCTCGCATATAGGGTCATTGTTACCATCTTTCTAAATTCCATATATATATGTTAACATACTGTATTGGTGTTTTTTTTTTCTGACTTACTTCACTCTGTATAATAGGCTCCAGTTTCATCCACCTCATTAGAACTGATTCAAATGCATTCTTTTTAATAGCTGAGTAATATTCCATTGTGTATATGTACCACAACTTTCTTATCCATTCGTCTGCTGATGGGCATTTAGGTTGCTTCCATGTTCTGGCTATTGTGAACAGTGCTGAGATGAACATTGGGGTACACGTGTCTCTTTCAATTCTGGTTTCCTTGGTGTGTATGCCCAGCAGTGGGATTGCTGGGTCATATGGCAGTTCTATTTCCAGTTTTTTAAGGAATCTCCACACTGTTCTCCATAGTGGCTGTATTAGTTTGCTTTCCCACCAACAGTGTAAGAGGGTTCCCTTTTCTACACACCCTCTCCAGCATTTATTGTTTGTAGACTTTTTGATAGCAGCCATTCTGACCAGCGTGAGATGGTACCTCATTGTGGTTTTGATTTGCATTTCTTTGATAATAAGCGATGTTGAGCATCTTTTCATGTGTTTGTTAGCCATCTGTATGTCTTCTTTGGAGAAATGTCTGTTTAGTTCTTTGGCCCATTTTTTGATTGGGCTGCTTATTTTTCTGGAATTGAGCTGCAGGAGTTGCTTGTATATTTCTGAGATTAATTCTTTGTCAGTTTCGTCATTTGCTATTATTTTCTCCCATTCTGAAGGTTGTTTTCACCTTGCTTATAGTTTCCTTCATTGTGCAAAAGCTTTTAAGTTTAATTAGGTCCCATTTGTTTAATTTTGCTTTTATTTCCATTAGTCTGGGAGGTGGGTCATAGAGGATCCTGCTATGATTTACGTCAGAGAGTGTTTTGCCTATGTTTTCCTCTAGGAGTTTTATAGTTTCTGGTCTTACATTTAGATCTTTAATCCATTTTGAGTTTATTTTTGTGTATGGTGTTAGAAAGTGTTCTAGTTTCATTCTTTTACAAGTGGTTGACCAGTTTTCCCAGCCCCACTTGTTAAAGAGAATGTCTTTTCTCCATTCTTGCCTCCTCTGTCAAAGATAAGATGTATATAGGTGTGAGGATTTATCTCTGGGCTTTCCATTTTGTTCCATTGATTTATGTTTCTGTCTTTGTGGCACTTTCATTTTGGGAGCCCCCTTCCTATGATGGTCCCATGATGTCAAATCATTGTCCTTTGAAGGTGAATGTGCTTTTTAAGAAATACTTGTTCATTCAGAACCAAGCCTGGCAAAGAAAGTGAATGACAAACTTCTAGAGGACAATGCTTGAAAAAAGTGGTCATTTTTGATCAAAACCATGACCAAATATTTACTCTACATGTAGTAAACTTATAAAATTTTCTTTCCCTAAGAGGTGAAGTCATATGAAAATATAAAATGGAAAAAGTAGGGTTTACATAAATGTATGCATATTAAATCCACAATGGGTTATTACAGAACAACTCATATACTTGAAATACATTTCTAGCGTATTTGACTGATTATATGGAGCATCACCAGGCCTCTGCCCATCCCCCAACCCCACTTATAACAATATGTTTTGTGGCTGCATAGTAAAAAACAATACATTGTGTATAATACATTGATATTATGTATAGTATATCTTATATCTTATGCTTATCTTTGCTTGTATAATGTAGATATTTTAGATGGTCTACTAGTTCATCTTAGGTAAGATTAGGTCTTTCCATCTTGGGTGGATTCTTTGTTTTCCTTAATAGGTAATGAGATAAAATTTGGGGCAAAAATTAGTTCAGATACAAACAAAATTTTGTTGGAACATGATACAAAATTAGTTCAGATACAAACCAAATTTTGTTGACATGATTTTATTAATAGCCCAAACTCGTCTCTATTTCATGTATCCTAAACAAGTTTATAAAAATTAAGTTTGAATCATAGTTAATTAATTCAGCATTCTTGTCATTTTATTGATATATAATCAATTTTAGATCATCATGATTAAGGTAGAAGTTAATAAGTACAGCTTCAATTATATTTTATTTTGGACATCATTTATATTTGGAATATGAGTATGTATGATATTCTGGGGCAACGGTTAACAAAAATTTTCAGAAAAGGGCCAGACAGCAAATATTCTTCACAGGTCATAGTCTCCAGCAACAACTCAGTTCTGTTGTTATAACATGAAAACAGCCATAGACAAGACATAAATGAAGGACATAGCTGTATTCCAACAAAATTTTATTTAAAAAAATAGGTGGTAAGCCAGGTTTGGCCTGTGCATAGTAGTTCATTAACTTAAAGGAAATAGAATATAGCCCTTTAAATAAAAGGATGGATCTATTCTTAAAGATGATTTAGACTACGCAGCTTTATCATCATCTCTCTAATTTGCCTTTTCTCAACTCTTCCTTCACACTAAAGATGAGCAGTATCCCTTTTCAGAATAGTTAAAAATACTAGCTCTCTGTCCTCTTTGGGGGGTCAAGGGGTGACTGCATAAACAAATGTAAATTAGTGTATAGCTGATAGACATTTTGAATGGTTATGAGCAAAGCTCTACTATTTAAATACCTGCTCTTAACCCTGAATTTATTAATTAAGCAGACTGGGTCTGTGGCTCTTTTAGCCTGGGCCCGCCCAATTCGTTAACCCTTGATGTATTGGAACATATGGGGGGTGTGTGTGTGTATAAGGGGTGAATCAGGGAGACCTACTCGGGCTGTCTTATGAGCTATATGTGCAAATGTCCTCACACAGCTATGCACTTGGGATTTTGGGTCTTCCCTGTGGAGTAGTGCCAGGTTCCTAATAGGCATCACGAGAGAGTGGGATTGCTGTTACTGATTCCTCCTTTCTCTTAAACACTTACCTTCTTCTAGGCTGAGTGAGGCTTGAGAATGAATGAGGACTGACCTCTGAGAGGAAGCCCGTGAAACATCTAGACTCCCAGGATAACAGCAAGAGCTTCTTTGTTATTTTGGGTGTCATTTTGGTCTGCAAAGGCCAGCCCTGGTAACCACTGGATGTCTCCATGCAAATGGGTGTTTTAGAGAAAAATAGAAAAACAACTTACCCTAGTTTTCAAGTAGTGGGTGCTCTATGGTCAAATGTGCATTTTATAATTATCACTGTGGCAGAATGTATAGGAATTATTAGAGCCTAGAACACCAGAGGCAAAGAGACCATAAAGGCTACTTGGTTGGAGATCAGAAAAACCTGAACTAATTCCTGCAAGAGATTTGGAGAAAAGATTGCAGAGATAGTCTCAATACAGAATAGAAAGTCAGTGGAAGCTACTGAGCAGTAAGCATGAAGGCAAGCCTTCCCTTGGTCACTGATGGTGTTGCCATTAACTGAAATAGGAGAATGCAGGTGGTAGATATACTTTAGAAAGAATACATATGTTGAGTTCAATTTTAACCAAATGGACAGGCTGGCATCAAACCATCTAGTTATCAGTTGGAAATACAAATTTTGGGCTCAGAAGTGAGATCAGAAATATGATATACAGACTTAGAAATCAGCTGATGTTTCCAACCTTGGGTGTGGCTAAGATCACCCATGATTACCAGGGCTAGTGAGAGAATGGGACCACAGATGGAACTATGGGGACAAGTTAAAGAATAAAAAGAGGAAGAAGAGCTGATGAACAAAACTGAATCACAACAAACAGAAATAGACAAATACGGTGTCACAGAAGTCACAGGAGGAAAAGTGTCAACGGGACTGAATGCTGATGAGAAGAAGTCCAATAAGCTAAAGACCAAAATTTATCCCCAGGGTGTGTAATCAGAAAAATGAGAATCAAGTACTTTAGTATTAATAAATGTTCAATATTTATTGATGAGCCATTCCAGGGAAATCAGAGGAGTATGAGCTGCTAGTATTCCTTTAGTGTCTCTGCCCTTTCTCCAGCTGTTGGTGCTAACTATTCCTTAAAGGAGGTGAAGAATAAATGGTGTAGCTGCTGCTCCCGAGTGGAGGACTGACAGAGTACCACATACACCTTTCTACTCCCACCCACATCCTTCCTCGTGTGCCCTCTCTTCTTTCTGTTCCCTGTGTTCTACAGATGAGAGCAAGTTTGCAGAGCCCTCCTCCAGGATGATCCTACCTACCACCAAGCGACAGCCATGCTTGGTTCTTTGCTAGGTCTCTTCTGTTCTTCCCGAAGTTCTAGGCTGAATGGTGAAAAAGGTGTTATCTGAAAATGAATGCAAAGTGACTTCTGTAGTTTTAGGCAGCTATTGTGAGGTGTGTATGTGTATGTGTGTGTGCGTTAAAGAGGACACCCTAAAAGGGAGAAGGCATGACAGAGCTGGAGAAGGAAAATCTAGAAGGTACATTTAGAACACAACATCAACTATTGGTAGCAGTACATAGTAATATCAGCTATAGAAATACTTCTATTTATTTTTCTACTTTTATTTATTTTAAAAAATTGCTTATTAAGCTCTGATATTTGTTTATCTGGCCACAACACACAGAATGCATGATCTTAGTTCCCTGACCAGGGATTGAACCTACACCCCCAGCATTGGAAGTGCGAAGTCTTAACCACTGGGCATCCAGGGAAGTCCCTAAAATAGCTTTTAAAGGCTCTCCTGAGAATCTTTTCTTTGTGCCAACTTAATTTAGTAAATGCAAACATTTAAATTTTCTTTTTCACATTCAATATCTATATCTGACATCTGATATTAGTTGCTCATAAGTATGTGTCTGATTAAAGAGTTATGCAAGAAAAATGATAGAATCTGCATTTTGAAGAGCTGACCAGGCAAAGAAGTCAAAAATGCTTTACAGTTGTGTCATTATAAGGGGCATGGAAGGGTATCAGGCAGCTGGAAACACATTAGAGCTGACACTGTTCTTTTCCCTCAACAGCCAAACCAACCCCTTCTGCTAATCAGCACCTGCCCTGGACCATTACCATCACAGTCTCAGCATGTGGGATTGCTGTGATCATTGCAGTTACAGTAACATGCCTGACCTGCAGTAAGTAATATTGTACTCTGGTAATGATCTCAATTCTGGACATCCAACCTCTTATCAGTACAGGTCAGCATCTCTCTGAACTTTTAAGCCTATTTTATTCTTTTTGGAGCAAATCTATGGAAACTTTAGTGTCTCCTTTACTTGTCTCAGCAAGTTCTGTTCATTCCCTGCACAGATATTTCTTGGACACCTACTATGTGCCTGGCACTCTACTAGGCACTGGAGTTACACAGATGAAATCACTGACCTCAAGGCACATTCTAGCTTAGTCCCTTTATCTTCCCCCTAACTCTGTATTTTATTGGAGATACTGAGGCTTGCTAACTAAATTGATAACATATCTGATGAAAAGCAATAGTCTAATCTTTGATTTGGAATTGGAGGAAAGGAAAGAATGACAAGGTTTAGGGGCAAGAATCATTTTCATGGAGGAGGGTAAGATGCACTAATGAGATGTAGTTGAGTAATTACATCGCTACAGGTGATTTACCAACTCTCAGTTCTTCAGAATGTATTTTTCGATGAAAGATCAGGAGTGGTTGAGGAAAGAAGAGATATTTAGGATAGGATATCTTTTTCCTATGAATCTAAATCTTTGGCCTTACACATATGCTATACTCAATCTCTGTAATTAAATGAAGAGGAACTGCTAGGCCAGTGTTAAGGCTATAGTCACCGTGAAGGAACACCAAGCTTTCTTGGAGAAGAAATTTTGTACACTGAGCAAATAGGAAAATCAACATCTGCTGACTTTTCCAACATCCGGCACACACAAAAAATCAAGGCTCGAAGAAGTCACTAGAGACTTTGCTATGAACAACTTACGTCACAGGTAGGATAAAGAGGTCTGGTGGGCTCAAGGACGTTTCTAATACAGACTGTCCAGCCCTACCTCTCTAGTTTACATTTTCTCATCCTTAGTACTATTGACTTTGAGGGCTGGATAATTCTTTGTTCTGCGCATTGCGATGCTTAGCGGCATCCCTGGTCTCCTCTCAATGTATTACAATAGCACCTCTTGCCCCAGTTGTGACAACCAAAGATGTGTCGAAGCGTCACACCTGTCCCTCGGTGGGGGTGGGGGTGGAAACCTGGGGTTGAGAACCACTGCTATAGCTCTAAGCCAACTGAAGTTTTGCCAAAATACATGGGCATGATTTAAGGGAAGATTACCTATCTAGATTTTTATTGCTTGCTCTTGTCTTCAAGGAAATGCTGCAAGATGGAGACAGAGAAGGAGGAATGAGGAGAACATGGTAATAGAAAGGTATTCTCTATCTACATAGAATCTGTGGAAGGATCAAGCTGACCAGAACACCTGGAGGTATCTTCTCTACCAATGTGGGATGTGTGAGATCTTGTGGCTTGTGAACACAGGGTTTTCTTCCTCTCAGGACCAAACCTAAGATCCTTTACCAAGTACCACCTTCTCAAAATCCTCATTCAGAGTACTCTCAACAGGTGGTTGGCACATCTCTCCTTTCTCCTCACATAAAATTTGTTTAGTGTAACCTTTTCCTTTGTCATGCCATTCTGCCATCTTAAAATGTTCCCCTCTTTTCAGTCAACTCAGTGTCTTTTAGTATTTGTCAAACACATGTACTATTTCTGAGCTAACTCCTTATTCTCATCATTCCTTTTTCCCTGTATCCCTCAGCACTGGGACACAGAGTGGGGTAGCTCTGTACTAATTCAGTAATATCTCATTGGTCTGTCTGCCTCTTACTAACAGAGTCATCCCACTGACCCAAGCATAGAGCCATTTTCATAAAGAATTACCTCTTTGGGTCATTTTCTCACTTAAAAAAAGAAGAGACCCCAGTGTCTACAGGAAAGGCTTCAGAGCTTACTTTCCATATTCCAGTTATCTCCTCAGTGTAAACATCCTCAGTTGTTTCTATCCTCCCTCACATGGCAGTTTCCAGGAGCACATGTGCACACCTTAAATGTCAGTAAGTGGTATCCAAGACTTTAGATTTGATCTGATTCTAAATATATATGATGGAGTAATTACTGTTCATCCAAGGATGTTAAGGGAGCCTAACATAAAATCAGCTTTTGTAAGTAACACTATTACAAGTGTTAATCGCTCAGTCATGTCTGACTCTTTGTGACTCCATGGACTGTAGCCAGCCAGGTTCCTCTGTCCATGGGATTCTCCAGGCAAGAATACTGGAATGGGTGGCCATTTCCTTCTCTAGGGGATCTTCCCAACCCAGGGATTGAGTATGGGTCTCCTGCATTGCAAGCATATTTTTTACCATCTGAGCCACCAGGAAAGCTCCAATTTTGGGCTTTGAGGAAGCCCAATTTGCACTATTCTAAAATCCCCAGGTCTTTTAAGAGAAACATTGGGACATCAGAATCCAAGACTCATATCAGGACCAGGATGGTTTACAGTCTCCATAAACAGTTCAGTTTTGACTTGTGAAGGTTAGGGTAACAGCTGCATACAAAACTCAAGACTCTGCAGTTACTTTTAAAAAGAAAAAAAACGAGATCTAACACCTGAGACTTACAGAGCAGGTTATGCTTTCAGTTTAGTTCAGTCACTCAGTCGTGTCCAACTCTTTGTGACCCCATGGACTGCAGCACCCCAAGCTTCCCTGTCCATCACCAGCTCCTAGAGCTTACTCAAACTCAGATCCATTGAGTCGGTGATGCCATCCAACCATCTCATCCTCTGTTATCCCCTCCTCCTCCTCCCTTCAATCTTTCCCAATATCAGGGTCTTTTCCAATGAGTCAGTTCTTCAAATCAGGTGACAAAAGTATTGGAGCTTCAGCTTCAGCATCAGTCCTTCCAATGAAGATTCAGGACTGATTTCCTTTAGGATTGACTGGTTGGACTCCTTGCAGTCCACGGGACTCTCAAGAGTCTTCTCCAACACCACAGTTCAAAAGCATCAATTCTTCGGCACGCAGTTTTCTTTATAGTCCAACTCTCACATCCATACATGACCACTGGAAAAACCATAGCTTTGACTGGACGGGCCTCTGTTGGCAAAGTAGTATCTCTGCTTTTTAATATGCTGTCTAGGTTGGTCATAGCTTTTCTTCCAAGGAGCAAGTGTCTTTTAATTTCATGGATGCAGTCATCACCTGCAGTGATTTTGGAGCCCCAAAAAATAAAGTCTCTGTCTCCAGTTTCCCCATCTATTTGCCATGAAGTGATGGGACCAGATGCCATGATCTTAGTTTTCTTTACAAAAGCATTATTTCATCTTATAAAAGTCTCTATAATCAAGATCGGTTTTTTTTTTTTACTTTTTATTTATTTTTTCTATTTATTTTTATTCATTGGAGGCTAATTACTTTACAATATTGTAGTGGTTTTTGCCATACATTGACATGAATCAGCCATGGATTTACATGTGTTCCCCATCCCGATCCCCCCTCCCGCCTCCCTCTCCATCCCATCCCTCTGGGTCTTCCCAGTGCACCAGCCCTGAGCACCCATCTCATGCATCCAACCTGGGCTGGTGATCTGAGCAAGATTGGTTTTACGGAGAGAAACTCAAGCCTCCAAGACCTTCAGTGATCTGCCTGAAGTCAGACAGATAAAGAGCAAAACTAGAACCCAAACTGGACATCAAGCTCAGATTCCTTTCATGGCTCCATAGCAGCCTATGTGTAATTCCCCCACAGCAGTCTCTCGGCTTCCAATTCTGCTTTCTTTACAACTTACTCATTCCCCAGGATGCCCTTCCCAGGCTGTTCCCCTCAGTTCTGCAATTACCGTGCATTTCCCTGACTTTCCTTCCATCTTAAAAGTTTTCTGCTCAGTCAGCTGAAGGAAGCCAGGAACCCAATCCCCTACACAAGTCTTCTGTGGCCATGCTGTCCAGTTCCAGCAGCTCTGCCTCTGACCGCCATAGTTGTGCTCTCTCAGGCACATCACTCTCCACCCTGGGTTTATTTTCATTCTTTACCAAATTGTAGGCTTACTGAGAAGAGCAAGCATGCCTGATACACCTTTGTCCCACACACAGCTGAGTGCGCACCTTTATTGATAATATTTGGTTGGTTGGTGACTGCTGGTGCATAATAATGCAATATTTTCTGTAGTAAAATTTGTCAGACCTGTCCTAAATTCTCGCATACTTTAGACCTGCCTTTATGTCATTTAGCCATCAAGATTAGTATCTATAATGGTACCTCAAGTAGGGAATACCCTTGCAATAAAAAAATATAAAAAAATTTTTTAATGTTTTCTTCAGGTCCTACCTCCACCTGAGATTGGCCTCTTCTTGGTGCTTCCGCGAACAGCCAGGGTTATCCCACCTCGACCTTCCTGTATCTGTTCTCTAGGAGCCCCTTTACTCCAGTGGCTTTGCTGAAAGTGACTAGAGGAGTATGATGGGGACAGAAGTAGTTCTGGTGACCTTGCCCAAGGATTTGGAAACATGGAATTCTTTAGGCCTGGAAGAGACATTAGTGAAAACCACTTACTAATGACAAGGATCTCGAAGTCCTGCGTGGTGACCTGAATTACAAAGGTCAGGGCCAGAACCCAGATTTGGTGCTCTTGGCTCTGGTGTTCTTTTCCTTCACGAATCGGGCTCTGTGCTACTGACTGGTTTGTGTGTATACACACACATGTATCTGTCAAAGTGCTTCTGGAAACAGAATTTATTCAGTATCATCTAGGTCCATCTCAAGAGACTTGATGTGATGAAGGAATGGAGGATGTCATGCCGTCAAAAGCAATCTAATGTTAATGTATGGGAAGTCTGTTTTAAGTACACCTAGAAGACAATGGAAATATTACTGGTATTTAGCCAGGATTTTATTCTCACTGTATTCTCCTTTTTGGCTTTCCCACTTCTCAACCAGGTTCAGGAGAAAGTAGATCCATCTAAAACTAATTTCCTGTGACATGTAGGATGAATGACTTATACACTAAGTCCCCTACATATGAACCCCCAAGTTGTGAACTTTTAACTAAAAATAAATTTTAATTCCTTTAAAAGTCTTTGAAGTAACAAAACAGGTATTATGCCAATTTTTAATTCAAAAGTGAACTTATGAGCTGTTTCATTTGTAGTTACTTTCTAGAACAAGTTATTGGTTAGATCATAAATTTTAAATGGAAGGAAGTGTGTGTTTTGCACACTTGCACAACTTTCTCTAAACCTTTCCTTACAGAAATTTGCATTTTTCTCCTTAACAGTTTATTGATAGCCTCAGTCTTAAACACAAAGATTGGCACCGTGTATTACATATATTGTTATGCCCTTGTTCTCTAGTACAATATTTACTTTGTATATAAAAGTAAATATTGTATTGTATATAAAAGCTTACCAACTTTTTCCCAAGCAATTATCAAAAAGCATTCATTTGGACTTTTCATAGTATTGATTTTTTAGTTGCTCCTATAAAAAACAATTCAGCAAAATCTATTCTTGTTTGACCTGTGACCTGGTAAATATGATTTACTTCAAAAAAAAAAAAAAAAAAGTCATTCTGTTTGCACTTATTAACAAGTTGCAAACTTTCAAAATTGTGAACGTGCATTCACATGTCCAATCATGTAAGTCAGCTCATGTGTCTGGCGCACACTGTCACATGCATTCTCTATAAGTGATTGTGCTTTTGTGTACTTTACAGTACTATATAGAGTACAATAGTACAGCATCTTTATTTCAAGCCCAGGATGTCCAGAAGCAAGTGTAAAAGCAGCAGTATACAGCCAATTGTGTTAGCTGGGTACCTAAGCTAACTTTGTTGGACTTACAAACACGCTCTCAGAACGGAATTCGTTCATATGTAGGGGACTTACTGTACACCCCAAAGCACTAGTAAGGTTGGAGAGTGATAATGTTTGGTTCACATTGGACTGATACTCTCCTTAAATGGCTTTATGCTAGTTTAATCTCATTTGTAAAATCTTTATGAGAAGGTTCTCATTTAAAATGAGATCATTTCATTGTGTATGTACTAAAGAGTAAGCTGTCTTTAGCATAAATTAATTGAAGTAATGAAAACAGCATTCCAAAGGGCTTCCTCAGATCCCTAAAGTGGCTTTTTCTCTGCAGTATTTCTGGATCCCCCTGACATCAGGGAATTAAAAAGAAAGGAGTGGCCAACTGCTGTTCTTACATGACTTAACTCAAGACTCCTCTTTCTCTGAAATTGCCTTCCATGCTCACTGGACCAGGAGTGGACCTGGTCAGTTAGACATTCTCATTTGAAAATCTGGAGTTGAACAGCAAGAGTTTGACCAAGTTTCTCAAATGTGGCAGGATTTAAAATGTTTCATTTCAGTAGCTTTATAGCTACTGATCTGATCTTTATAGATCAGATTATTCTATACAGTCTGAGGAACAGGGGTACACTTTTAAATGGTTTCTTACAGAACAAAATTCAAAAGAAAATAGAGGTAGTAGACTTACAAGAATTTAAAGAAAAAAAAAATAACAACAACAACAAAAAAAGCCCAGGAATTGCTTCATTAAGAGTCATAATCCTTGGACATGATTAAAAAAAAGTAATAGCCAGTACAAACCTAAGAGACAGCTTATTTGTACTTTAAATAACTTATAGTAAATTATTGCTTATTACGTTTAATAAATGTGTTAAAGGAGTTGTATTTTACTTTATTAATAAAATTATTTTAAAACCAACCATCTAATTTTATAATTTCCAGTTGAAAGATTTAATCTATACATGGGCATGAATAAAACAATAAACTGCCAATTTGTCAGCAATTTGTGAATGGGATGATTATGCTGGTGCAGAGGTTCTCACATCCTTTTAACTGCTAATATCTGTTGTTAGACAATGTCCTGTGTGCCACAGTATTGTGCTATGTCTTACACACATCATTTCATTTAGTATCTATTCTGAGATACATACTGTTTAACAGATGTGAAAACTTGAGACCTAAAGTAAAATGGCCTGGCTGTAAGTCACATGACCGCAAAGCCCCAGGGCTGAGATTCCAAGCCTGTGGTCTGCCTCCAGAGCCCACAGCTTTAGCCACTACTCTAGGCTGCTTCACAAACACTGCTCATGGGAACAACAGTATTGTCAGAGTAGGAACTAAGAGGTCTAACACCAAAACAAAGCACTAGCAGTTTTCTCCTTTCAGTACACTTGGTTCAGTCATTCTGCCCACTCATTTAATAAAAGTTATACTCTGCAGGGCAGCTTCCTTCTCAGGCAGCAAGCTCCTGGAGTAAAGAGACAGTGTATTCTGAGCAGCTCTTGTATACCACAGCAGACATACTTGTCAGCATTACTGAGTGAGAGAACAAGGTCGGGCTGTTTCTTTAATAATTCTCATCTACCTCCTTTTTGTTAAGTTTTATTTTATTGCAAATGGCATAGGAACCATCTCTGATTTGTATTAAAACAAAACCAAACGCAACTACACATTTAGGTTCTTACTGTTTTTAGGACCCAAGGGTTTCACAGATCATCTGCCTTACCTGGTTCTTTCTTCTTCTCCTAGTGATCACTACAGTACTCTTTTAAAAGGGCTACAAGAATAAATTTATAACCTGTAGAATTCAACTTTAATCTTTTGGGAACTCTTAATTTACTATTGTAAAATCCAGAGAAAGGAAATCTATATTGATCAGTCAATGCAGATACAAGTATGTACTTAAATCTAAGGAAGAGTAAAGTAAGAGTACAAGAGCCCAATTTTTGGTTAAAAAAAAGCAAGAGCAAGTCACTGTGCCACTACAGATGCCAGTGCTTACATGTGTCAGCAGCCCAAGCAACTGGCATGCTATAGACATGGTGACATAGCTCCCTTCAATTCTCCACTGAGTTTCAAGTCCAGAGCATGTTTAGTCTTTGTCTTGTTTATCTGTTGATGAAGGGTTTCTAGGAAGATTTAGCAGTGCTTCAATTTTCTGAGCATCATCCTTGGATCGATCTTTCTGTAAATTACTTTCAATTTCTTCAGGAAGGAGGTCAGTAAATTGTAGTCTGGCTTTCCTGTAATGAAAGTACAAGAAAGATATAGCAAGTACTATTCTATTTTTTTGGCTTTTTGGCTTTTCTATTTTAGAGTTTTTCTTTCTTAAGATCGTATTTATCTTATTCTCTCCTACAACTTATAAGCAAATACTTCTCCTTGCACTTCAAGTACAAGACTTTCTTCTCTCTCATAACCTGTTTCACTTACAAGCCAAGTAGGAGTCTCACATTACCAAAATGGACATTTCCAGGGCAGTAGCTCTGATCCTTAAGCTATTCCAGAGTTCTCTCAGCAGTGACTTGCAGTTGCTAAAACACCTTGAGCTTATATGTGAGCCTTGGAACCAGTTTGTGCTCTTGCCCTCAGGGCCTAGGGGGATGTGAAACCCCCTGCCACTCTGTTAAACTCTGTTGACAGATCTTGCAGGACATGCACAAAGGTTATAACATTGGTAATCTCGATACAGAGAAGTCAGATAGGACACCACTACAGACGTATATTTATTAGGAGTTAAAATATCTAATTTTCAAATAAGAGGTCAGTTCTTTTTCTAAGTCAAGTATTAGTGTCTTCCTTCCTGTAAGTGATTATCAAGGTCACCCATGACTTTCATAAGAAGATTTGATCATTTCTTCTTCTATGTCTCTATGGAAAATGTAGCCAGTGTTCTAGATTTTCTGCTCAATAAGGCAATTTTTCAGATTCTCACTTTGTTGATTTCTCTATACTGTAGTTATTTTCAAGCAAAGAAGCAGACATTTAAAAAGTTCTTAACTATTTATTAACTGTCCTCAGAAATACCACATATATATTATATACATATAAATAACCTGAACACTTCTGACACTGACACAGTGACATTATTTCCTTCTGCCAAAATACTCTTTCATTTCTATAAATCCAGTTTTTTACCCATGCTTGAGGTTTTTTATCTCTAAATAACTGATCCACTTCTCTAGCTTCCTTTTCCTAACTGGAATACAATTCTTGTGCATATTTTTCCAGACGTTAAGAGTCCTTCTGTCACGTCCTCTGTCAAAGAATCATGCACTTTCCTTGCTTTCCAACTCCTTTCTCAAAGATTCTTTTTTAAAAAAGAAGTCTCATGACACCTAGAGAACTAGAAATAAGCTAATGCTTCTATGCTTTTAACCCTCCATAATATCAAATTTTATGTTGGCAGTCAGAATTTTAAGTGCTTTATGATAGCTTCATATCTCACTCACCCTCTTACTATGAAGAAGAAGGAACAAATGTATGTTGGACACTGTGGTATGATTCTGCCCTTACAACAGCTGAGAAAACTGATGGCTTGAAGTTAAGGAAAACATCTATGTTCATAGAATTAATAGTCTAGCTGGTATTTAAGATTTGTTTTCAAGGTTTCACTGGCTCCAAATCAATGCTTTTTCTCCTATAGTACGTAAGTCCTTGGACAACAGATTTATAGATATTAAGAATTTCCATGTATGTCTATGTGAGTGTGTACGTGTGTGTGTGTGTGTGTGTGTAGCACAAACGAAGTTTCAAATAAAACCAAGGGAAAAAGAAGACTTCTTATCTACCGAACTACCAAAGCAGCAGCAGCAGATGTCATCTTAGTGGGCAGGAAGCAGAACCATGAGAATCATTTGTACCAAAGCGCTAGACGGCAGACTATTATGATGATCTTACACAGAATTAGCAGGAAGTTGGCCATCACTGGATCCCAGGGAGTGACTATATGAACAAGAGACAGTCTGCATCCTTCTCAGTAGCATCTGGTCTATGAACAGCCAGTATACGTACCTAACACCCATTGCAGCCACAGCAAGAAGTATAATAATTAAATGTGGAGACCTAACATGCTATGTAATGTTCATACAATATGTGTAAACAAGGATATCATCTTTTAAGTAAAGCCAAGTAAAGCTCACTCACTGCTATTCATTTCCTTCATGTAATTTCCAATGCAGTCACAAACAGAGGAAAAGAAAAAATATGCAACCAAATAAGATTTATAACATTTAACTTAAAAAAAAAATGTATCTAAGGAAAGGTTCTCAATTAGTATATTTCATTTTTCCATTCTCCTTAATTAAAAATATTAAAGACCAAGTAGGGTACCAGGTGAAAGACTCAGTAAAAAGCAAGTCTGACTTGAGCAGCAATTTAGAGTACCTGTTTCAGAAACCATCAGTCTGCAGATACAAAAGCCAAACAATCCAGTCTTAACACACTCCTTACCGTTCTTCCAGTTTCAGCTCCTGGAATGCTTTTCGATCCTTCTGTTTTCTCTCCTGAACTGTCTCACCACAGTACATCTGAAGTGCCATCAATAGGCTTCCTATAGGAGTGCTGAGGAGGAGGCAGAAGGAACATTTAGAAGAAAGAGCCATGAGACCATGCAGAATGAGAGGATCTCTGCTAAGGCATGAGTAACACTAACCAAACCACTGGCTCACTGACAGGTGCAGGGACATCTGACAGTTAAAGCATCCTTGTCAAATAAAAAAATATTAAGATAATTTCCTTCCTGGTCTGAACAACAGGAAAAACAATCATTGCAGCACCCTAAATTTAACTGATATAAAAACAACAGGTCTATAAATTGGCTCTTTTTTTAAAAAAAAATCATGAAAGATAAATAAACTAGTAAAAAATATATTTATAAGTTCTAGTTAGCAGCTTTATACTGAAGGTTTCTCAGAAAAGAAATTCATACCAGAAATGTGAAGGGCAAGAAATGTGAAGGGTACTTTCGGTTGGGAGAAGGATGCTACTGGCTTTGGGGGTTGGAGCTGCCAAAATATCCTAAAATTCAAGAGTCTGGCACAACTGTCTCACTCAGAATGCCAATAGTTACCCACTGAGAAAATGACTTAGATAAAAATTATCACAGTAATAACGAGGGTTTTGTTCATATTTCCAAAGAGAAGGAGTTTTTTACTCTGATACAACTTAAATTCCTTACTTAACATTGTAACCACATTTTAAAAATTATTTTTGCTAGGTGGAAATGTTTGTTGATGATGAATGGATAAACAAAATATGGAACTGTATATACAATGGAATATTATGCAGTCCCAAAAAGGAAGATCCTGTCACATGGATTAAACTCAAGGACATTATGCTTAGTGAAATATGCCAGTTACAAAAGGAAAAATATATGATTTCACTAATATGAATTACTCAGAGTAGCAAAAATCACAGAAACAGAAAGTAGAAAGGTGGTTGCCAAAGGCTGTGTGGGGATGGGGAAGGGAGCATGGTGTTTAATGGGTACAGAGTTTCAGGTCTGCAAGATGAAAAAGTTCTAGAGACCTGTTGCACAACAATGTGAATATAGTTAACACTACTGAACTGTACACTTAAAAGTGGTTAAGATGGTAATTTTTATGTTATGTGTGTTTTTTAACCACAATAAAAAAATATTTTTGCAGCTAATTTCAACAATTTTCCCCTTTAAACCAAGTTGGTATATTAACAAGAAAACAAAAATGTCAACAGATCATCAAATGATGAATTTTAAAACAAATTTGAAAGGTGAGGGAGAACTCTTCTTTCTATTCAGGTGAATGCCAACTAATAAAGACAGAAATGACAAAACTAGCAAATCAACATTTTGTAACCAGTTTTATATTAAATAATAACGGATTACATTAGGGATCATCAATGGATCATTAAAACCACTAAAAAACAGCTAGAGAGTAGATAATTCACACTACTGTACCCCACAGATTACTTATTAAACACAATGGAAAAAGATAACTTTGCAGTGGAGAAATTTAGTAGATATCAAATGTGCTAAGCAAAATTCTAAAATGGTCCCCCAAAATTTCCTGCCCTAATTTTCTCAAATATGAGTATATGATGAGAAATTATGCCCATGATTATGTTATGCAGCAAAGTGGATTTTGCAGATGTAACTAAGGTTACTGATCACTTGAATGAGTTAATCAAAAAGGAGATTATCTGTGTGAACCCTCTGAATACAGTTTTTTTCCCAGTTGGTGGCAGAATGGAAGTCAGAGAGATTCAAAGTATGAGAAGGATTCAACATGCTGGCGGCTGGTTTGAACATGGAGGGGGCATGGAGAAGGAATGTGGATGTCTCTAGGAACAAGATGGTGCCTGACAGCCACCCAGGAAACAGGGAATTCAGACCTACAGCCACAATGGTTCTGTCAACAACTTGAATTTTATGGAAACAAATTCTTCCCACAGAGCCTCCAGGTAAGAGCCTGCCTGACCAACACCTTGATTTTTAGCCTCATGAAATACTAAGACGAGAACCCATCTGAGCCCATCCAGACTTCTGACCTACAGGACAGTGATATAATAAACCGGTAGTGTTTGAAGCTTCTTAGTGTGTGGTTAATTTGTTACACAGCAACAGAAAACTAATATATTCAGTTATATCACTTACAAGGGGTGACCTAATATGTCTCTTGACATACACTGAGAAGGATACAACTTTGCCTATGAGTTGTAATCTTGATGAAAACATTAAACCCAAATCTAACCATGAGGGGATAATCAAAGAAAACTGAGGAATATTCTGGGGGGAAAATCAGGTGTGGGACTAGTCTAGCTTAAAGGAATCTAAAGAGACATGACAACAAAATACAATTTAATTCTGGATTCTACAAAATTATATATTATACACATACACAGAGCATTACTGTAATAACAGGAATTCTGAATATGGACTTTATCTTAAATAGTATTGAATCAAAGGTAAATCATTTATTGTGATAATTGTACTGTGAAATCACTGGAGAATATTCTTTCTCCTGGGGAATACATGCTGATGTATTTAGGGCTCAAATACTTCAAATGGTTCAAACAAAAAGAAATATACACATGTCCCACACAAATACTGAGAGAGAGAAAACAAATATGGAAAAATGTGAACAAATGGTGAATCTAAGTGAAGATTATATGGGTGTTCAACATACTAATTATCTCAACTTTTCTACAGGTTTGAAATGTTTCAAAGTAAAAAGCTGGAGAAGAAAAGTCTTAAAATTTATTAAACTAAATAAACAAACCTAACCCCCATATTTTTTATGTGCTTGTTAGCTGTTTGTTATTCCTTTTTCCTACTCTTTATAAGTATCTGTGTTCAAACCTTAGTTTCAGGTGTTAATGATACTTAAACAGTTTTTACCCAGTGAAGACCAGAAGTAAAATCAACAACTGAGATACAATCAGAACTGGACAATCAAAGCTACTACCATTACAAGACTGTGCTGTGCTATGCTTAGTCGCTCAGTTGTGTCCAACTCTTTGTGATTCCAAGGACTGCAGCCCACCAGGCTCCTCTGTCCATGGGGATTCTCCAGGCAAGAATACTGGAATGGGTTGCCATGCCCTCCTCCAAGGGATCTTTCCAACCCAGGGATTGAACCCAGGTCTCCTGCACGGCAGGCAGATTTTTTACTGACTGAGCCACCAGGGAAGCTCAATACAAGGCTAGAGACCTTTAATGGGATTAAATCCTCTAAGGATTAAATTTGTTCTTTAGAAATGATTCAGATTTTTAACAGGCAAGACATTAATGAATTAATTAATAAGCTAATTAATAAGTTATATTAATTTAGAATCAAAGTATGTTAACACTTACCCCAGCAAGGCTCCAATTATGCCACCAGCTACTAGGCCATGCAGGCCTAAGTTTATTCTAAAAAGACTTCCTGTGACAGCTATTTTAAAAGAAACAAAAAGCAGTATCAAATCATTTTTAAACACCAGAGTTCCATTTAAACATGTTCTTTCTATAAGGACATAAATCCCCAAATAAGCTTTTTGAACCCAACATTAATCTATCACAACCTAGACTTCCCATATGGCCAGCTTCTCATCCACTCTGCAAGTTTAAAGGAAGAAACGTCCCTTTAACAGAACTGCTCAGTGGGTTCTATGGACCTAGCCTCTTCTCATTCTGCTTCTGTGCTAACCTCACCTTAAAAATCTGTTATTTCTTCACTTCTACCTCTTTTATTTCTTCCTGCTTTAAGGAAAGTTTTCTCCAAATAAACAATAGAAATCTTCACTAGCCACTTGCAGTTCATGTCTTTCCCCAGCTTCGCCCTTTTTTTTTTCCTTTATGGACGCGCTGCATGGCATGTGGGATCTTAGTTCCCCAACCAGGGACAGAACCTGTGCCTCCTACAGTAGAAGGGCCATACCACCAGGGACGTCCCCAGCCTCACCAGCTCTGTACTGCTAAGCTTCACCTCTCCAGCAGGCCTGCAAGTGGGCAGTTGGCCTACATTGCCACCTGGTGGCTGGAGCATAGGTCCTTTTTCCTTACCGCTAAGACTGTACACCCAAGATGTCCATTAATTTTCCTCTTTCACTATGCACAACACAACAAATGCCATTTCAGGTGGTAACATTTTTAAACATTAACATTTGAGGTTTATATTTCTTATTTAAGTATAATATATTCATTTTTTAACTTCTATTTCATGATTTTTCTCTATCTTTCAACTGTAACTATTATGTGTCTAGGTGTGAATCTTTTCACGTTTATTCTTCCTGGAGTTTGTTGAGATTCTTAGATGTAGATATTTTTCATAAAATTTGGGAAGTCTGTGGCCATAATTTCTTAAAATTCTTTTTCTTCCCTTTTTTTCCTTTCCTCTTCATTATCCATATTCTTGATTGTGTCCCACAGATCTCTGAGGCTCTATTCATTTGTCTTCATTTTTAAAAATTCTGTCCTTCATAAAAGATAACCTGTATCAATCTATCTTCAAGTTCATTGATTCTCCCATGCTCTCTCAAACTGGCTGTTGAGGGCCTTCTCTCCAGTGAATCTTTAATTTCCATTTATGTATTTATCAACTCCAGAATATTCATTTGACTCTTAAAAATAATTTCTATCTTTAGTGATATTTTCTGTTTGATAACCATCATCACATTTTAATTATTTTAAACACTTGAAGTCGGAATATCTTCCTACCTAGGGGCATGGCTATAGTGATTTGCCTGGACCAATTCTGTGGAGTCTTAGTTTTCTTGTTTAGTAGAGTGCAGCCAGAGAGGTCTCTGTTCAGTTTTTACTTTTATGTCTGGCTTCCTAGGAATCACACTAGCTTGGCAGACAGCCAGTGATTTGTCAGTGGCTGTGATTACACATTTTAAGCCAGTAAGGCTGTCACCTTTTGTCAATGGATCTGTCTATGGCTTGAAGAACACAGTCAAGGTTTAGGCAGTTTATAAATCTTCTAGCTTTTACTTTCTGTGTTCATGAGGCCTCACAATTAAGCAGATAATCAGCTTGCTAGGGCCCGTACCAGTCTCTCCTGAGTGTGCTTACACAGACAGGTAACTTTCCGGAGTTCTGGGGATTAGTAGGTTCTTAATGAAGTCTCCGTTGGGTTTCTTGTTCTCTGGATATCTTTGGTAAAATTCTACCTCATCCACTAATCGACTGCTTGCCCCAAACACCAAAACCTCCAGTTAGCTGTGTGATGTTGTTCTTTCCTAAGTGTTTGCTATTGTTTTCAGCAACACCCTGAGGCATAGAATTTTCTGTGCTCTGCTCCAAATCAAGTCAGTTATCTCCAACATTAGATTGGTCTTCCCAGCCTGCCCTGCCCTTGTGGAACTTCTATATCATGGAGCTAGGCATTAGGTGGCAGCAGCCTCAGGCTGAAACACTACAGACTCCCATTGTTCTTACCAAGATTTAGTAGAAATTCTTAAATAAATGCTTCTCAACTTGTTGTGTGCCCTTGCTCAGTTTCAGGATCTTTAAGGGGTTGTTTTTTATAACTTTGTCCAGTTTTATTATTACTTTTGGAGGAAAGGATTTGCCAAGCTCCCTGGATATTGAAAATACTTTTATAAGTGTTCAAACAATAGTGGTGAGAGAAGACCTCCTTACCTGATTCTGACTTCAGGATAAATTTTTTTTAATTTTAGTGTTATTTTAATGTTGGTTGCTGGTTTGAGATAAAAATATATTTTCTATCATATATATTTTTCTATTTTTATTTTAGTAATATTTACATTTAATCGAGAAACCTTTACTCTACCCTGCTATGTGTCAAACAATTGTGACATAAAAAGCAAACACTTTCTCTGAATTTTAGTGAGTTGTCTAGTAGGGAAGCAAAACAAGTAAACTGCTACAACACAGTGTTATAAATGCTTTGATAAAACTGTTTACGGTGAATTATGAGAACACAGGGGAAAGGCACCCAAGAGAGGAAAATGGGAGCTAGGAGAACCCTCTGAGGAAGCTGAAGCAGACAGATGAACTCAACCTTGAAAGACAGGTGTTAAGTATGGAGCTGAATAAAATTAGTTATGGGAGTGAAAAGTTGGATCAAGCAAGAATTCTTGTAAAGAAAGAATATGCTGGGTTTGAGAAATCAAAGTAGATTATAAGGCTCATTAAGAGTGGTACATGGAGGTCAGGTCAAGAACTGACCTTAAATAAAAAAAGAATTGACCTTAGTGTGATGAAGTCTGAAGCAGAAAAGTGCTAAAATCATACTCATATTTCAAAAAAAAAATCAGATAACAGTAGAGGTTTGAAGCAAACCAAGATGATAAACAGGAAAAACCTGCAGTAGCAGTGGGAAAAGAGGTGAGAGAGCCCAAATATTTAAGAAATAAGACTGACAGAACTAGAAGTTTGGAAAGGGGATATAAAGGGCAGAACCACATCATTAATTGATTTTCAGTTTTGGAATTTAACAGGGTAGATGACAAAAAACATACAGCAGGAGTAAATATGAGGAGCAAGTGAGGGCAGAAACATGAGTTTTCTTTGGATATAGGCACTATAGAATATCCATGTAAAATTTTTCACAAGTTAAAACAGGGCAAGTTCTAGCTGCTCCAATGCTATTAATACCGATCTCTCGTTTCATGTTTTTAAATGTTTTCATTAAAATGTTAAGCTCAAATTATGTATATGTGTGTTTGCCTGTGTATTCACAGAAAAAGAGGGAGTACACCTAAAACAAAGAGCATAAGTGATAAAGCAAATAGGCTAAAATGTTAGTAACTTGGAATTCCCTGGCGGCCCAGAGGTTAGGGCTCTGCACTTTCACTGCCAACAGCCTGGGTTCAACCTCTAGTCCGGTAACTAAGATTCCACATGCTTTGCAGCCAGAGGTGGGTGGTGGCTGTTGTTCAGTCGCTCAGTCATGTCCAGCTCTTTGCAACTCCATGGACTGCAGCACACCATGTTCTTCACTATCTCCCGAGTTTGCTCAAACTCATGTCCATTGAATTGTGATGCCATCCAATCATCTCATCCTGTTGTCCCCTTCTTCTGCCTTCAATCTTTCCCAGCATCAGGGTCTTTTCCAATGAGTTGGCTCTTCACATCAGGTGGCCAAAACACTGGAGCTTCAGCTTCAGCATCAGTCCTTCCAATGAATATTTAGGACTGATTAACTTTAGGATTAACTGGTTTGATCTCCCTGTGGTCCAAGAGACTCTGAAGAGTCCTCTCCAGCACCACAGTTCAAAAGCATCAATTCTTCAGCACTCAGCCTTCTTTATTGTCCAACTCTCACATCCATACTTGATTACTGCAAAAACCACAGCTTTGACTAGACAGACCTTAGCTGGCAAAGTGATGCCTCTGCTTTTCAATACACTGTCTAGGTTTGTCATAGCCTTTCTTTCAAGGAGCAAGCGTCTTTCAATTTCATGGCTGCAGTCACCATCTGCAGTAATTTTGGAAGCCCAGGAAAATAAAGTCTGTCACTTCACCCTAATGGCAGAAAGTGAAGAGGAACTAAAGAGCCTTTTGATGAATGTGAAAGAGGAGAGTGAAAAAACTTGCTTAAAACTCAACATTCAAAAACTAAGATCATGGCATCTGGTTTCATCACTTCATGGCAAATAGATGGGGAAACATATAGAAACAGGATAGGTATGGGGTGGGGAGCTTAAAAAAGTTCTTAACAGTAACAGAATCTTTGTACTAAAGGATACTGTTCATGGTATTCCTTATATTACTTTTATTTTTGCAACTTTCTATAAGCTTGAAGCTATTTCCAAACAAAAAGTAAAAAACTGTTATGTGAAGCATATGTGTTTTTTTTTAATGTGAGGGAATATACATGAATTAGTGAATGTTTGCATCTAAATGGCAGTTAACTTCATTTACATTTTGGGAAATGTACTGATTTGTACTAGAAATGTAATGAAAATGTTCAACACTTTTTTAAATGTTCATTTTAAAGAGGGCATGTCTACCAGAGGCAGAGTGCTTTAAAACAAAATCTAATTTCTTATCATGAAAAATCTGGCTCCTCTCTACTTCACCTCACAATTCTCTCAAGCCACTCTTCCCCTCATTGACTATGTTGCAGTCATATTATCCTACATCTGAGAAACCTTAGAGCCTTCACCCTTGATGTTACCCCTGCTTAAGTGACTCTTCTCTGCAAGGCTTGCTCCTTCCCATTCTTAAGCTATCAGCTTAAATGTCACTGCCTTAGAAATTGATCAGCCTGTCCACATTAGATCCTACCTCCTCACCTATTTATTACTTTTTATCATAGTAACCTATTTTATCCCATAGACATTAGATGATAATACTCAAAAAAGGCAAAGACTTTTTTATGTTTTGTTCACTAAGTATACCAAAGACCAAGCACATTTTCCATATATCTTGCATGAATGTTAAATGAGATGTGATGAGAAGCCAACCTAAGAATTCAGTAGCCATGACTTATAAGTCCTTACATGTTTCCTAAACCATATTTGAGATTGAAATATGAAATATGAACAAAAATGTCTTACCTCCTGCAATGACAAAATGACTTAAGGCATTTTTATTTCGGTAAACATTTAGACCAGTGTTAACTGTACTAGGAAGGAAGAAGAAAACAAAATTTAAAGCATATCTCAATTACCTTCTTGACTTTAACTTTCACTAAAGTGATAACGTGTTAGTTTAGAAGAGCCTACTATGTCAATCCCTGGTCCCAGTAGGCTCCTTCAGTGAGTGTGTTTCAGATTGCTATAAAAAAATATGCCATTTAAGCAACAGAAAAGTAAAGAAAAGTTCTGCAGAATTCCTCTGATTTAGCAACCCTATATCTATTTTGATACTAGTTGGCAGGCCTTCATGTACATGCGTGCTCAGTTGTGCAAGGTGCTCAGTCATGTCTAACACTTTGTGATGACCCCACAGACTATAGCTCTCCAGGCTCCTTCTGTCCATGGAATTTTCCAAGCAAGAATACTGGAATGGGTTGCCTCCTCCTCCTCCAGGGGAATTTTCCTAACCCAAGGATCTAACCCACATCTCTGGCAACAGCAGGAGGAATCTTTACCACTGTGCCACCAGAGAAGCCTGGCAGACCATCATCCATGGATACAAAACTACGGCTGGACCAATCTTTTGTATAAATAGATAACAGTTCTTGAGAAAAAGGTATCATAGATCACTTTTATATGGGTGTTCAGATTTTATAATTTCATTTGTTAAAACAATGTGCTCCTAAAAGAATACCTAAAATCCTTCATGACGATTCAGAGAACTTACTTGAATATAGTCACAAACATGGCTGTTCTCCAACTCCAGCGCCAGCCATACCGGATGAAGCCTCGTGTAGCAGCACGATGGGCAGATTGCTAAAGTTAATAAAAAAGGCTGTGAGGTTCTGAGACACCTTGATACTTTCCCTATTCTAAAACTGTGGTGGAGGAATGTCAGCTAGGAAATAGGTAGGATAGGTAGGGACACCTAAATAGGTAGAAACAATAGAAAATCTCTAGAAATATCATTCTTCAATTACTGAAACTTAAGCAAATGTACCATGCGCACTCTATTCTATCACAGGGTATAAAAGGAACTAAGAAGTGCAGTGTGAACCAAGTAATTCATCAATTAAATAGCAACTAAGACTCTATATGACAAATACTATGACAAACATAAAAGCAGTATTAGACATGCTTTTTTTTCAAGAAATTGTGGGGAAAAGAAAAAACAGAAAATAAAAAGGAACACTGAGTAAACTATAAACGGTAAGGATTAAAGTAATACAGATGTGTACGAGAGGAAGAAAGGAAGAAAAAACCCTAACCTTTACTGACCACCTTCTATGTAAAAGTTGCTAACATATTACCTCATTTAATCTTTACAACATTTTCTTCAAGCAGGTGTTAAAAGGCATTAAGAGGACATTTCTAACCAAGATCACTCAGCCAACAAAGAATAAAGTCAGAATTGGAAGTCAGGTTGTCTGTTTCCACTGCTCATTTTCATTAACCACCATGAAGCGAGTCTGGCATAATATTGTGAGGGTAAAGCCTAGATTTTTAAAGAATCTGACAGAATCTCTAGGTGTAGTCTTATCTACTATATGATACTGCGCAAGTCAAAGCCTCTCTGAAAGGTATCAGTGCAAACTCATGGCTTTTAGCAAATAGGTAGACAAATACAGAAACAGAGATATATATATATGTATGAAAGTGTATATAAATCACACACATACATACACATTTCCTAGCTCTATCTGCCTAGACACCATCATACCTCAGTAGCAATGAGCATGCCTAGCTCCAGATCTTGTTTTTTAAATACCATTTTCTTTTTGCCACTTTATTTTTTTTAATTGAAGGATAATTGCTTTACAGAATTTTGTGGTTTTCCGTCATACATCAACAAGAATCAGCCATAGTTACACCCATGTCCCCTCTCTCCCAAACCTTCTTCCCCATCCCACTCCCCTAGATTGTCACAGAACCCCTGTTTGAGTTCCCTGAGTCATTTAAAGGCCATTTTAAAAGAAACAAAGCTGCTGTTGAAAAGATGAACCAGAAACACCATGCTGTGCCCCAAAGTAAAGATGAGTTCAAAGACTACTGGAGATATCATTAAAAGGACACAGGAGCTAGCCTGAAGGGGTTCCAACAGTCTAAATCCAAGCCAGGTATCAAAATAAATGATGATAATAATGGATTAGAAAACCACAGAATAACACGAGTCAACAAGTCCACACTGAATAAATTATAAATGGATAAATGGACAAATAGAGGAAAAGTGAAAGCTCTTCCTTATAGCACAATACTAACCAATAAATATACATGGACGATGGAATTAGAAAATGGACATTTGGTTACCACCACAGTAATAACTATTTTAGGAAAGAATCAGCATTGACTACTGAAACCAGAGGGTGAAAAATTGATGAAAAATAGGATATTTGCATAGTCTCAAAGTATCTAATAAGTATTCCTAAGATACTTATTAACCACAAAGGGAAAAACTCAATAATTTTATAGTGGATAAACATGGCAAGGACCATCTGAGTTAAGTGATTAAAGTTAAGTATCCCCAGTAGAGGGACAAATAGGTATCTCATGCTCCTTATCATTACTTACTGGGAAGGATACAGTATCAATTGTAGGATATTCCTGTGAAAACACTTAAGTGAAATTTAATCACAAGAAAACATCAAATGTCCAAATCGTGGGACATTCTACAATACAAAATAAAAGGCCCAAGTCTTAAAAAATATTGAGGTCATGAAAGTCAAAGAACAATAGAAAAACTGTTCCAAATTAAAGGAGACTGACTAGAGAGGCACAACAGGCAAATTCAACATCTGATCCAGTACTAGATCCTGGACCAGAAAAAAAAAAATTTTAATAACTTGTTTACTTTAAAAATAATGTTAGTGGGACAATAAGCAAAATTTACATAAAGTCCATTGATAAGATAATAGTACTCTATCAGTATTAAAGTCCTGAATTGCATAATAATATTGTGGTTATGTAAGAAAATGTCTTTAAGGAAGTGGAACCACGGATATGGGGGACGTATGATACTATGGTTTTTTTAAAATAAAAAACTCAAGCATTTGTGGATTTTGGTATCCACAGGAGTCCTGGAATCAATCCCTCTTGGACATTACAGGACACTGGCACTACTTTTGCAACTTTTAAAACTTGACACAATTAAAAAAAACACCACAAATTTTAAAAAACAAAAAATTCTGAGCCATAACTTCCTCACTAGGACAATAGAACTGACGTACAGATTTAAGATAGAACAAATGAGTCAGCACTCAACAAACTGTAAAGCTCTAAATGTTACTGATTATTTTAGTGTGAGCTAGTGGACTGCACACAGGCTTTCTGAATAGGATAAATACACTACAGCTGAGCCTTGATGATTTAGCAGGAGATTAGAAACATACTTCAGAAAGTAAAGCCATGGTCGTGATCAATTCTAGCAAGAAAAGTGGTCTGACAAAGTTTGAGTATGCACTATAGCATTAGCACTTCCACTGTTGCTGAGTATGCACTATAGCATTAGCACTTCCATTGTTGCTGAGTACAGACTTTGTTTCCTAAATCTTCTCAACCCTAATATCTAACTAGATGATTAAGTATAAAGTGAACAGCTAAAACTGGCATGCCCCCAAATACTATTAGAACACCAGTACATACCACAGCATCAAGCTGGTTGCGGTAAACTTCTGCTTGGCTCTGCTCTATGTAGCGCTGTTTAGCATGAATAAATGCTGGTATTCCCCCATATGCCCAGCCGATGATGCCTGCTGAAATTGCTGCCTTGTAAATATCCTGAAGTTCTTTTGAAGTTCTCTGCTGTTCACTAAAACATCAAAAAGACAATGTTGTTTGGGATTAGTTTATGGATACTGCTCTCCAAAAGACGGTATGATCAGAATTATCCCAAATGCTAAACAGGACTTAAATTTTTCATGATGGGCAGAACCAATTAAACCTTCTGATGAATTAAATAATTATATTACAAGTAGCTCAAATCTCAGTCAAAACTAATCTATGCTTTCAGAAGTTAGGTTAGTAGTTATTCTTGGGAAGGCAGTGACAGAGAAGGGGCACAAGGGGGAGCTTCTGGGACACTAACAGTCTCAGGGCTGGATACAGAGTTAGGTTTAGTGAAAAGTCACAGACAGGTATACTTATGTACATTTTTCTAGGCGCATATTTTATTTATACTGCAATAAAAAGGTTTTTTAAAGGGTTATTTTATTTGATGACTATTACAGCTCTACTATATCCCTGGAAACAGAAAGAATTTATAAACTGGAAGCAGAAATTAACAATTCCCTTTTTGAATTTTTAGATAACTTTTGGAAATTATAAAAACTTATGGGATCTTAGGACAATGTATGCAAGAATGAATACCTATACGTAAAAAAAAAACCCAAAATTTTATCTTTCTGAATATTTAATTTTTATGTCATGCTCAGATGGGCCTGTACTATTAAAGACCACTGAATGAGAAAGCTCATGATGCAGTGGGCAGCACAGACCAACCTAAAATAAATGGGAAATGCTACCATCTCATTCAATCTATTACTCTCAAAAGCATTAGAAACTAGAAGCTATATTGCAGCTTCCAAGATGTCCTCTGAAAATTGCTCTAACAAACAGCTAAGTTTGTAAGTGTTTAGTTACTAGAAGTAATAGCCCTCCTACATAAGTAAACTACTGAATATTAATTTTTTACAAACTACTAACTTGCTTTCTTCTGAGACTGTACAAGTGTGTATCTAATTCTAATTCTATCTAATTTATCTAATTCTAACAACCACATTTCTGAAATCAGAATCAGTGAGTTCCTATAGTTCCCGCATATACAAGAGAGAAACCTAAATAAAATTTCTTGACAAACGAATTCTTATATCAATAGGAAAAACTGCTATAATCTGAACTTTATATTTTATCCTGTATAATGAATAAAACCAAAAACATTTACATAAAAAGTGGGAGAACTCGGAAAAGAGAAAATGAGAAAAGAGCTGAAGATATAACAAGCCAGGAAATGCATACGATATCCTCTTTTTCATCCTCTGAAAAATTCCATGACATAGCGATATTTTTTCTCCATATTATCAGCAGACACTCTAAAAGTTACATGATTGGGCCTAAGAACTAAGGAATGGTAAACAAACAGGGAAAAGTGGTGGAAAAGACCTAGACTATAAGTAGCAACAATGGGGTTGTAGTTCTGGTTCTGTCATCCACTGCTAAGTGACCTACAGGTAGACACAATCATTCTGAACCTTGGTTTCCTCACCCATGACATGGAGGGGACAATGAAAGTTATATTAAATTATCTTTCAAATTTCCTTCAGCTCCAACATTCTGTGGCTTATAAAGCTGATCAAAATAACCTTTTTCAAATGAATCTGAGTCAGTTCTAGTGAGTTGGATGAACTGAGAGCCTGTTATACAGAGTGAAGTCAGAAAAATGAATATCATATATTAATGCATATACATGGAATCTAGAAAAATGGTACTGATGAACCTATTTGTAGGGCAGGAATAGAGATTCAGACATAGAGAACAGACTTACAGCAGGGGCAGGCAAGGGTGGGAAGAATTGAGACAGTACCATTGAAATTTACACATTACCATATGTAAAGTGAACAGACAGCTCATGGGAAGCTGCGGTGTAACACAGGGAGCCCAACCTGGTGCTCTGTGACAACTTACTTGTGTGGGATGGGGTGGGAGGATGGGAGGGGAGGTTCAAGAGGAAGGGAACCTATCGCTGTTTCATGTTGCTGTGTGGCAGAAACTAACACAACATTGTAAAGCAACTATCTCCAATTAAAAAATAAATCAACAAAAATAAACCTTTTCTGTTGTGTACTACATAGGATCGTTCACAAATATCTCAAGTAAATCTGGAATGACCAATGGAAAGGCGGCCTCATTATCTTTAAAATAAGATGATGAAATCTAAAGAACAATTAAATTCCACTGGCTCCCCTGCTCTATTTCAGCAAGATAATAAAGCTTCAACGTTAATTTAACCAGTTGATATTACAGTGTAGTATATGGTAAAGTACTTCATAAAAAGGGAAAACTTTTCACCGGTGAGGAATAAAAATGATGAAATTAATTATCCTGAGTTTTCCATTAAAGTTAATTCAATTTAAAGGGTTATTTATCATTTATTCTGACACCACTTTACTTGTGAATCCAGCTAATATCTTTGCAACAACAGTTGCTACTGTTTTTTTATACCTTCCTTATTTGGCAGAATAAAAATTTTAACAACTGTGTTTTCTCTCCAACCTCCATTTTTGTGGCGGGGAGGAGGGCTACTGTTCAAGAAGCATCAGAATGTGGCATCAAGTGATACACGAGAAAGAATACTGGAGTCCTCCAGATGTTGGTTCTAGGGTCACTAAATAGCTTGCCCTAATTCTTCTAATTTGTAAAGTCAGGGGATTATATTAAACACTAAGTTTAGACTCCCTAAACATTCCTAAAAGTTCTTACTTTTAGTTAGTCTCACCCTCTCCATCTGAAAACCGGCCTGTCAATCAATAGAACTACCAAATAGCAATGTTAGGATAAAAGCTTGGAGTACATTACATTAAACTCCAAATCCCACAAAAATAAATCACACCACCCTGGGGTCCTTCGCCCCAGATGACCCAGGCTGCAGGTCACCTGCTTCGTAGCCCCTCCCCACAGACCGTAAGCACTTTTACTCTTTGACAAACAGCTCCCGGAGGCGGTCCCATCCGGATTCCGGGTATTGGGGTTCTGAGACGAAAGAAGACAGTTCCTGGTCCTCTACAAGAGCCTTGGGATCGGCGGCCACAGCTTCGGCAGCAAAGACCCGAGGAAAAGGACTCAGCGTCCTGCAGAGGAAGCTCCGTGGGGCCAGCGGCCGCGCCTCCATGACCCTCTCCGAACCTGTCGACAGACACTCGCTTGGGCGCTTAGGAGGCCAAGGCCTCACGGAGGTGTGGTGGGGGTAACTGCAAGAGGAATGGGCAAATATCTTTACACTAGCCCCGAGTTAATTTGCGGCCATATCCGCCGAAACACCGCTTGACACACAGGCCCTCGATGCCAAGCCTAACTTTGGAGGAACTTGGACACACGAGACAGGAAGTCCCTCCTCAACGAGGGCAAAGGCTGCGGGACTGCGCAAAAGCGGAACTGAAGCCGAACACACTTCCGGCTGGGGTCGGGACGGTGCCAGGCCAGCCCGCCGGAAATGAGGTAGTGGCAAGGAGCCACGCTCAGCGCAGTATGATTTCCGGTGTCGTCCTCCTCACCCTTCTGCAACAGGAAAGCAGGGTAGTAAGTAAATTGCAGGCGGAAACATGCGGTCTTACGCTGATGTGAAAGTGGCTCAGTCATATCCGACTCTTTGCGATCCTATCGACTATAGAGTTCATGGAATTTTCCAGGCCAGAATACTGGAGTGGGTAGCCTTTCTCGTTCCCAGGGGATCTTCCCAACCCAGGGATTGAACCCACGTCTCCCGCTTTGCGGGCGGATTCTTTACCAGTAAAGCCACAAGGGAAGCCCAAGAGTACTGGAGTGGATAGCCTATCCCTTCTCCATGGATCTTCCCGACCCAGGACTCGAACCAGGGTCTCCTGCATTGCAGGCGGATTCTTAACCAGCTGAGCTATCAGGGAAGCCATTTAAAACAGCAGAAATGCCGTGAAGAAGAAAAAGTGCGGTGTTCATTACAAGTGGTGTATGGAAAGGGGAAGGCAATTTGGGCAAATGAATCCTAACCTACTCTGTCACAGACTTCCGGGCTGGACGGGGTTCATTCTGGTTTTCAGAAAAGACCGAGGCATTGAAGAGGAGTATTGGTGCCGGGTGCCCCGAGATTTCCAGAACAGTTTTTAAAGAAATCCGCTCTGGGCTCCACAAGATAGGATTTACTCCCCTTAGTTTATATGCCTACTGTTTCTCAAAAGGCAGGACACTTTCTGGAATTTCTACCAGGTGTTGACTTAATAGTTATAATAGCAATAATATCCCACCACTACAGCTTTCATTAACATATACTTCAAAGTATAGTTTTTATTAAAATGTACGCATTTAAAATATTCTCAAACTGGTTTGTGTTATTTCATTTAAGCTCTGCCAGCAACCAGTCCTTACTCATCCTTATTCCTTTCTAGGTTTAAGTCTAAACCGTTACACTCTTAGTGAGATAAGGTAAATAGATTTCTGGAATTTGACAGCTGGAATTCTATAGATAGGGCGCTGGGAACTGACTGATAACAGTGACTAGCTGAGTTAGTCGCGGCGCCAGGAAGATCTCTGATGTCTGGGAGAGGGGATTAGATTCAATTCCCATCATAGCATTTACTACATCGCATCATTATTTCCTATTTACTGTGTGTCTCAGTAGACTAACTTTGAGGTCAGGGATCATGTATGTGCATTTCTGTATCTCCAGTACCTACATTCACATAAGTCTTTGAATCAAGCCTTCAGAGCCTTGACTCCTGGTTCTGGCTGCAGATTGCTGCCTAACCCATACAGGCAGAGGTGGGCACCATATAAAGTACCAAGGTGTGAAAGCTCAAGGAAATGGCTATGCAATCTGTCTAGTCTACATGTGGAAAATCTAAATGCTTAAGATGACTCCACAATCATTCTGGGATGAGGAGGACTTTAAATTGGAGGGTAGGAGTGTGGGCAGGTATTACTGAAATAATTGATACACAACTTAAATGCTCCCTCACTACCTTATAGGTAACAAATGAGATTAACAGGCAAATTTTGCTAACGCAACTAAGCCTCTTTCTTAAGGTTCCCTTTGTCATCTGACCACTCAAGAAGTCTCCAGATCCTAGGCCTGCTCACACTGTTGCTGCTATTCCACCTCAGCTCCTGAGACTACTTGTCACTCTCCTACTCTCCTGCTGCTCCAAGCCCTTGGGGTTTACCTTCCTTTCCTGTTGTTCAGTTGCTAAGTTGTGTCTGACTCTGACCCCATGGACTGCAGCACACCAGGCTTCCAAGTCCTTCATTATTTCCCTGAGTTTGCTCAAACTCATGTCCATTGATTCGGTAATGCCATCCAACCATCTCATCCTCTTTTGCCCCCTTCTCTTTACCTTCCTTTACCACTATGGAAATATTCTCCCTTTTCTGTGGTCTGTTTTTTTGAAGGTTCTCAGAGCAACATTAAACCAAAACGTGTTATTCGGTTCACTTGGACCACTGTTTCACATTGAGCTTGCTCCTTTCCAGGATATACCTTTGCCACCAGAGTAAAGGCATCAGAAAAATTTCAGTGCAGTCACCACACTGTCTGGAACCACTATTCTACCCTCAGACTTCTTGCTGATTTCTGCTTACAGAACTCAGCCTCTTGCCCCATCATGAATTTTCCCCCAGGTGTCAGGTTCCCTTTCCCTCCTAGGTTCTCTGGGTACTGCCCTTGCTACATAAATTATATTATGTATGATATAAACTGTTACCACAGGGAAAGAGAATAAACCTTCAGAACTCCAGGGACCATTTAACCTTCAAAGTGTAACTCAATTTTTACCTCCATTAAGTTTCCAATTTGCATCAGACAGAAATGTCTTCTACCTTTAAACTTCAAATCCACATTGTCTTTATGAATAATTGGCCTTATGATCAAGGACTCGTGTCCCCTTAATCACCTTCTGCCTATGCAGCCTCTCATACTTTGTTTCTACTTTGCCATCTCAACTAGAGAGCTGCTTCATGCTAGGGAGCCTGGTGTAAACATTTTCTTACCTCCCACTGTTTGTATACAGTAAATGCTCAAGTATTTAATAAATTATTAAATAAGTGATTTGTAATTGTACCCTTCTGTTTAACACACACCCTCCCTTGGGATGCAGTGGGATTATGTTAAGTGAAGGCATCTTTGGTGGCACAAGAAGATGTGTTTTTACATATCCATGTGCGCTCTTCTTCACTGTCAGATCAGGTGCAGAGTAGGAAGCTATCCTCTTCAGAACTGACCCAGAAAAGCCTACTGACATTTTTTTCTTAGGAATTCCGGACTGAGAGACAGAGCATTTAGTCTCCGGATCTGCACATGGCAGCACTCTAGAGACTATGCAAATTCTTGCTGAGATTCCTAGAGCTGCTCCACTTTCTACCTTTCCAAGTACTCCAAGATGCCCTCATATCCATCTAAAAAGTTCTTTTGCTTAAACCAGCTACATTCTAGGGAGCCTGTTGTAAACATTTTCTTATCTCCCACTGTTTGTATACAGTAAATGCTCAAGTATTTGATAAATTATTAAATAAGTGACTTGTAATTGTACCCTTCTGTTTAATGCACACCCTTCCTTGGGATGCAGTGGGATTATGTTAAGTGAAGGCATCTTTGTTTCTATTTTCTTCTACTAGGAAAACCTGATGTAACAGCAGAATAAGGTGGAACACTGACATCACACAGATGATACTCCCCAAATAAAGAAAAATCATTCCTTGTGTTATCCAAGTATCTCACTTTACTCAAATAAACTCAGTTATTCTCTTTTCTTGAAGAAAAGTGTGGCTTTTATCTCTGAGAAGGAAAGGGTAAGTTTGGAATTCAGCTAGTATTAACAAAAAACAACTTTCAAAAGTTATGGAGATAAAAAATTACTTTCAAAACCATACATTTTATATGTCATTACACCCATCTTCATTATCATCTACACTGAGGTAAACAAATACATGTAAAATCTGAATAACATCTGCTGTACTTAAATACAAATGGTCTTATTAACTGTTCAAAGGACAGATGAGAAGTTGCATTGATCCAATTCTTACAGTCTTGTCCAATCCCTCTTGAAGCCAATGGCTGGGCAGTCTGTAAACAGGATTTAGTTAAGCGTACTGTCCCCATCCATCCATCCATCCTTCCAACATTGTTCTGTGCATTCTTCTGTGTGAGGCACTGTGCTGGATAATGGAGAAACTGGGGTAAGTAAAACATGATTCCTACCCATCAAGAAGCTCATAGGGGAGAAAAAAAAAGCTCGCAGGAGAAACAGTCAAATAACTACAGTACAGTGTGATGTCATACAATACAGGCTCGAGAAAAATATGATAGCCTCTAACTGCCTAGAGTAATGAAAATAAGGAGTCTGAGAGATAATGCTTGAGTTGGAAAGACTTCAGGGGAAATGCACCTTCAGCTGCTAATCCAAAGGACAGAAAATTTTGCTCTTAGTTTTGTTGTTCAGTCGCTAAGTTGTGTCTGACTCTGTGACTCCACAGACTACAGCAGGCCAGGCTTCCCTGTCCTTCACCACTTCCTGGAGTTTGCTCAAACTAATGTCCATTGAGTTGGTGATGCCATCCAACCATCTCATCCTCTTGTTGCCCCCTTCTCCTCCTGCCCGCAATCTTCCCTAGCATCAGGGTCTTTTCCAATGAGCTGGCTCTTCGCATCAGGTGGCCAAAGTATCGGAGCTTCAGCATAAGTCCTTCCAATGAATATTCAGAGTTGATTTCCTTTAGGATTGATTTGTGTGATCTCCATGGTGTCCAAAAGACTCTCAAAGAGTCTTCTCCAGCAACATAATTCAAAAGCATCAATTCTTCGGCGATCAGCCTTTTTTATGTTCCAACTCTCATATCTATACATGATTACTGGAAAAACCATAGCTTTGACTATATGAACTTTTGTTGGCAAAGTGATGTCTCTGCTTTTTAAGACACTGTCTAGGTTTGTCATAGCTTTTCTTCCAAGAAGTAAGTGTCTTTTAATTTCATGGTTGCAGTCAATATCGGCAATGATTTTGGAGCCCAAGAAAATGAAGTCTGTCACTGTTTCCATTCCCCCCCATCTATTTGCCATGAAGTGATGGGGCCAGATGCCATCTTAGTTTTCTGAATGTTGAGTTTTAAGTCAACTTTTTCACTGTCCTCTTTTACCCTTGTGGCTCAGCTGTTAAAGAATTCGCCTGCAATGCGGAAGAACCAGGTTCAGTCCCTGGGTTGGGAAGATCCCCTGGAGAAGGGAAAGACTACCCACTCCAGTATTCCAGCCTAGAGACTGTATAGTCTATGGCGTCGCAAAGAGTTGGATACGACTGAGCAACTTCCACTCCACTTTCACCCTTGTCAAGAGGCTCTTTAGTTCCTCTTCATTTTCTGCCATGGTATCATCTGCATATCTGAGGTTGCTGATATTTCTCCCGGCAATCTTGATTCCAACTTGGAACTCATCCAGCCTGGCATTTCGCATGATGTACTCTGCATAGAAGTTATTAATAATAAGCAGGTTGACAATATACAGACTTGACGTACTCCTTTCCCAATTTGGAACCAGTCTGTTATTCCATTCTGGTTCTTTTGCTTCTTGACCTGCATTTAGGTTTCTCAGGAGACAGGTAAGGTGGTCTGGTATTCCCATCTCTTTAAGCTTTTGGTTTAGTCAGAAGAAAATTAAAATAGAATGATAATATTTACCAGGGCCTCCTATTGATAAGGCAAAACCACAGTACAACTCAGAAATCTGGATGTCTTATTGCCAGATTTACGGCACCTAGGGACACAGTCCCCGTGAGTTTTTAATACTCAAAGACAAAATTCAATTTTAAACACTTGCCCTGTTCTATGCAATGATCATATCAGAAAGTCCTCTAAGAAGGTCCATAGGCTTATAGTTTCATGAAAGGGAGTTTAAATGGCCAAATGCATGTTTCATAAATGGAAATATAGTCCCTGATTTTATATAACTGAATCTCACATTTACTAATTTTGGAACCAGTTGATACCAAACAGTTTTTAAGAGGCAAAGGAAAAGAGTTGATTTCTCAGTGGAAATTTTGGGCCTAAAGAACAAGGATAGTTCTGAGTCATTGGACTATATGGGTTTTAAACTAGAAGTTTTTCCTCATTTTTGACTATGTTAGGGAGAATATCCTGAGATTAAACTACTATCCAAATGTCTTTTTCAAAAAGGAAAAAGGAAGCACTCCAACAGGATGTGCACTGCAACAGGAATCTCCTTATAAGTGCTAAAGTTGACTGCTCTAAACTCCCAACTTGACACCGTTTCACACATGAAGACTCCTTGAGATCCCAGCGAGCGTGGACTGCTGCCAACTCAAGCAGGAAAAATATTAAGGGTATGTGAAGAATGAGGAAGAGTTGCTGTTTTATGCAAATTCCTTTAAAGAGTAAGGACTATTTCCTAAATTTATCAGGAGATTTTTAATCATTCTTTTTTGAAAGAGAACATAAAGGATGTGAAGGCACAAAAAGGGAAGCTGAAATCCAATTGCAATGACTACTCATGCAATTGGCCCCTTTCTACATGGCTTTATAGAAACCTTCTGAGTACCAAAGAGTTTTTGTACGTGTTTACAAAAGAAAGCTCCTACATTGTTTCATGGCACACTGCTGCTTCCTTAGACCTTTCAGAAAATAATCCCCAAGTATTCTTTACAAACCCTAAAGGGCTTTCTACATTAAAATACAGCGACAGAGATCAAGTGTAGAATAAGTGCAGAACTGTGGTGATGAGTTGTACTAGTTTCATATGAGTGACTTTCTACTCAAAAGAATGAGACAAAGGGCATCACCCCATGGGCACAGTCAGTTTCACAGTGTGGACATAGACATATGGATGATCTGAGGCACAAGCTGTGATTGGTCCTAAGAAGATGAAAGGCAGAATTAGGTTCAAAACCCACATCTCACGATTTCTGGTCCTTCTTCAGTAAAGATGTTGAGTGACTTCCTAATTGTATTCCACACAATTTGGATCTTTCTCCTAAGTTGCTCCTGGTACAGCATGATAAGGAAAACCAGATATCTGACTTGGTAACAGTATCCAAGGTATAGGTGTCACATTCACAGCAAGCCTCTCACCATAGGATATCTGAGGTCTGATGCCATAGAGAGGACTATGGCCTGATCATGACTACTAGAGTTCAGTTTTCAAAAGGCTGGGTACAATCTGATTGTAGCCTTTCCTTCTTGTTACGTTATAGGACAGGAATTTAGAGTATTCGGTCAACAGGTTCTCCCAGTAACAGGTGATGTCATCCATCTTCAAGTGGTTCAGAATAAACTGGCTTCCCCTAGAGACAAGATTAACAAGAACAGTTGAAGCATAACATTTAATAAAACTAGTAGCTTACATTTGAGTACTTACCTGTGCCAAGCACTGTTCAGAACACTTCATGTAAATTAAGTCTTTGATCTTCAGAACCAACTCTACAGCCATCGTATCTACTGCTGCTGCTGCGTCGCTTCTGTCCTGTCCGACTTGTGCGACCCCGTGGACAGCAGCCCACCAGGCTCCTCTGTCCACGGGATTCCCTAGGCAAGAATACTGGAGTGGGTTGCCATTTCCTTCTCCAAAATATCTACTGTACACGTGCATTTGGAAATAGGACATTTTTCCCCCCCTTAAAAACAAATATATAAAGAGCCAATCCTCAGAAAGGGTACTTGAACTACTTCAAAGATTTCAGTCTACCTCTACAAAGGATAGGCTTGGGACATAGGTGAATGTGTGGTTTTCCCCAGGATAGCTTTGATTCTAATTATCTCTGTATAATGAGGCTGACATTCAGATAGCACCATGGTAACAACATTCTTATGATTTTAGCTTGGGAAAAGTAGGAATGATTAAAGTGGAAAAAGAAAAATGAGGAGAACTTACCTTTCAGCAATTTCTTGAGCTACATCATCATTTGCTTTTACAAACTGCAACAGCTCCCTAAAATGCAAAGAATTATTAGGTTTTGAAATACAGACCATGCTCATTAGTACTAAGCAGAGAGATCACAGACTGAGGTCTGCAGTTAATCTTTAGATATATGGATGTTGGGTTTTTTTAAAAGTAAAGCTATCGGGTCCTCACAGGATCAAAATAGCAACAAAAAAAGTACTCTGCACATAGGCTAAACAGTCTATTGTAGTTTTGGAACATATTTGGGAAAACAGAGAAATGTTCAATGATACACACCAAAAATCAATAGTGAAGAAAAAATTTCCCTCCTGTCTCTTGCTCTGGTCCCCAGAAGAGGGCACTGGGCTTATATTTCTGGCCCTCCTCCGCATGCCGTCCTAACTCTTCCCATCATGAGAGGAAATTTGCCTTCATTTCACTGAGGTCAGTTCTCACACTGTATCTGAAAATCCTTTTGACAATATAACACAATTGAATACCCTTATCTATTTAGTCTTTGAGAGATTAGTGCTTTTTCACTGCATACTATCTGAATGTTACATTTTGAATCAGCATTACAGCACTTAAAAAATTAAATCCCACTCAAGTCTAGTTGGATAATAATGCAATAATATCTTTGAAAACCAAATTTTTTTCTTAAAAAAAGCTTTCAGTAGAAAAAGTCATTAGGAATAAGTATCTTGAATGGCTGGGGACTTAGGGGCAGACTGTGGGATTCATCAGAGACTCTGCTTGAGGGATGGCTGCTTACTGGACGTTGGAGAGGTCTGTTTTTACTGGGATGTAGTGAACCCATGGCTTCAACTGTGGGTAGAAGAATTCCAGCCACTCGTCACCAACATGGAAAACAAGTGAACCACACAGAAAGAGGTGTTTGAACCGGAAACTTGCAGCGACACCCCGAAAATTAAACAAATACCTGGAAAAGAGAGAGCAAAATATACTTGATAATATATTCCTGCTACCACACATGACATTTCTTTCTTATCCCCTCTTCTTCTCTCCTTTTATTACCCTCTCTTCTTTCTCTTTCCATTTTTAATTTTCAAGGACCCATCAGCATGTCCCTGTGGAGTTTCCATAAACTCCTTGCTGTTCCAGGGGTTAGAGCCTGTTCCTGGAATATCAGGGTGAGGGAGAAAGAGAAATACTTTCTCCAGGCAGAGACAGATAGAGCCAGCAGCTGGGTGCTGGATACAAAGCTCAGTGGAAACAATATCTCACCCTATTGACAAGTTTTTCTAGGCCAGAAGTCTCGACCTCATCATGGGCACCCCACAAAGCCTGGCTTTCCCCACAGGGTTCCATATATGGTCAAAGGTGTGCCCTGCTCCCTGTTTCCTCTTCAGAAGTCTGGAGAAGACAACCAGGCATGCCTAATCCATCTGGAAAACAAAGCTAATAACTAAGGACATCTTCTTTTCAGCATTTCTGGTACCTGTCTCCACCCAGAGCTGCGTCTACTCTGTAGGTCCCACTGTGCAGTGTAATCACCATTCATTTCTTTGAGTATTCCCACTGCCCACCTCCTGACCTTGTTTTACCTTCATCTCATTCTTAGTCTTGGCATTTGAATATAATACATTAGTTACGTATGCCTCACTCATGTTGAACCTTAAACTATTTTTATTAACTTAATAAATGACTGATCTAACTTCAGCTCTTGTGGGGTGCGGAGAGGGGACCCCATCCCTTTGATTATGGGCATACAGGTTCCCTGGAAGCAGGGACCATGTTTCGTTGTCTCTGCAGTTCCCAAAGAACCCAGTCCAGAGCTTGGTGCACAGCAGGGTCTCTGTAAACAATAACTAAATGAATTAATGTGACTTTCACAAACCCCAGCTGGACCCTAGTATTAAAGTTCTCATCCAAAGAGAAGCTATTCCAAAAGCAATAGGGAAAACCACAAGAGTCAGGAGTCCTGGAAATCTTACTTGTATTTGCAGTGATCCACAAGATGGACATCCTTAGCAGCTGGCTTTCCCAAGGTATCCTTTCAGGGAAAAGGAAGTTGTTAGTATTAGCAGCAGGAGCACTTATTAAAGATCACTGTGCAACAAGGGTCACTGAACATTTCATCAACATGACCTCACTGAAGTCTCAGAATGCACAGACTCAGGAGGCAAGGCTGTCTCACTTTATAGATGAAGCAGCCGAGGCTTTGAGAAGTTGGGAGGCTTGCTCAAGGTCACACGTAGATGAGATTGGGCTTTAACTTGGTCTGTATGATTTTAGAGTTTAAGCTCCCCTGGGGCCATGTGACTGTTCCTCTGCACTCAGGAGGTCATGGCCTGCAGCACAACTCTCTCAGTGTAAATCATATGGCAAAGGAGGTTACAAACAGTGGCTGGTGGGCTTAGAGGTGTAGCCCACACATAAATTTTGTTGTACTCACAAAGTATTTGAAAAATAAATATTCAAACCACTGCCCAGCATTTGTAAGTGGCAGGATACTTCTTACAAAAATCCAGATTTCCATTTTTCTTGGGGGCAAAAAAAAAAAGGAGGATTTGGCAAAGAGAGCTCCTATTCCCCTTGGCAGAAATGACTGGACCTTCAGTGCTCTCTCCTGCTCACTACTGCAGCCCCTGGGGGCATCAGAGTCTGAGACCCCTATCCCCTATCCATATTCCAGCCACCTTAGCAGATGGTGAGGGGAACAAGTCTTGCTTGCTTCTGCAGGCTCCCATAGTAGATGCTGTCATGAATGGATACATTTTTTTCATACTTTTATTTTTTAACAAAGTTTCTTACACTGCATTTGCTTCTGTTTGAATTAAATGATCATGTGATAAATACATGCATCTTTACTTAGTATTTCTTAGTTTTCACTTAGTTTTTCTGACAAGACGTTTAAACATTTTCTCCTATCATCCTCATATGGTATATGTAAATTTCAGATGAGGACATTTACAACTTAAGAGTCTCTGAATAAGGCAAGAAAGACAGAGTTAAGAGGATAGAGATGGGACTCCCAACCAAAAAAGCCTGTCATTGCTTGTTTCACCTTAGAATCTCTTGGGGAATTTTAAACAAATGAAGATGCCTATACACCATTTTCAGAGACTTTGACTTATTCTATTAATTTTTAAGCTCTCTGGCTGGATTGTATAGTCAGGGTTGAGAACCAATGGTTTAAACTAGATTTTGGCAAACTTACCGCCCATAGGCCAGATCTGGGTCACTGCTTGTTTTTGTATACAACTCATAAACTAGTTATTTTTACCTTGCAAATGGTTGGAAAAAATCCAAAGGATGATATTTTTACGACATGGGGAAATTTCATGAAATTCAAATTTCAATGCCCTAAATAAAGTTTTATTGAAACACAGCCATGCTCATTTGTTTACATATTGTCTACGAATGCTTTCACACTGCAGTGGCAGTGCTGAGTAACTACAACTCAGGCTACAAGATCTGAAAAGCCTAAAATATTTACCATCTAGCCATTTACAGAAAGTGTTTGTGACCTCTGGTTTAAGCCTTCAAAATAATATAAAATATGAGTCATAATAAGGGCCCGGAAACACAATGTGAGTTTGAAAAAGAATAATTTACACGTATACTAATTTTAGTCCATGGAACGTCCTCAACATTCATCCCACCACTGAGAGGAAACCTAATGTGAGGTTCTACCCAGGTGCAATGTTCTTGGAGTGAGAATGTTCACTGCTGTAGCTCTAGTCAGATAATTAGTGATTACTTTCATAGATTTCCAGGCCTGGTTTTTGGTGTACTCTGCATCAACAAGTTTTGGGTTTTTCCGAGATAGAAGAATGAGAGGATCTCGTTCTGGACTTGTCCTATAAAAGAAACACAAGACATAGAACTATGTGTCCTACACTGTAAGATCACTCCCAATCACTGAAAGGTAAGCAGTAATCAGACCCAATGCGATGACCATACGCACAGATGAACAACTCATGGGTTATTTAATAGAAGAGGAGGGGGATACTAGATCCTACAGCATCTAGGTGGTGCTGGCTGTTTGCCACTGTACCCTTCAGGGAAGGGGAGTATTTGGCCTTCTTTGCTTGCATCTAGTCTTTAGGATTGTGTTATTCTGGATACTACAGCCACATCCCAGGGAATTATTTCCCTTTTAGAAGTTTCATGTAACCTCTAATCACTGGTACTCATAGCTCACCACTCACCAAAACAGCTACATGACCTTTGTTGGGTGTGCTCTGTAAAACCCAGTATAACATTTAAATTAAAAAGACAACTTAAGGGCTCAAACACCTAAAAACTTATTGTAGAAAAAGTCCTAGTTATGGTTCTAGTAGCAGATGATATTGACATTTGAGGGGTCATGGACTCCCTGAGAATCTGCTAACTGTGGACGCCCTCTCTAAATATCCCCGTATAACTTCAAGGAGTTCCTAAAAGTCTTGAAGTCCACACATGGATCCCAAGTTAAGAATCTGTAATCTGAAGATCTGAGAACCAGAGATGGTGACAAGGAACCATCAGCAGTGATTGTTGGGCTCATTTGCACCCTGAAGCCCACCACCAAGTGAAGAGAGAGTGTGACCTCTGACAAGGACACACTGAGAAATCTGCAAAACTCTCCCTTCACAGTCTCCTTGGTATTCATCTGTCCAACAGATACTCACTGTGCATCTACAGGGTGGGTACTGTTCTCAACACCGGGGACATGGAGCTGAACAACATGGACTCAGTCTTCCCCTAACCTTTTCACGCTCCACCTTCCTTCCATGCATCTCTCTCAATTTTCACCAGTTTCAGTCTGCGCTTCCACCACTATTTGGCAGCCACATGGTCTGATGAAAAAGGCAGCTAGAAGAGCTAGTGATGGTTCCTGCTCTGCCATTAAGTGGCAGAGAGTCTGTGGGCACAATCATAAAGTACTCCTAGGAAAATGCAATCTCTCAGGCAAGAGAACAGCTCATTGTTCTATTCAGCATTAAATAATTAAAGTCCATCACACTCATCACACTTTGTAAATGTCTGCTGAATGACTGGACAGATGAACTTTACTTCTTTGAATTTCAATTCAGCTAAAAGTGATTTGGCCAATAATTTGAGTTCTACTCTAGGCTAAAATTCTGTGATTCTATGTCTTTTTCTTAGTTATCTTAGTTTTCTCTTTGAACTAGAGTTCCCCACACCCTCAAAATTTTACACATTAGCCAGAAGAGTATCTTTGTAAAATGTCAGAAAGTATAATCACCTTGATCCTCGGAAATATGCTGTGGAATTTTTCTTTTTCCATGGCCACTGTGCGGCTGACCTAAAAACAGATTTCATTAGTTTATGTGTTTCTTCCTTAACTATAGAAAGAAGTGTCTGAATCATTTCTAAAGCTTAGCTGAGAGCTTTACATTTTAAAGTAAGTCTGACCCAGGCTACTCAATTCACTAGCAAGGTAATGCCCCAAATCCTTCAAGACAGGCTTCAACAGTACGTGAACTAAGAAATTCCAGATGTACAAGCTGGATTTAGAAAAGGCAGAGGAATCAGAAACCAAATTGCCAACATCCATTGGATTTTTGAAAAAAAGCAAGGGAATTCCAAAACCATCTACTTTTGTTTCACTGACTATGAAGTCTTTGTGTGGATCACAAACTATGGAAAATTCTTAAAGAGATGGCAATATCAGAGCACCTTACCTGCCTCCTGAGAAACCTGTATACAGGTCAAGAAGCAACAGTTAGAACTGGACAGAGAACAATGGACAGGTTCAAAAGCGGGAAAGGAGTACATCAAGGCTGTATATTGTCACCCTGCTTATTTAACTTCTATGCAGAGTACATCATGCAAAATGCCAGGCTGGATCAATCCCAAGCTGGATTCAAGATTGCCAGGAGAAATACCAACACCCCAGATATGCAAATACTACTACTCTAATGGCAGAAAATGAAGGAACTAAAGAGTCTCTTGATGAGGGTGAAAGAGGAGAGTGAAAAAACTGGCTTAAAACTCATTATTAAAAAAGCTAAGATCATGGCATCTGGTCCCATCACTTCATGGCAAACAGACAGGGGAAAAGTGGAAACAGTGATGGATTTTCTTGGGCTCCAAGATCACTGCAGACAGTGACTGCAGTCACAAAATTAAGACACTCCTTGGAAGAAAAGCTATGACAAACCTAGACAGCAAATTAAAAAGCAGAGACATCACTTTGCCAACCAAAGTCCATACAGTTAAAGGTATGGTTTTTCCAGTAGTCATGTACGGATGTGAGGGCTGAACCATAAAGAAGGCTGAGTGCCGAAGAACTGATGCTTTTGAATTGTGGTGCTGGAGAGGAGTTTAGAGTCCTCTGAACTTCAAGGATATCAAACCAGTCAATCCTAAAGGAAATCAGTCCTAAATATTCATTGGAAGGACTTATGCTGAAGCTCCAATACTTTGGCCACCTGATGTGAAAAGCGGCTTATTGGAAAAGACCCTAATGCTTTGAAAGATTGAGGGCAGAAGGGGGCGACAGAGGATGAGATGGTTGGATGGCATCACCGACTCAGTGGAAACAAGTTTGAGCAAACTCTGGGAGATAGTGGAGGACAGGTAAGCCTGGTGTGCTGCAGTTCATGGAGTTGCAAAGAGTTGGACACGACTTAGCCTTAGCGACTGAACAACAAGGCTACTCAAAAGAAAAAGCTCTAAATGACATTATGTTCCCTTTTATTATTACTTTATCTTCTGGAGATGCTAGCTAGCAATATGTGCACATCTACTGTTTGGTTAATAAGTTAACAACATTGAAAGAAAAGTTCCCCAAAGTAAATGACATGTTTAGGGCTATTTAATTCAGTACAATAAGGATTTCTTCCTTACTTTAAGCAAGAGTCTAGAGGATGAGATGGTTGGATGGCATCACTGACTCGATGGACATGAGTCTGAGCAAGCTCTGGGAGTTGGTGATGGACAGGGAAGCCTGACATGCTGCAGTCCATAGGGTCGCAAAGAGTCAGATACAATTGAGCGACCGAACTGAACAGATTGATAAAAATTACTAGCCAACAATAACTGCACAGAACATCAGATACCGGATCAAGGGCAAGGAAATAAATTCCTTCCTGACTTTATGTTTTAGATGCATAGGAAGTATCATCAGATTTAGTCTGATTTTGCAAAGCATTCTGGTATCCTCAAACTGTACTTAGTGCTCCATAAAGACCAAGTCCCCGAGACTCAGTTCTCAACACCAGTTACCACGGCCAGCTTTCCTTGCTGAAACTGCTAGCTCACAGATGCATCATTTTTTTTTTTAAACACCAAAACCATTTTGTATTGGGATACAGCCAAACAACAATATTGTGATAGTTTCAGGTGACAGATGCATCATTCTTAACTTGCTTTGTGGGAACCCTTCACAGAAGTTTTTTCAGTGTCTTTCTCTGAAAAAGGAGGGGGTAAGACTGAAGTGGAGTTCATGAGGGCTTGATGAGCTGTTCGCTATAATGGAGAGACTTCACACATACACTTTTCAGGTAGAGACACTGTTCAGATACAAACAGTGTCCCATTACTTATTTTCTCCTAAGTGACCCAGTCCTCCGTATTTTTCTGGCTTATCTTCCAGTTCTTTCTCACTGGTTCATCTTTACCTGATTCTCCAGTCCAACTATTTCTTACTCTGTCCCATACTCCCTCCTAACAAATCAGAACTACTGTAGCACTGGGGGGTAGAATGGGGGCAGAGGGGGATCCTATGTGGCACTAGTGGTAAACAACCTGCTTGCCAATGTAGGAGACATAAGAGATGCAGGTTTGATTCCTGGGTCGGGATCAAATATGAACACACACACACACACACACACACACACACACACACACATACACACAACTCATTCTTACAACCTTACAAGATGGCTTTTATTATCCCTACTTAACACAGTCGAGGCCTTCAAGAGGCTAAGCAATTTGCCAAGCATCACACAGCTAGTAAGGTTTAAATCCAGAGTCCCTGTTTTTAAGCCCTATTATACCTTTACTTTCCATTTATGCACAATATTCTATTTTATAGCCATGTCATAGTTCACTCCATTCCTTACTGGTGAGCTTTCAGGTAGGAAAGTTTAGTTTAAGAAACTCTTAAACTTTAAGAAACAACATTGAAGTGAATATCCTGGTATGCACATTTTTGCATACTTGTTTAAATTATCTTCTCAGGATAAATTCTTGAAGTAAAATGGCTGGGTCAAAGGATATACACATTTTACATTTTGATATATTACACTGCTCAACTACCCAACCAGAAATACTGAAATTTTGAGTATAAATTTCCTTAGTCCCTGGGAAAGCTGAATTTAATACAGACAAACTTGAACCAAGTATCATCTGTTTTCCCTCTCCCTCATTTTTCCCCACCCACCTATCCACCCCCTCAGAAGACCCATGTTAGGATTTTTGTCTCTGGGCAAGCTCTAACACTGCTGCTGCCCGAGCCCTCTTTTATAACCCCACTCCTCTGCTGACAGTAGAGTGAATCTTTAAATCCACAGGGACACTAAATTCTTCTACAGGGTGAAAAGTAAGTCAATGGGGACAAACTCCCAGAAGAGCATAAAGATGGAAATACGCCAGGCAGACACCAATGCAGATCAGTAAACAGATTACTAAAGTTTCAAGGTAAGAAATGAAATCACGAGGCTAGAGATTCTGAATGGAGGGCTCTAAAAAATAAAATTGCAATTCTTAAATCATGAATAAATTCAGCTCAAAAATAAGAGGTGAAGGTATCAAAAGAAAAACATATTAACGTAAGTTAGATTTTTAAAACATATTCTATCTCCCTAAAAATTGCTTATTAGTTTGCAAACGGTAAGAGTGGCAACTACGCAGTGAAAGAGGAAGATAGACTTAAGAGCTGTTGCAGATTAAAACAAGTTAAAGACACATAAAGACTAAATACAACACAAGATGCTGGACTGGATCCTGTATCTGAGAAGAAATGTGTCTTATGGGACATTGTTACGACAATTAAATGTTGAATTAACATTGTTCCCTGTATTTGATAATGGCAATGTGGTTATAAAGGGAACACTCTCACTCTTAGGAATTATGCAGCAAAGAATTAAGGGGTACAGAGCCATAAAGTATGCAAAACTCTAATAGTTCAGAAAATAAGAAATTATGCAAATATTACACATGCAGCCTACACATACATTGAAGGACACAATGAATCAAGTTCTTATCTGATGGAATACCACGCAACTGTTTAAAACAATGAAGCAGTTTGCTATGTACTGCAGCAGCAGCTGCAGCTAAGTCACTTCAGTCGTGTCCAACTCTGTGCGACCCCATAGACGGCAGCCCACCAGGCTCCTCTGTCCCTGGGATTCTCCAGGCAAGAATACTAGAGTGGGTTGCCATTTCCTTCTCCAATGCATGCATGCATGCTAAGTCACTTCAGTTGTGTCCAACTCTGGGTGACCCCATGGATAGCAACCCACCAGGCTCCTCGGTCCACAGGCTTCTCCAGGCAAGAATACTGGAGTGGGGTGCCATTTCCTTTTCCACCTATGTACTGACATGGAAAGATCTGTAAGACACACCAATAAGTGGGGGAAAAGTTGCCTAGGTGGGACACATTGATAAATTTTTATAAGCAAAATTTTTATAAGCACACAAAGTTTCCATATTCAGAAAAAAGTTGTTTTTAAAGAGATTTTAAAAACAAAGTAGGGAGGGGGGATTGGGACGGGGAATATTTGTAAATCCATGGCTGATTCATGTCAATGTATGACAAAAACCACTACAATATTGTAAAGTAATTAGCCTCCAACTAATAAAAGTAAATAATAAAAAAAAAACAACAAAGTAGATATACAGCAGGTGGGAAAAGAGCTACAAAAAGAAGAGTGTGAAAAGTGTATTTGCAAGCACCTGAGGGAAAAAAAAAGAATCAGAAAACTAAAGTCAAGAATAACTTTGTGAAAAAATGTTAACAACATTTTTATTTTTCCCTCTCTCAAAATTATGTTCAAAATGAAATGCTAAATAAGAAATGACAGTCTCACAGTCTGGCGGACACAGGAAATATTAACTAGTGGAGAAGATAATCCTCTTGGAAACCTGGATTTCAGGCCTAAATTGGTTCCTTGATCAAAGTCACTTAACCTCTCTTGAGTTTGCATTCCCTCATCCCTGAAAGAAAGAGCTGGACAAGAACAATGAAATATGAGGCCAAATTATCTTAAAAAATTTATTTAACCAGTGGCTCTAGCTGACACAGAGGACTACAGCCCTATATGTTTCTCCAGAGAAGGGATGTTCTCTTCATCTCATTTAAATATGTAGTCACACTTAATACAGGTGATAGATATTTATGAAAATTAAGTTGAATTAAATTATTGCTTTCTCTACATCTGAGAGAAGAACTAGAAAGACTGTATTTCTAGAAGTTTACTAATTAGGTACCCAAGTTGTTTGGATCATTAATGTAAAATGCAGCTAGGTAAGAAATACATACAGCTTGATGAACAAGACAATCTAAATTCTGAAATGATGGCAGGATGCAGACAACAGGCTAAGGCAGGTTTCAACCTTCAGTTCGAGAGGGTCTGGAATAAGCTTGAACTTGAGATGCCTATGGAACATTTATGCCCACCGCATCCCTGCCTGAAGAACTTGGCTCTTAATTGCAAAGTACATTTATGTTCTTCCAAGTCATTTTCTATCCTTCCCCACAATATGATCATTTATTCTTTCCTATTTATAAAAGGAATTCACTCTTAAAGAATCTTAAAAGTATAGAAAAATTTAAAGAAGAAAAAAAGAGGCTTCTATAATCCCTCCCACAGAAGCACTGCTGACATTTTAGGGTAAGTTCTTTTGCTCTTTTTCTATGGATATGTAAATACTTCTATACACATATAAAATTGCTTATGCTATAATGTGTTTTTTTTGTCTTTTACTTTTAGTTTAAAAGTTAGTCATTTTAGAGAAAATAATTGTTTATATTTAACTGTTTATTTCAAGGTGACCCAAAAAGAGGGAAAAATAAAACCTCTCTAGAGGACCTACCTTACCAGATCTTCCCTGAAGAGGTCCCACCGTCCAAGACCCGTAGGATATATTGGCCAAACAGCAGGTCCTCCTTCCCAAAATGTCCAAGCAGGATACATGATATCATGGTACTCTGATGTCTTCAACAGAAACAGAGAAGTTATTTTAAATGTCTTAGAGCAGAGGAAGAAGCAGTAAACTGCACTCATATCATGGGATCTGGAAAAGGCCTTGCCCCTGTGTTATACCGTCAAAGACATATCCAAGCCTAGACTCTGGATGCTAAAAGGCAAAAATCGTCATGGGTTAAAATTCATGGGCTGACTGAATCCCAGAATATGAAATCACACTAAATGTCAACTTTTCCAGTTCCCAAAAGTTCTGTTTTTCTAGAAGACATATACTGTTAGAGGTTTTAGTTTAAGGAAACGATATATCCAATTCTGAATGACCACACAGCTTTCTCATCTTTTAACTGATATCATACTTGGAGTGTATATGGTCCTACCAGTTCTTAGTTATTTCCTAGATAAGTCTTTTAGAGCAAGAGTTAGGAAATACAATGCAATAGTTAAGAGTGTGGGCTCTTGAGAAAGATTATCTGACTTCAACTCTTTCCAACTCTAGGCAAGTTACTTAATCTTCCTATGCTTCAGTTTCCTTATCTTTATAACTAGAGAAATGATAATATCAATAATAGTATCTATCTAACAGGCTTGTTTTAAATATTAAACGAGTTAATACATGTAAAAAACTTAGAACAGTGACACATAGTAAATACTCAGTAAGTGTTAGTGTTACCTAATACTGTGGCACTTAGCTCATATTGGTTGGTCAATAAGTTCTGAATTATTTTTTGTTTTTTTTTTTTTTTGATCAGGGTCAAAAGTAATGATGGGCAGAAACGGGGTAGGGGTATTATCCCACACCTTTTGAAACAAATTTGAAACCATTTGAAACCTTTACATGGTTTCAAACGTTTGAAACCTTTATCTGGTTACTTCTGTTAAAATTCTGGCCACTGATAAGCCTCTAAATCTACAGTCTTCCAGTGGAATTGCATATGCAATATGCTGTTTGCCTTCTTTCAAATATTTAAAAAATGGTATGTGATTCATCAAGCACCTCAGGCATAACAGCTGCTCAAAAGAAACCGCATAATTATTATAAAGCTGACAGACTAAAATCCCTCCCTGGCAAGCTAGGAGTCATTGGTTTAAAAAGGAGGGGCGGGGGGAAGGAATTAAAGATGAAAGGAAAGTTAGTATACTGATGATCATACTTCATTATCCACAGAAAAAACCAGATAAATAATAAACAGAAATCCTTACTGACTTACATGGGAGCCTCTATCTGTTCTTCTGAGAGGGCTTCATGACAAATAACGGGACCAAGCACTTTTGAGAAATGAGGCTAAACCATGGGAAATGCAACACAATGTGGCCTCAGCCCACTTGCAACACAGGAAATAAACAAGTCTAGAGAGAAAGTAAACTCTGATAAAGAAAAAGTGGGGATAAAAAGTCCCTCTGCTTAGGAGACACCAAATCAGAAACAGAGTTCCTTTTCTTAAAGTCCAGAGGGTTTTCCCAAACCTACTCTTCTCCCATAGAATTTTCCATCCACTCTCTTCTAGACTCCCCCATCCCTGCCCCCAAGTGCTTTCATATTTAGTCTCTAGGGAATGAAGGCCCATTCCTGCTAATACATCATTTGCAAGAACCTAAGCACTAAGATATTAACTGTGCCATATTCTCCAAGCCCATAAGCATGTCCTAGTACTCCTATCTTTCTGTAACCAGACTCAAAGATCACCCTCTCATACTGGTATCTTAGGCCTATCCCCTCAATGCACTGTTTGGGTGCAGTTATTTGAGCATCTTTAGTCTGCCCATTAGCCTGGCGAGGACCCTGGGATATAGTGGCCAGACAGACAATACCCAATGGCATGGCTGATACATACATCATAGGAGCTCAACAAATATTTTTGTCGAAAGTCCGTGAGCTTTCTTGGGTCACTCTCTCCCATACTCTGTAGGTTCTCTGAACCCCACCTCCAATGTATTACAGGTTCCTCAGCCTCTCTCATTCCTCACCCTCCACACTGAGCCCTAGCTAAGATCCCAAGCAATCATACTCATCACTTACAGGTCCTCACCTCCATCTCCTCAGTCTTATCATTCAATGACTATGAAGCTAACCAGGACGCAGACCCGCTTTGGGACCTCAGGCCTCATCCTTACCATTACCCATCAGACTCTGCCACATTCAGTCATCTCCTGCTTATGCCCTAGAAGACCACCCTCCATCCCCTCAGACAGCCCTTCCTGTACTTACCTTACTGAAGGAGAAGATTGGAATGGCAGGCTCCATCCATTTAGGAACCTGAGGATAATCTCGCACATTGATCACCATCTCCATGTCAGGGAGGAGCCCAATAACTTCCAAAATAAAGTGTTCAACACCACTACACCTGTCAACCAGAAATACCACAACTTCACTAGAGCAGTGCCTGCTCTCAGACAAGGCAGGGTCCCACTGACACTTTCAAGGTAAGACAAGCCAGCATTTAGATTACTGGCCTGCAAAGTGTCCTGACAGCAATGCTTCTGAAAGGACTATTCCACTCTTTCATGTGGTGCGAGTTATCTTTTCTGGCTAAGCTTCTCCAGCTTAGAATAATAAAATTCTCCAACTAGATCATTCTAAGTTTGATCGGAATGTTATTGCTACTCCCACCACTTCCTCCCCTCTTTTCATTTCCTGCATTTATTTCTCCTACATGGAATAGTTTAATTAGTAAGCAAGATGTAAATTTTGATAGGAACTGGAAAAGCTGATTTTCTAATTGTATCCCTTGGGCTTTGTGTCTCACAAAGACATTATTTTTATTTCCACCATAACTAAGTCTCATAGTTTATGAGGAAGGATAAAGAACCTTTCATTACCTTCAACCTAAATACAGAACATTCTCAAAAGCAGCTTTGCAAGCCAGAAAAAGTGCCAGGTACATAATCACAAAGATTGTAACATAGCTTTCAGAACAGAGTTTCTAAAAGGATTTCTGGAAAGAAAGTAAGTGTATACACCCAGAGCTAACTTTCCTGCCCCACCCTTGAGGTCCAGACCAGCACAGTACTGGTAGCAACATTCCAAGGTCTGACCAAAATTTTCTGGCAGCGCGATAATGACTGATATATATATAGGGTGATAACTAAATATCAATATATAGGGTGATAACTAAATAGCAATCGTTCATAAACATACAAAAAAGATGGTCAACTGTACTACTAACAAATAAATGCCCCCAAAGCCAAAATTATAAAAACAGAGAATAAAATGGTGCTTATCAGAGGCTGGGGAAGGAGGGGCTAGGACAGATGTTGTTTAAGGGAACAAACTTAAAAGAAGCAATAAATAAGCCATAGGGATCTAATGCACAGTGAAGTGAATATAGATAACAAAATGGTATTATAATTATCAAACTAAAGAGACTAGAATTTAATCATTTCCACTACTAAAAAAGAAAATAATTATGTAACATGATATAGAGGTGCTAATTGTTGCCGCAACAGAAATCATATTAAAATAAACTTATCAGATTAACATGTTATACATCTTAAATTTACAAGTTATATGTTAAATATATTTCAACAAAAAAGTATCAACATGACAAAAGAAAAAGTCTAGTGAAGCTACATGCTAGTTTCTACCAATCAGATTGTCAAAGATCAAAAGAGCCTGATAATACATAGTGTTACCGAGTGTGTGAGGTCTATTCTGAGCATGTGATAGGAGGGTGGTGAATGTGTAAACACAACCTATTTAGAGGACATTCTGCTTCTATTTATTGAGACTTAAAAACACTTTATTTGCCTAGTTAATTTTACTTTTATACTGTAGATATATGTACAAAGGGGCTTCCCAGGTGGGGCTAGTGATAAAGAACCCGCCTGTCAATGCAGGAGACCCAAGAGATGCAGGTTTGATCCCTGGGTCGGGATGATCCCCTGGAGGAGGAAATAGCAACCCACTCCAGTATTCTTGCTTGAAGAATCCCATGGACAGAGGAGCCTGGTAAGCTATAGTCCATGGAGTCACAAAGAGTCAGACATGACTGAAGTGACTTAGTGTGAGTGTTCAAAAGTCTAAGTTCAAGAATGTTCACTGCAGCATTTCCATTAGTCAAAAATTAAAGGGGAGAGATGGGAAATAATTAAGCATCCATTGATATAGGACTGAATAAAGAAATCCATAAAATGGGTTTTTTATGCTGCTATGAAACAGCTTTCCATGTGCTACTCCTATGGATCAACTTCAAAATCTATTGATACATGGAAAGGAAAGGTAAGTTGTAGAACAGAAGATACAGCATATTCTGGTTTGCTGATGAATCTAGACAATTGAATATGCAGATTATTTCTGGCAGGATATACAATAAACCTGCAAGTGTAGTTGTCTCTTGAGAGGAAGACTCAGGGACTAGTGGAATGGTGGAGGGCATCACTGTATACACTTTTGAGTTAACCAAATATTTTACCATGTGCATATAATTACTCCTTTTATGTTAAAAAAAATTACCAGTTACAAAGTTTAAAAAAATGTATTACTATAGTACATTTACATATTAATAGCTCAAACATGTTATTTTCTTTCACATCTGGCTTTTAAAATAGCACTCTCACATACTGCATGATTCTATTTATATAAAACTCAAGGAAATAATCTATAATGAAAGAGAGCAAATCAGTGGATACCTGAGGACCGGGATAAGACAGGAGGAAGGCATGACAGGGAAAAGGAGAAAGAAGGGCCACAAAGGGGCACAAGGTAATATTTGTAGTGATAGATAGGTTCATTATCTTGGCTACAAATATATATATATATGACATACATATTTTGATATATGTATCAAATTGTACACTTTTTAGATATGTGCAATTTATGCCAACCATACTTCACTAAAACTATTATTTAAAAAAATACTGTTATTCCCTATCTTTGAAATGATGTATCTCCAGGGTTAATTAAATGGTGCTCCAGTTCCTTAGCAAAACCTTTCAGCTCATCCTTGAAATGCTGAATTTACATGTCCTTTTGTTCAGAACTGAATAAATGTCACTGATATTTCTCAAACTGGGTGAATTAAAAGTATCTAGACCTAGAAAGATACTACTTTTGGCCAGATAAGAGTCTGAGATATTATACAACTGTGTCCATTTCATTAAAGATGCTGGTTCTAAATATTTCATTTTGTTTCTCTTTTATTTAACTCTCAATTCTTTAGCTGTGTATGTAGTTGGGGTAGGGAACTTTCAATGTATTAGAACTCTAGACTATTTTACTGCCAATGAAACGTCCCATCCTCTCTTAAGAATATTTCTAAGAGCTCAAGATTCTGACCACAATGCTCTGGGGTCAGGAATAAGAGCTATGTGGCTTGCAGAAACTTCAAGAGCACAATTTAATTTGATCTGGAGATCAGCTAACTATCAACACTGGAAAACCTTTTAAAGTCCAAAAAGACCTATATTGATATTTTCTTTCTCATTTGTAGAAATCACAAATTCCTCTATACTCATAATTTGTAGTTAAAAGTCTCTACTATTGCTCCAAGTAATGAAACAAATGTCTATTTAAAATATCTCAATGATTTTCCCCACTACCACCTTACTTGCCCCTGACACTTGAAAACCAAACTTGTGATTACCTCGGAATATGGGATATTAAATGATCTTTATATTTTTCTGTTGTTGTTTTTATGTATTTTTGACAGTGAAAATATACTAATTTGTAATGAAGTTATTATGACAAAATATAAATCCTTGTGACCAAATAGATGCATGTTTTTTTACCATACTGCTCATTTATTTTACTTGTAATGACATATGTCATTTAGAAAAAAATATCTTAGTAAGGGAATACTCTGCCATCTGGGTTTTGTACTTTGCAATTTTATAAAGCTTTGAGGATTTTTTTTTTTTTAAAGAACTCCTGGGAATTCCCTGGTGGTCCAATGGTTAGTACTCTGAGCTCTCACTTCACTTCCTCGGACACAGGTTCAATCCCTATTTGGGAAACTAAGATCCCACAAGCCAGGCGGCTGAGCCAAAAAAAAAAAAGAAAGGCTGGAACGAGGAAGGTTTACTATTTGTTGTAAATAATGCTGCCTAAGGGCAATTTCCAGCCTCAGTCTATGACCCTCCCCATCAGCCTTTAGCCCACTGATAAGGAACTTCAGCTCTCACAGCTAAAGTCCTGCCTAGTATGGCCTGTGTAATCTGCAGCCCTGGTTATTTCTCTTGCCTTTCTGCCACCTTTCTTTGAATAGTTGTCATCTAGAATAGCTGTCCCCTGACAATCAGTCATCGCTTCTCCTTCAACCCAGCTCACTCACACTAGTTAACATTAGCCTGTGTCCTGCAGCTGGAGAAGGGGCAGAGCCACATCCAGTACAACCAGTGACGTGCCCCAGCCTTACAAAAAGAGAGGAGACAGATATCACTATTGTGGGGTCCTGAAATGTGAGGGTTTACTTGTAAGCCCCTTTAACTGGACTCTATATAAGAGTGTCAGTTGCTCAGCCGTGTCTGACTCTTGTGACCCCATGGACTGAAGCTAACCAGGCTCCTCTGTCCATGAAATTCTCCAAGCAAGAATACTGGAGAGGGTTGCCATTTCCTTCTCCAAGGGACAGTCCCAACCTCAGGATTGAACCCGGGTCTTCTGCATTGCAGGTGGATTAGTATTAAGTAAGCAATAAGGTCAGAAAATATATGTACTTTATAGCTCTTACCTTGAGGGGAACATGCAGTCACTTTCTCGGTATAATCTGTTCTTAATGATCTGATAGTGGGTCCCTAGCTTCCGTCTGACTACCTCTGCCATCATCTTCCTGGAGATACCTCCTCGGAAAGGAGTTAGATCCTCTTCTATGACACTGGAAAAGAAGAGGAATCATCAAGGAAAGCAGGCCAAGAGAGGGGTACCATCCTACCACTTCCTATCTGTAGGTCTGGGCTTAGTATTAGAGAGCACAGTAAGCTTTGGGAAAGAAGAGGGAGCAGGAAGAGCAACCTCTTTCCCAGAAGCACCACAGGTAACTTAAAATAACAACAACAAAGCAAAAAAAAGGAAAAAGCAAGCCAGTATCGAGCATCTCTTCCCCTCCCTCTACCTGGACTGCCCCTCCCTTGCCTGCTGCATATTCCTCCTCAATACTCGTGTCACACCTGTGTCCTCCCAGTCACTGCAGTCCCACTGACCTTTCCTTCTCTGAACCCCACAGAAGGCACAGTTTATGCCTTACAGCTTGAAACCAAGTCTTATGTTCTAGCCCGTTCGGCCCCTACCACCCCCACATACTCTAGCAATATGTGTGACTGACAGAAGTAACTAGGAATTACACTATTTTGTATCCCTTTTATGGAGAAGGCAATGGCACCCCACTCCAGTACTCTTGCCTGGAAAATCCCATGGACGGAGGAACCTGGTGGGCTTCCGTCTATGGGGTCGCACAGAGTCAGACACAACTGAAGTGACTTAGCAGCAGCAGCATCCCTTTTAAGGCTTGATACAAACCAAGTTTTCAGTAAGTATCACATGCATCAGATGAATTTTTCGAGGAATTATAAAATAACAAACATAATGAGGAGTTAAAGGACTGCCATTTAACTGATAAGGAATCTGATATCTAGAGAAGTTACTTGGATCTGAGACCTGAATCTGGCACTAGAATATAAGGCTGATTTCAAAGTAATCTTTCTACCATCATACTCTAGACTTAATTTGCATACATTAAAAGATAACCAACAGGAAACATAATTTGATTCATTTAAAAATATGTTCATTCCTTCAACAAAATTTACAGAGTACTTACTGAGAGTAGGGCTTCCCTTGTGGCTCAGCTAGTAAAGAATCCACCTGCAATGCGGGAGACCTAGGTTTGATCCCTGGGTTGGGAAGATCCCCTGGAGAAGAGAAAGGCTACCCACTCCAGTATTCTGGCCTAAAGAATTCCATGGACTGTATAGTTTATGCGGTTGCAAAGAGTCAGACACGACTGAGCAACTTTCACTTACTGAGAGTCAGCACCAGGAATACAACAGCGAATGTAAGACATATGCTTTGACCTCAAGAAGCTTTCAGTCCAGTGGGGAATGCAAACAAGTACATTCCTACAGGGAATTAACAGGCAATGCTGAGACCACCTGGGCCTCTACTATCCCAGGGTATTTTTATTCCCCAGAAATCAGAAAACCACCTCAGGGATCCTGTCTGCTCTGTGACCACTGCAACCAAGGTCTCTTGGGGATTTTAGGGGACTTCCTCCTGACAAGATCTAAATTCTTAAAGATGGGTGAAAGAAAAGAACTCACCCATGGTAACAGCTGCAGTTTGAACTTGAACATGGTTCATAATTCTCCAAAGCCCTGTTAATTTGGTCAATAAATACTTTCCATTTTGAACCTTCAAAAAGAGAAGAAAATGAAGGTTAATAAAACACTCCTAAGTATTCTTATTCACTAGCAGCAGGTAAGTAGAATCCACAGAAAGCCAAAACTTTTGTTAAGACACCTTCTTTTCGTCCCCACTGGTGGAAATGGACAGCCAGGAAGGATACATTCTACAGCTCTCCAGCACTCAGGTCAAGTCTGCTCCTCTACTCTGGCTCCCAGACATCCAAGAAAGGGGAAAATTTCCAAGTTTAATGCCTGGCACTCAGAAGGTTATGGATAAACTGGTCACACAGAATCTCAGTTTTTACTAATCAAACTGAGCCCTATAAAGAGGATCGATTAAAAGCCACAGGCATTAACCCTCCTTTCATCTCTTCACACACACACACATACCCTATAAAAGGGATCAGTTAAAAGCCACAGGCATTAACCCTCCTTTCATCTCTTCACACACACACACACACACACACCCTATAAAGAGAATCGGTTAAAAGCCACAGGCATTAACCCTCCTTTCATCTCTTCTCTCACACACACACACACACACACACACACACACACACACACACACACCCTATAAAGAGAATCGGTTAAAAGCCACAGGCATTAACCCTCCTTTCATCTCTTCTCTCACACACACACACACACACACACACACACACACACACACACACACACACACACACACACACCCTATAAAGAGAATCGGTTAAAAGCCACAGGCATTAACCCTCCTTTCATCTCTTCTCACACACACACACACACACACACACACCCTATAAAGAGAATCGGTTAAAAGCCACAGGCATTAACCCTCCTTTCATCTCTTCTCACACACACACACACACACACACACACCCTATAAAGAGAATCGGTTGAAAGCCACAGGCATTAACCCTCCTTTCATCTCTTCTCACACACACACACACACACACACACCCCCACCCTATAAAGAGAATCGGTTAAAAGCCACAGGCATTAACCCTCCTTTCATCTCTTCTCACACACACACACACACACACACACACACACCCACCCTATAAAGAGAATCGGTTAAAAGCCACAGGCATTAACCCTCCTTTCATCTCTTCTCTCTCACACACACACACACACACACAAATTATAACCCTCCTTTCATCTCTTCACACACACACACACACACACACACACACACACACACACACAAATTATCCCCCAGTGTGTCTTAGGGAGGTGCAGGAAAGCCAAGCGTGGGCCATACCCGCTGTGGGCATGCCCTCCCCTATTCTGGAGGATGGGTTACTCTCCAGGGTTCTGGGCAGGAGAAGCAGCGCCAGACACCCAGAGGCACTCTCTGCTTCGAAGAGCCGCCGTGCCCGCTGCCCAGCTCTGCGCGGCAGCGGCCACAGCAAGAGAGGGGCGCCGGTAGCACGGGAGAGCGAAGGGCGCGGAAGAGCGCCCCGGAAGGCGGCCAGACCCCGAGCCCCAGCAGTGGGCCCGGCCCTCTCCGGAGCGCACCTGACTCCTTCTCGCGGCCTGGCACCGGGGGCAGGAGTAGCAACAGCAGCCACATCCAAAGCTGGGAGGGCGCCCCCAGCTCCATCGCCTGCCGCCCAACTGCGGACTCCCAGCTGCTGCGCGGACGGAAGCGGAGCCCCGCACAAAGATGGCCGAGGAGCCGCACCACGTGGGCGGAGGGCCGCCCAGCGCAGTGACGGCGGAGCGCCGCTCGGCCTCCCGGTCCTGGTCCCGAGCCTGGCAAGCCGCGCAGCTTCTCTGGGAAGGCGGTGCAGGCAGTCAGCCGCTGACCTGCTCGTTTGTTTAGAGCTGAACTCGCGCACTTTATATATACATATATATGCATCTCTCAGATAAAATCGAATCCCAGGAGAGAATGAATAAATGGCACCCTGGGGAAAAATATCTCATATTTGTCCTTTACATTCTATAACATCTTGAAAACATCTTATTCTCCGCAGCCAAAAACCTGAAAGCCAAAAAAACCACATTTTTTTCGCCCAAAGATTTATAGTGGCACAAACTGGGCTAGCAGTTCTTTCCATGGCCTCAAACTGCTGCTTCTTTTTTTTTTTTTACTAATAGTATAGATTTGAGCACTTGAATGTCTACAGTACTGTTAGACCTCAAATGATTGCAAATAGTATATAGCACACGTCTCTTTGTAATAGCAATTTATTTAACAGTCGGGGTGACGGGGGGGGCAAAAAAAAAACAGAGGACAACATTATACTGTAAAGTGTAGGCATATACAGTGATCGTACAGTTCCAAGTATGTATCCATTGTGTAAAATGTGCACGGTGACACCCTAGGCTCTGTGGAAAAACAAGATGAGATCTGTGTCCTGAAGGAATTTAGATCTAGTAGGGAGAAAAATATTCTTCCCGGGAGCTTATTTACAATTTAAGGCAATAACTAAATGCTACTGGTTTCAGTGGAAAGATCAATATGGAAATCTGTAGAAAGAGGCAGGAAGGGTATATTATATTCCAGGCTGAGGAAAAGGTGATGTTGCAGTTCATGAATATTGTGCTAGAGATGCTGAAAGGGGGGAGGCCATAATTTGCAGGTGGGAGTAGAACCTGGGTTGATGGTAGTGAAGCATTTAGGATGTATGTTGAGGAATGGTGAAAGATAAAATAATGTTGGGATTAGTTAGGAATGGCTATGTAACTCATTTTGGGTGAGTGGGGAAGAGGAGAAAATGAATCCTTAATACTGTATCTTACAAGCCTTTAGGAATCTAAATGAAAACGAGTCAGTTTCTTCTACTTCCAGGAAGGTGTGCAACACTTCAAAGTGAATAATTAATCAAAAGCCCACCAAGCAAGGTACTACAGGGATGAACACAATAACCTTTCCTTCAAAGTTAGTTTAAAGTGAATACACTGGAAAACAAATATCCTTCCCTTCAAAGTTAGTTTAAAATGAATATAGTGGAGAACAATTATAGAAACTCTAATAAAGTAGCTTAGTTTCCACAATTACAGTTTTCTGTGATGATGGAAATCACTTCATTCTATAAGGTCTTTGAAATGAAAATAAATCATATTTTCTGCAACTTTACAATGTTTATATTTGAAGTGAGAGATCGAGAGTAAGTGAGCCCTCTACACAGGAGGAATAAGGTACACATGAATTTAAATATTACTTGTTTCATTTCCTTAACTGGTAAGATTTTATTTCCAGTGGTTGCTATATGTGAATGAGTGCTAGAATTCTCCTGGGAATTAAGAAAACCACAGATTAAAAAAAAAACCCACAGATTTCTAGGCCTTTGCCACGGTCATTAATTTAAAATGCAAACACTATAGTTTAATAAAAGACCCTCCATGTTCAAGCTCATTGTGTCTTCAAAGTCATTTCATGCTCACCATAATCTGGCTGTACAGCTTTACACTGAATTTCTCACACATGCCAAGTTCTAACCCACCTTAGAATCTCCGCCTAAGTTTTGTTTTCCATCTGGATTGTTTTTCTCTCTCATCCTGGCATCTCTGGTTCCTTCCCAACATTCAAGTTTCTGCTGAAATGGCATTCCTTCAGATAGATTCCCCTCAAAACAGCACCCTAATTTTCTACCTTACCCCCTTATTTGTCTAGTTCATAATACTTAAAAACAGTATTTTATTGATATTAAGTAAATGTGTCTCTCAGAATATAAGCTTCAGGAGGGAAGTTACACATCTTATTCAGAAGCACAATGTTTGGAACATAGTAGGCACTAAATAAATAATTGCTGAATGAAAGATGAACGCTGGTGAGCCAATGGAAAGCGGCAAACAGTTTCAGAGTAGCAAGCAGTAGTTAATATACTGAAAAGAAATGTATCATAAGCCTAGGTGAATAAAATGAAAATATGTAATCATCTATATTGCATGAAAGAAAGCTCTGTGGTACACAAGGACAGTAAGAATACTTGGGAATATTACTAACTTTAGTGGTTCCAATATTGGTCATTCTGGCTGTAAACTCTGGGTCTGTCACTTACTAGCTGGATAATATTAGCTAGGTTTCAACAAGTTATTTTTCTTACCTTCAGTTTTTTCTGTAAAAAACAGGAATACTATCAAAACATTGAGCTTTAAATCAAATATGTAAAGCTCTTAGTCTAGTGTCTGACACCAAACAAAAAAACCTCTCAGTAAAGGTTAATCATATACTGGATAAGGTTTTCTCTTAAGATGCTTAAAATCTGCAAAGTGAGAGATCTCACGCCAAGAGTTCCGTTGATACTCTTCTGCTAACACCAAACTATAGACAAGTTTCTGAATTCACTACTGATGTTGCCCTCTTTCTTACCTTTCTGTCGAACACGTCCTTTACTAGTAATAGGAAGTTATTCTCCCACAAACTCCCTATTCATCCTTGCAGTCTTGTCTTTTAAACCCCAAGCTCTCTGTGAAGATTTTCTTGGGACTGACACCACCACTACTGCACAGAACTTATTAACCTGTCTTGCCTGTTATCTGGACCTTGGACATACTTTTTATGTTACATTGATTGTAATAAATTGTAATTTTCCTGGTGTCTTGTCTCTTCCACTAGACTGTGAGCCCTTTGTGGTATTCACTTTTGTAACTCCAGCATTCATTTAGTACTCTTCTCAACATACAAGAAGCACACGACTGGCTGCTGAAGCACAACTGCGTCTTGATCGCCTTTGCTTAGCGTAGACTTTAAATGACGTCTCCTAACCTTCCCCAGGGGATTCCCTGGTGGCTCAGACCGTAAAGCGTCTGCCCGCAATGTGGGAGACCCCGGTTCGACCCCTAGGTCGGGAAGATCTCCTGGAGAAAGAAATGGCAACCCACTCCAGTGCTCTTGCCTAGAAAATTCCATGGATGGAGGAGCCTGGTGGGCTACAGTCCATGGGGTCGCAGACTCAGACACGACTGAGCGACTTTTCACTTCGCTTCACTTTTCACAACCTTCCCCATCTGTAAAAAGGGAATTGATAATTTGAACACGGTTGTTACTAGGAGTCCATGAGATAATAACAGGAAGAACCCTAGCATGCTGTCCACATATCGTCGGGGCTTGGTGACCGAGGCTCAGGGAGGAAACACTTTCTTCATCGCTGGCTGGGGAAGGAGAGATCGCGAGACCCACGGAGAAGGCGAGTTCCACTGCGCAGGTGCACGCAAGAGAGGGCGGGGTGCTCACTCCTCGGGCTCCTGTGTAGTTCCGGGGGCCTGTTTGCCGTTCCTGGGGCGGGCGGCCGTCGCCGAGCTGACGTCATCGGCGTGCGCTGCCACGTCTGCTCAGCTCCGCGGTAATGGAGGTTGAGGATGAATGCTGACGGGGCCGGCCTCTGCCTCTAGCTTTGGCTCTGGCTCTGATTCTGGTACTGACTTGGGGTCTGGGTCTGGCAGCCCGAAGCCGGGACACCTCTTCTCGACTCTCCGGGAGGGGACAACCCACAGACAAGCAACCGGTTTGCAGCGCCTCAACGTGGGCTGGGCGTTCTGTTGCTTGGGGTCTATCTGTAAAACCGCCGCCTCCTCCCAGGGATCCCTCCCCGCTGGCCTGGCCTCCTCCATGCGTGAGTATTTCCGAGCTGCCGCGCTGTCCGATTGTCCCGGGCCTGCTTCGGCCTTCCAGGTTGCGCGGCGGGGACCGCTTTGTCGTCCCCTCATAGAGGCCAGTCTGTTGAAGTATATGTTCTCTCGCTGCTCACCTTCCACCACCCCATCCCCTCGCCTTCTTCCTCCCAGTTTTTTGCTCTACACTTTTCCTTTCCTTCGCTCTTTAATTGAGCAAGGACCAGCTGCCCTTACATCCAGCGGTTAGAATGCTTTGTCTCACCTTGCGTTTGTTAGTCTGCAGCCGAGAGCTGTTAGGAATAGGGAACAGAATATCTGCTGTAACGTTTTGAAAACCAGGGTTTTTCCACGGTGTCATTCTTCAGTTTTTAAGTTGTATTGTTCAGGAAGCAGATTCTTGGTATTCATATTGACAGAACCACAATTTTTCCATAGATTAATGAAAACAGTTTATTTTTACTGAGGGTCTTTATGTATTACTTTTAATCCTGCAGTTTAAGTAATTTCTAAACGATTTTACATCAGTTTTTCTGGAGTGGGCATCCCCTTGATCTCTTTACAATATTTTCACTCTAACATATGGAGATAGCACTTGAACAGTTTTACTTTTAAAGAGTTAAAAGACCTTCTGATGTACTTTAACGCATCTCTGTCAGTTCTGACCACCACCTCTGTAGGACAAGGAATGCTTTTTTTTCCTGATCAGGAAACAGACTCAGAGGTTAAATGCCTCAAGAGTCAGGTAATAAATGATAACAGCTGATCTCAGAATCTAGATACCCTGATAACATAAGCTAACATTTTGGACAGTGCTGATTCTCTTTTATTTCAAGGGCCTTAATGTGAAATACCATGTCTGTGTTGAAACTGTATATATTCAGTGTTTCTTGTAAACTGATGGTAAAATCTTTCATGTAGAACAAGTCTGCTGATGAAAGACACAAATGTGACTTCCCTAATGCTGAACAAAGCTTGGAACTTAGGCTTCTGACCCACTGTAATCTTGAGTAGTCCTTTCATTAGAATGAAGTCAGTGATAGACATTGGGAGCATTCTTTTACATGGTCTGCTTACTCAGTTTTTCTGGTTGTTTTGTTACATTGCCTACTTTAAAGATAGCAAACTGATATTTAAATGTCTCTTTTTGTTCAGCGCTGAAACAGGCTGACAACTATTAACCTGGGTTGCAACTATAGGTGGCACTGGAAGCAGACTGGTTCCCGGACATGCCCGGTGGAAGGAGGGGCCCTAGTCGGCAGCAGCTAAGCCGTTCAGCTTTACCTTCTTTACAGACTTTGGTTGGAGGGGGCTGCGGCAATGGAACAGGCCTGAGGAACAGGTAAAGAAGAAATAAGACAAACAATTTGTAATATTCTATGATTAGTAAGGCTAATACAGAAGTCATCATACTATTCAGATATTTGCTTATCAGGATTATTTTTTGACACTGAAGTAGAAACCCTGACCCTAAAAACTGGAAGCTGAGTATTTCAGAATACTTTGGAGGTAGAAAGTTGTGATGCCCACAAAATAAGAAAAAGGCTGATTCATACTTAACGGCCAGTAATCCAAATTCTAGTTGTCATCTCTTTTTTTTAGCTATTAAAAGAAGGTGGAAGTGAATTACAGTTCAAGATGAATGTGATGATTTACTTTCTAGGATTCTTTTTCAGTGAGGGCAAATTAAAGCTATTAGTTAACATGAGATTCTAAAATTGTCATATCCTAACAGGGGTCTTAAAAATTACTTTGTTCCAAAAGTTGAAATGAATAAACTTATCAGCTCTAGCCTAAACATCTTAAGATTTGTGTCGTATTGCATGAGAATAAAGAATTTTATTTTCTTAATGGAAATTTATCTCTGTTCCTAATTTTCAAAAGTTAGAATGAATTATTTTTAAAATTATCCTGAATAATTTATCAGGAGGTTCGATCATGTCGCAGTAGAAAGATGGTTTTTACTAGATTGTTTGGTCAAGATAATTTTTTTCCCCCTATTTCCTGTCTGAATAGCGTTTTCTCTGGCCTGGATTCTAATGTTCACAGCTAGCAGTCAGTACTACTCTTGTCTTTTTAGGCTCTCCTGATGTTACTTGTTTACCTCTTGCTTTCTGACCTTCCACCCCAAGCTCTACTCAGTCTTCAGAGTCAGTTCTGATCTTGTCATTTCAGTGGAGCTCTCCCTGAAGTTCCAGTTTGAAGGGATTTTTCCAGTCTCTGATTCTCATTATATTAATTTTCAATCCAAATTTTGTATCTACATATGTAGACAGAGTACTTGTAATTTATTCTAGAGTAATACTTTTACTCTCCTGTTCTTGTAAATTTCCTCATTTAAAAAATGATAGTACTTTGTTTCATAAATACTTTCTGCTTGGAAATAAATGAAGTAGTAAATTGCAGTAACTTTTAAAAACTTTACTCTGAATTTTCCACAAATAACACATTTTTTTTTAATAAAGAAGAATTTTAAAATGAGGATATGTGAAAAATGCTCTTAAGGAAAGGTGCTATCCAACATAGAGACTGAGATGAAGGATGTTTCCTATTTGAAGTTCATGGCTTAATTTTACTAATATGTACTGACTACTTATTTAGTGATTCAGTGCTTTCAAATTGCCATAGAAAATTATAGCTGTGCCTATCTTGGCTTTCAGGGTTTTTGTTATGATTGCCTTGATTCTCATTTAACATATATTTCAACTTTCCTCCTTTAACATATATTTCTTTAGCAATTAATTGGAATGGTGGGGAGAAGGACTTATTTTTCAACAGATTAGAATAAAGTGAAAAATAGCAGTTGCTCATGGTTTGAAGTCACTGAAACTGTTATTGAGGGATTATTTTGTGACATTTTTACCTAAAGGGGTTATTTTGGAAGAAGACAGTTCTGTGTTTCTTTTTCTTTTTTTTCCCTTATTTTATTTATTTATTATTTTTAATTGAAGGGTAATTGCTTTACAGAATTTTGTTCTTTTCTGCCAAATATCAACATGAATCAGCCATAGGTATACATATGTCCCCTCTCTTTTGAACTTCTCTCCCACCCCCTCCCCATCCCACCCCTCTAGGTTGATACAGAGCCAGTTTGAGTTCCCTGAGTCATACAGCAAATTCCCATTAGCTTTCTATACAGATGGTATTGTAAGTTTCCATGTTACTGTCTCCATACATCTCACCCTCTCCTTCCTCCTTCTTGCTCCCCATTGTCCATAAGTCTGTTCTCTATGTTTGTTTCTTCATTTCTGCCCTGCAAATAAATTCATTGGTACTATCTTTCTAGATTCCATATATATGCATTTATATACCATATTTATCTTTCTCTTTCTGATTTACTGTGTTTCTCGATGGGAAAGAAGCAGCCTGGAATAGGTTGTTTTATAAGACATGGGGAAAGGGTATAAAAAGTGTGGATAAAACCAGTGTTAAATAGCCTACAATATAGTTTGAGGAGGTGTGTTTCTAAAGAAAAGCCATGTCCACATGTGGAGAACTCATGGAGTGTCTGTATTGAGGAGAGAAATAAGTAATTGCTTGAGTTTTGGATGATGTATTTGATTCTGCAAAGCAGAGATCAGCTGAAAAAACGTTTGCCCCGGTTGGATATTTATGACCTGTTTGGTGAAATTAAACTTGAGAATGTTAAAAGAGCTAGTTTGGTGACACAATCAAAATTGAAATCCATCCTGTCCTGCTTTCCACCTGTGGGGAGCAGGAATTTGTTCTGGGAACTATGTGCTTAGATGATTGCCTTCTAAAGAAGGAGAATATACTGTGAACTTCTGAGTGTTCTGCTGCTGCTGCTAAGTCGCTTCAGTCGTGTCCAACTCTGTGCGACCACATAGACGGCAGCCCACCAGGCTCCCCCATCCCTGGGAGTTTCCAGGCAAGAACACTGGAGTGGGTTGCCATTTCCTTCTCCAATTCTGAGTTTTCTAGAGATCTTTTAGTTGAGGGAGACTCTTACTTGAGACGACTAAGAGTGATTTTGTTTTGTTTTGTTCTTGCATACTTAGTTAATATCACCTGAGCATTTTAAAATGATCACTGCTTTCTCTGTCCCTTTTAGTTCTTTTTTATTCCTTTAAATTTTTCTTGACTTATCTGTTTTCTTACCTAAAATCTGCTGCTTGCTAGTTCCATAAAGACTAGTCTTAGGTCTGCTGTGTTAACTCTTTCCAGCATACAAGAACAAAATGGAGTTCAGCATGATTCATATTGTTTGCACAGCCAGTTTAGGGACAGTAAGCCACTCTTATTATTTAGAGAAACTTTTGTGTCAGTGGGGGAAACTATTTACCAGTCAAGTTCCCAGATGCCAGTCTAGTAGCCAGTCCTTTCTACAAATTGTTACACTGAACACCTGCTTTCCTGATCTCAAGAGTCTGGAATTTTGTTAGTGCTAGCTAAAGAGTGTTTACGAGGTGAGGCAGGCCTCCAGTAAAAATGCTGCTTGCTTAGTAATGAACCTCCCTGGTAGAAGGACTTTACACATGTTGTCATAACTAGTTGCTAAACTAGTTAAGTGCATCCTATATGACTCCATTGAGAAACCCTTGGAAGTTTGCACTTGGTTTTCTCCAGACTTTGCTTGTTACCTTTTCCATCTGCTGGTTTTGATTTGTATCCTTCTGCTGTTACAAATTGTAGCTGTGAACACTACTACATGCCTGGTCCTCTGAGTCCTCCTAGCAAATCATCAGCTTAGGCATGATTGTTGGGACTGCAGCCCTGTTTGAAAGAGAATATTCAGTGTGCATTGAGAAAATTTCTTTAAAGAGAATCTTTTCCAACCCTTGTATTGTAGATGAAGAGACTGAGGCTTAGGGATGTAAAGTTATTGTCTGAAAAACCACAATTGGGGGACTTCCCTCATGGTCCAGTAGTTAAAAATCTGCCTTCCAAAAACAGAGGACATGGGTTCGATCCCTGGTCAGGGAACTGAGATCCCATGTACCCCAGGACAACTAAGCACGCACACTTCAACAAAGACCCAGCATAGCCAAAAACAAACAAACAAAAACAACAAAAAACCCACAACTGGTTAATGGGAAATCTGGGACTAGAACTCTCCCGCATTGTATCTCAAACCTTTGTGTCACTTTGCTTTCTTGAATCTATTTTATATTCTTTCAGAGGAACAATGCTTTTAACTTTTCTTAAGTGATTTGTCTCTAAAGTTTCTCACATTTTTCTCTAATTAATTTTCTGAGATGTATTGACTAAGTCTGTTTATTTTAGCTCTTTTTTGTTTGTTTTTGGTTTTATTTTTTTATTTTTATTTTTTTTTTCATTTATTTTTATTAGTTGGAGGCTAATTACTTTACATCATTGCAGTGGTTTTTGTCATACATTGAAATAAATTAGCCATGGATTTACATGTATTCCCCATCCCGGTCCCCCCTCCCACCTCCCTCTCCACCCGATCCCTCTGGGTCTTCCCAGTGCACCAGGCCCGAGCACTTGTCTCATGCACCCAACCTGGGCTGGTGATCTGTTTCACCCTAGATAATATACGTGTTTCGATGCTGTTCTCTTGAAACATCCCACCCTCGCCTTCTCCCAGAGTCCACAAGTCTGTTCTATACATCGGAGTCTCTTTTTCTGTTTTGCATATAGGGTTATCGTTACCATCTTTCTAAATTCCATATATATGTGTTAGTATACTGTAATGGTCTTTATCTTTCTGGCTTACTTCGCTCTGTATAATGGGCTCCAGTTTCATCCATCTCATTAGAACTGATTCAAATGAATTCTTTTTAATGGCTGAGTAATATTCCATGGTGTATATGTACCACAGCTTCCTCATCCATTCGTCTGCTGATGGGCATCTAGGTTGCTTCCATGTCCTGGCTATTATAAACAGTGCTGCGATGAACATTGGGGTGCACGTGTCTCTTTCAGATCTGGTTTCCTCGGTGTGTATGCCCAGAAGTGGGATTGATGGGTCATATGGCAGTTCTATTTCCAGCTTTTTAAGAAATCTCCACGCTGTTTTCCATAGTGGCTGTACTAATAAGAGGGTTCCCTTTTCTCCACACCCTCTCCAGCATTTATTGCTTGTAGACTTTTGGATAGCAGCCATCCTGACTGGTGTGTAATGGTACCTCATTGTGGTTTTGATTTGCATTTCTCTGATAATGAGTGATGTTGAGCATCTTTTCATGTGTTTGTTAGCCATCTGTATGTCTTCCTTGGAGAAATGTCTGTTCAGTTCTTTGGCCCATTTTTTGATTGGGTCATTTATTTTTCTGGAGTTGAGCTGGAGGAGTTGCTTGTATATTTTTGAGATTAATCCTTTGTCTGTTGCTTCGTTTGCTATTATTTTCTCCCAATCTGAGGGCTGTCTTTTCACCTTGCTTATAGTTTCCTTTGTTGTGCAAATGTTTTTGGTTTTAAAATGCTTTGATCATATACCCTCTCATATTTTCAGTGTATGCAAATACTTTCCTCTTTTCCTCTGATGCTCTGGATCACTTTATTTGATGTTTGTCTCTGTCTTTTGGCTTGAAGTATAATAGTCAGGGTTGTATAGGATATCACAGATACAGATCTTTAAGAAAAATTTTTTTTAACTGACAAAGCAAAAGACTTTATTGGGAAGGGGCACCCAGGTGGAGAGCAGCAAGGTAAGGGAAGCCCAGAGATCTGCTCTGCCGTGTGGCTTGCAAGCTCAGGGTTAGCTTTCCAAGTTGTCTCTGGCCAGTCATCTTGCTCTGCCCATATTTGGTCTGACTCAGAGTACTTCCTGGTGGCACACTCCATTCTTCAGCCAAGATGGATTCTAGCATGAAGGTTTCTGGGAGGTTAGAGGACATATTATGAACTGGCATCTCCTTCCTCCTTTTGGCCCTTCCCAACTTCTTCCAGTTAGTTTTCAGCAGCAGTACTGTTTTCCTTATTGGGATTTCCTGTTATGAGACAACTCATGCAAGCAGTTATTATTATGCTAAGGTGGGTGGTTTCGGTCAATGGTTCCCTAACATCTTGATTTCTGATTACAAGTGGCTTACTGCCCAGCAGGGGAGAAAATATTTCAATGTTAAATGATAAATGTGATAAGGGAACTAGGGACCAAATTTTAATGGGCATTCAGATGAGTGGCAGTTCTCCAAATAGATGGGAGAAGGATTGAGTGAATCCTTTTTTAAAAAAATTTTTTTTGGAGAGTAGTTGATTTACAAAGTTGTTTTAATTTCTGCTATACAGCAAAGTGAATCAGTTCTATATACACATATATCCACTCCATAGCCATATAGATCATTATAGAGTATTGAGTAGAGTTTCCAGTGGTGTACAGTAGGTCCTTATTAGTTAGTTCTTTTATAAATAGTAGTGTCTATATGTCAATCCTAATTTCCCAATTCTCCCTTCCCTGCACTTCCCCCTGACAACCATGTTTGTTTTCTACATCTGTGGTTTTATTTGTTTTGTAAATAAGTTCATTTATAGCTTTTTAAGATTCTACATATAAGCTATCATACAATACTTGTTTTTCTTTTTTTTTTTTTTTAAGACTTGTCTCTGTCTGACTTAATATGATAATCTCTGGGTCTGTTCATGTTGTTGCAAATAGTATTATTTCATTTTCTTTTTTTGTGGCTGAGTAGTATCCCATGGTATTTATGTACTACATTTTCTTTATCCATTCCTCTGTCAGTGGACATTTAATTGCTTCCATATCTTGGCTGTTGTAAATGGTGCTGCACTGAACATTGGGATGCTTGTATCTTTTTGGATTATGGTTTTCTCTGGATATATGTCCTGGAGTGAGATTGCTGGATCATATGGTAGTTTCACAGATATAGATCTTTTGTACTTTGTTTTGAATATTTTTCTTGAAGCCCAGAGTGTTAATAACTTTGTTAACGGCAGAAGCACATTAGTCTGCTTTATTTAGGAAAATTCTATGAAAACCATTTTAACCTTTAAATCATAACAAATAGTTTAGCATATACTTTTGACTGAACAGGAATAGGAAATTTTATTTGTTCTAGAAAATACTTAGCTTGTTCTAGAGTAGAGACTCTTCAGAATTTTTTTCCCTTATTTTGTGATTAAATGGAGTGAGGGAGTAGAATAGTTGCTGGCATTAATTCTCTCCATTCAAGTCCACCAACTTGAACAATTCCAGAGAGAATCTTTCATGTCCTATTCTTTATGAATAGCACTTCCTGGAGTTGCATAGTGCTGTGGCCCAGCTCCCAGAACAGATCAGAGGGCATTGATGTATTAATGATTAATTTATAATTGAGCAGATGAGGTTTTGAGACCTACTGGTAGATCACAACCCACTCCTTGGTAAGCTTGCTCTATTGCAATGTACTCTGAGATTGAGGGGAAGAAACTTTTTAAATTTGTTCCAACCCTCACCCATCCCTGTTCTTCCCTTCTAGCTCTCTTCCCTTCTAGTTTCTGCCATGGTATTCTTAACTATTCAGAATGGTTCAGAATAAGGAGAGTTTATAGTCCATGAGTCACTTTAAGTGCTGTCAGTGTCACATCCTAATGCTCGAATTCTATATTTGGAAATTTTAGGGTAGAATGGTAACACTAATGTTATTCCCTCTTTAGAATCTTCTTTGTAAATAGCCAAATGAAGCCTCTTTTCCTTGTTCTATTAACAGCATAGACCCTTAGATCTCTCACTGTTCACAGGCATACAGATAATGGGAAATTTAATTCTTTAGCCTTATCTTATCATTTTAGATAGTCCAGCTAGTTGTGACCTATAAGAGAGTGTAAAAGAAAGAATAACATAGGGATTAAAATTTCTACATTTTAATCTGTGTTTTGAGAGATCTCCCTCTTTTTCATGACTATATTGGTCTACTGTCTTCTCAACCTAAAGGTATATAATTGCAGTGAACTAGGAGAAGTACTGTCTCTATCCTTAAGATTATGATGATAGACAGAAAGATGTATACAAAAAGTTACATAACAGTATGAAAAAATTGTATAACAATTTTTTGAAAATTGAACATTTGAAAAGTGCAATAAAGGCATTGTTTAGTTGTAATAGTGGCACATAGGAGAGATGAATTGATTTTGATTGAGTCAGAGTAATCTTTTAGAGGTTTTGTTTGATTATTTAAAACAGTCTCGAAAAATTTTCTCTGTAAATGTATATGTGAAGGGTTAAGGAAGGTGGTTTTAGAGGACATTGCTGGTAAAAGGAATATTGTGTACAAAGCATGTATATATATATATATATATATATATATATATATATTCACAGATAGCAAATAGCATGGGTAGTGTTTAGGGTGCATGTGGAGGAGCGATTAGAGATGAGACTAGTCTGTTAAGCAGAGAGTCTCATAGGAATAAACATTTTTGGGTATTATGCTATTAGCAGTAGAGAGCATTGAAGAGTTTTAGGCAAGAGAGTATACTATCAGATTTTCACTTTAGAAAGATGTTTAAAGGCAGGTTAGAGGATTTGACGAAAACAGACTTGAATTTAGAGGGATTACTACAGTAGTTCAGGTGAAAAATGGCAACTCCTTGAACTAAGGCTATGGGTTTAGAGAGGAGAGTGCAATTTGGAAAAAGATTTATGAAGTGGAGCATATATGATTTAGAGAGAGATTTAGAGAAGAAGATTCCTAATATGACTCCCAGGCTTCTGATTTGTGCAGCTAACTGGGTGGGCCATAGACTATGATCAGGATTTTACGAAGAGAAACACAGAGATGTCCAGTAGACAGCTTGATGACGTGGATCTAAAATGCAGCAGTGAGCTTTATGGAGAGAAATTTTAGTTTTCAGCATGTAGGAGATAGCGGAAGCCATGACCATGTATTACATGACTGAGAGAGTGTTGTAGAGGAAAAAGAGAAGAGCGAAAGGTCCCAGAGTAGAGTCTTGAGGAAGGCCAACAGTTAAAAGTGTAGGTGACTAAGGAAGCAGGACTCCTTTATGCTCTTTGACACTGAAAGGTATCACCATTTGATTTAACTGTAGTTTTCTCTTTTCAGGAATGGTAGTGCTATTGGCCTTCCGGTCCCACCTATCACAGCCTTAATTACCCCAGGTCCTGTTCGTCATTGCCAAATTCCTGATTTGCCTGTGGATGGGAGCCTCCTCTTTGAATTTCTGTTTTTCATCTACTTGCTGGTTGCCCTGTTCATTCAGTACATCAACATCTATAAAACAGTGTGGTGGTATCCTTACAATCATCCTGCCTCTTGTACTTCATTGGTAAGTCTTAATAGGCCTCTAAGTTCTTCATGTTACTTAGCCGAGAAACTAGTTGGAAAACTTTCATGTAGAAATTATTTTTCTTGCAATAAAATGTTTTTATATTAAAGCACAGATTACTTTCATAATGTAATATCATAAAATTGTTAAATATCTGGCTTTGGTCCATAAGCAGAGATAGTAAAAATATAAATGAAAATGTGGAAAACATTTAAGTAATTTATTATAACAGTATCACAAAAAGGTTTTGATATTTAGCTTTTTCTACATCCAAGGTGGATGTGATCTGTCCCTGATTACCAGAAAGAGAAAAGGACATAGGGAAACATAAAGGAGAGTTGTTTTCATTTAGACCAGGGTCATATCATTTTGAGATGTATCTGCTCCCAACTGTAAGAGAAGCTGGACAATATAGCCCCTTAGCTGGGTTCATTAACTGTGGATAAAATTGGGTTCTGTTACAAATATAAAATAGAGGCAAGAACTAGCTATCTCTGCTGAAGTACATCAGAATATATTGTAGGTTTCTTCTGCCCTCTTTCCAGTTTTTAGGAACACTGTGGTAATGTTCCAGTTCAGGGTAGTCAGGTGACCTGATAGTTAAGTGGTTGGCAATGGCAGATTTGGATGGATGATAGAGATGTGCTCTAGGAGAAAGACTATTGTCCTGGTAGATTATATGTGTCTGAGACTTCTAAATGATTAGAAAACCTCCCTGGTCTGGTGAACATAGTAAATGTGGACCAAAATATTCAAGACTGTATGAGAAGGAAATAAACAATTTTATTTTAAATATTTGTATTACTTGGTTTCTCCTAAAATTAACTGTTAAGATTTTTCTTTCCGTATTGGCCGTCTCTCTGCTTAATACCAGGTGAAGAAAAGTTTAGTTTCTTTTTTTTAAGAATTATAATGATTTAGTGCCAAATAATATGCTTTTTTAAAAATATGTTTTTTTTTTTCTATTTGGAATATGAGTTTATTGAGTATAGGATCCCTACTTTATTCATCCTTCTTTGGCCATGGTGTTACAGAATGAGAAGGTTGGATTAGATGATCTTAAGGCTTCTTCCACTATGTAGTTCTATAATCTAAATACCTGTATCATAACAGTGATATTGACAAATACTTATTAATATATTTACTATGCTATTTGCAAGTATTATTTATTTGTTCTAAAAACAGGTAGGTATTATTCTATGATTAATGAGAAATATGAAAACTAGAGATTACGAAACTGGCTTAAAATCACATGTGATCAAGTGAGCACTCAAATCCAGAACTATCTGCTATGCTCTACTTCCTGTATTTATTCTTTATTTACTCCATGAATACCGTTGGTTAGTTCATTATACTGTTTCCACCTTGACATCCTATGGAAACTTTTCACTTACTGAATTTTCAGGTTAATCACAGAACTCTTCCCAGTCAACTTCTGACAACTTCCCAGTCAATTTCTGACAAGAGTTCTTGTAAAAGTCTGTTACAAGTGTCGCCTTGAAATGAAGGGAGCCAGTGCTCCTGTTATAATTGGGAAACTGCTGGCTCTAGAATTATGCTTCCTTTGCTGTGGCTCACACCACCAAGAGGGGCCTTTTACCCTGCCCCTCTCCCCACTTCACTCAGTTTTTGTAGTGCCTGGTGGCTGGCAGATGCTAAATCTAGTAAGTTCAGTTACAAGAAAGTTTGGGCATGTAGTTTTTAGCTTTCCAGTCTCTACAATAGAGGAAGGCACACTTAAATGAGAGTGTCGTGTGAACTGGCTAACTTATCTGTCACGTGTGATGCTTGATCACACAAAGCTTAAAATTTAATTGTGGAACTATAAGTAGCATGTGTGGAATAGCAAATAAGATTTTAGCTCATGAATCTGAGAGCCTGCATCAGTGAACTGTTAAAGATGAATGGGCTGCCAGAGATCTGATTCCTTCGTGCCACTGAAGGAATTCAAGCCTAGTCCGTAACAGCTTGACTGGGACACTCGCCATGGGATTTACATTTCAGCTAGTGATTTGTCTGTTTTAAGCTTTCTTCTATTAGGCATGCCTGACTCAGATGCTTGTCAGATTTATATGTTAGGTTTTCCTTTTTCCTTTTCAAGATCTTAATAATTATCAGAAAGAAAATGTGGGCACCCAAATATGTAAAATATCATTCTAACTATCAAACAATTATCTGAGTGAGTCTTAACCCTAAGAAAAATACAAGCTAGTAGTAGTATAGGAAGTTATTCAGAATATTCAGGAGTGGAGTGCTCTGATTAATCAAATATTCTGGTTTGTAAAAGTTAACCAAATGTAAATTACTATTTTTCAACGATTTAGAATATAGGTGTGTTTAACAATGAAATATCCTAGGCACTTAAATTTTTTTTATAATAAAAATGTCTTAGATGGACTTGTGATACATATAAATAAGACCCCCAGACATTAGCTAGGGGATGTAGTAAATTTGCTTGCATTATTTTAAAGGAGTAGGATGAGCACGGAAGAGTCTCAAGAGGGGATAAATAATTGTTAGGATCTAAATACTTCCCTGGTGACTCAGATGGTAAAGAGTCTGCCTACAATGCGGGAGACCTGGGTTCGATCCCTGGGTCGGGAAGATCCCCTGGAGAAGGAAATGGCAACCCACTCCAGTACTCTTGCCTGGAAAATCCCATGGATGGAGGAGCATGGTAGGCTACAATCCATGGGGTTGCAAAGAATCGGACATGACTGAGTGACTTCACTTTCTTTCTTTCTAAACACTTAGAGATAGAGAAAAGGAAATAGTGTGAGAAGCAGTAAGCCATTCATTCTCTTGGCATTCTGACTGCTTTACCTTTAAAATGTATCCCAGATCTGACAACTCCCAATTGCTGCTGACCCTGTTTGAGTGATCATGTTTTCTCACCTGAATTTAAAGCAATAGCTTCTTGACTGATCTTTCCCCAATACAGTATATTTTCCACACAGCAATCAGTGTGAGAATTTTAAAATACAAATAGAATCATGGCACCTTTTGCCTGAAACACTCCTGTAACTCCCCCTTAGGAAAAAAAGAGTAAACTCAGTCTTTATTGCTCATTACCTCATTTCAGCCTTCTTACTGATTTTGAGACATACCAGGAGTATATTTTCCTGCCTTAGAGCTATGTGATTACTTTTTCCTTGCCTGGAGTGCTCAGCACCTGATCTTCTCTTGGCTGGTGCATTTTTGTCATTCAGCTGTCAGCCTAAATGCTGCCTTCAGCCAAATGCTGCCTTCTTAGAGATATCCTTCCTAATTACCAGTTTAAATTGGTTCTACACTTCCCTTCCCAGTCATTATTGTTTTTTTCTTACCAGCAGCGTAACTGTTTGAAATGCTTTCGCTTGTTAGCTTGTTTATTGTTATTGCCCTCCCCTTCTAAGCAAACTGGGTGCCCAGCTCATATTTATTGAATGAGTTGAGAAATTCTGGAAGGAGAACAGTAGAACAGAAACTTAGAGACCTTTTGATCATCAAAATTAAAATATATCCTATTTTTTTTTTGCCACTAATGACTTTTTATTTTATTATTACAGTTAAATATACAGACTTAGAACTAGAAGGAACGTACACAGCTTCTAGGTAATGCTGTCATTTTATAGGAAGAAGAGATCAACATAAGACATGTTTCTAAATCAAGTTAAGGGGAAAGACTGAATGTGTTGATGTATCAGTGAGTTAGGGAGTTTAGGTTAATAGATGCCCTGTTAGATTAATTTAAGTTTTCTTAAAGAGAAACCAACAACAGTAGCTCTTGGAGACCGGGAATTTAAATTTGACACTCATTATAAGTATGGCATTTTAGATAAGTTATTCTTGTCATAATTCTGCAGGTTGGTGCTTGTTAACCCAAAACTGCAGTCGTTTCCTTTTAATACAGTAAACTTTCAAGAACAGAGAAGATTATATTCCAGACAGTTTAAAATAGTGTTTTAGAAGTTAAAGCAATTTGTCATGAAAGAAGGAGAAGGTAGGTAGTCTCTTTAAGGTCTCCCAAATTCCTGTGGTCTGTAAATGTAAGGTGATATAAGAAGACCTTTTGAGGGGGCAAGCTTCTTCATGTAGTAGTTACAGCTGGATATCCATATTTCTTTCTGATTTGGTTATTTGTTTCTCTTACAGAATTTTCATCTCATTGATTACCACCTGGCAGCATTCATCACAGTGATGCTTGCAAGGAGGCTTGTATGGGCCCTCATCTCAGAGGTAACTGCTCATTGACTGTATTCTATCACTTGTAGCTAGAGCTAGTCACTAGGATGTGTTCAGGTTGAAAATGTGAAGTGTCAAAGTATAATTTAAATGCTGTAATAAATAATTTCTTTACTCCCACATGAACTGTGCTAGTTTTTTAAAAAAGGTTTTCTCATAATATATTCAAAGTTCAAGTGTGATATACTAATTCAGTTGTTAGAAATTTTATTTGTCCAGTTGGAGCTTAATTCTAACTTCTGAGTCCTTCAGTATAATCTTTCTAATTTTGATAGTTATAGTAAAAATAGGATGGATTTTAGGTAACTGTTACTAGGGAAAGTTGCATCTAAAACTGTGATTCAAGTAACATTCACTTCAAATTATTTATATATCATTTGTGGAGTTGCTAGCAAGAGACATTTGAGTTTATTAAAACTTAGAATTTTTAAAAGATAGCATCCACATTTGCATAGGACTAATCTTGAAGATTAGAACCTAATTAGTTAAAAAGACCATGTTAACATTAATATGATCTTTTTATGAAATGGCCATTGTTAAAATAATTTTTTAATATTTGTAAACCCCAGTGAAGAAGGTAATTGTGTTTTTTAAAAATTTATCTTGTGCCCTATAAATGAATACAAAAACAAAAAATGTTAACTTAGCTAAAATGGCTAATAATTTTAATTTGTTTTTAACTGAAATTTTGAATAAATCATTGCTATAATCATAGCTAACTTAGGGTCAACTCTTTTCTTCTAAAATGTACATGGGAAGTCTGTGTCTGCAGGCTCTTGATTTGCAGGAACCTTATTTCTGTGAGCACAGAATAATTGCAGATAATTAAGTCATAATCTGAAAGCTATTTGAAGTTAACTTTAAAACTTTGATAGTAAGAGTGCAAAAGTGCAGTAAGAGTGAGAAAGGCTGTCTATAATTTTTTAATCCCAAGGTCTTTATTTAGGTCATGAAATTAAGTTCTTGCTTTTGGATGTTTGAGAAAGTCTCTTCTTTCTTTAGAGGAACTCAGTGGGATTTTATGTTTATATCTGTTAAAAGAGGCAAGGATTGATTTTGTTTCATCTTTTCAGTTACTTAGAGATGGTGCTTGTGTATGTCAAGTTAGTATGTAAACCCTTCTAGTTAGTGTGTAAGTCCTGCATAAACAGAGGTTTCTACTTTGGAGCTACAACAGCTATAACTCTAAAAACTCTATTGTTTCTTTTACTTAAGAATAGTTTTAACAGCTTTTGCATGACTTTAGAGAGTTTATTGTTGTTTAGTCGCTAAGTAGTGTCCAACTCTGCGGCCTCATGGATTGAAGCACTCCAGGCTTCCCTGTCCTTCACTGTCCCTGGAGCTTGCTCAAACACATGTCCATTGTGTTGGTGATGCCACCCAACCGTCTCATCCTCCGTTGCCCCCTTCTCCTCTTGCCCTCAGTCTTTCTCAGCATCAGAGTCTTTTCCAGTGAGTAGGCTCTTTGCATAAGTTGGCCAAAGTGTTGGAGGTTTAGTTTCTGCATCAGTCCTTCCAATGAATATTCAGGGTTGATTTCCTTTAGGATTGACTGGTTTGTTCTCCTTGCAGTCCACGGGACTCTCAAGAGTCTTCTCCAGCACCACAGTTCAAAAGCATCAATTCTTAGGTGCTCAGCCTTTTTTATGGTCCAACTCTCAACATCCATGAATTGACCACTGGAAAAACCATAGCTTTGACTATGTGGACCTTTATTAGCAAAGTCATGTCCCTGCTTTTTAATACGTTATCTAGATTGGTCATAGCTTTCCTTCCAAGGAAAAAAAATATCATGGGTGAAGTCACCTTCCACAGTGATTTTGGAGCCCCCCAAAACTAACTCTGTCGATGCTTCCTCTTTTTCCCCATCTATTTGCCCTGAAGTAATGGGACCAGATGCCATGATCTTGGTTTTTTGTGTTGAGTTTTAAGCCAGCCTCTTTACTCTGCTCTTTCACCCTCATCAGGAGGTTCTTTAGTTCCTCTTCACTTTCTGCCATTAGAATGGTGTTATTTGCATATCTGAGGTTGTTGATCTTTCTCCCTGCAATCTTGATTCCAACTTGTGCTTCATCCAGCCCGGAATTTTACATGATGTACTCTGCATAGAAGTTAAATAAGCAGGGTGGCAATATACAGCCTTGACAAGCTCCTTTCTCGATTTTGAATCAGTCTGTTGTTCCATGTCTGGTTCTAACTGTTGTTTCTTGACCTGCATACAGGTTTCTCAGGAGACAGATAAGATGGTCTGGTATTCCCACCTCTAAAGAATTTTCCACAGTTTGTTATGATCCACACAGTTAAAGTCTTTAGAGTAATTAATGAAGCAGAAGTAGATGTTTTTCTGGAATTCCCTTGCTTTTTCTATGATCCAGTGGATGTTGGTAATTTGATCTCTGGTTCCTCTGCCTTTTCTAAAACCAGCTTGTACATCTGGAAGTTCTCAGTTCATGTACTGTTGAAGCCTAGCTTGAAGGATTTTGAGCATTACCTTGCTAGCATGTGAAATGAACACAGTTGTACAGTACTTTGAACATTCTTTGGCATTGCCCTTCTTTCAGATTAGAATAAAAAGACTAGTCCTGTGGCCACTGCTGAGTTTTCCAAATATGTTGACGTATTGAGTGCAGCACTTTAACAGCATCATATTTTAGGATTTGAAATTGCTCTGCTGGAATTCCATCACCTCCACTAGCTTTGTGGTTAAGAGCTTGGGCTCTGGAATATGGCAGAAATGATAAACACATTCAGGTTCTGCTGCTATGGTGACACTAGGCAGAAACAGCCTTTTTTTTTTTTTTTTTAAACTAACCCTAAACATTTGCGAATGGAGGCGCTGAAGTAATTCCAGTGACTTAAATGGCTTCTCTTGCCTTTGACACATGAGGTACACTGGCATGAAGTATGTATCGGGAATAATATGCAACTATTTGCCATGCTATTACTGAGAACAGCTTGAACCTAGTCTACAATTTTGAGGCTCAGGCAGTAGTATTAATTAACTGCTTCTATGCTTTTGTAAGTAACTACACAAATAGCATATATTGTGTGTATATTATTTATGCTGTGTATTGATAGCATGTGGTTGAACTAAGAAATGGATACATAGAAGGTACCTGGAAAACTCCTCCTTTTCTATGTGCTATTGACTCCAGAGAATTGTTTTTCTGAGTTCTGACACTGCTTTTTCAGAGCTTATAAGAATCTGTCATTTTCCCCTGCATTTCACTCATTCTCTCCTTCCTGGTTCAGTTTGTAAGAAAATGACATTGCAGAGACTCATGTTTAGACAACTGTGGTTTCTTACTGTATTTAATCAGTTTTAAAGATTCAGGATTAAAGAAGAGTATTTGAACAGCTGTGATGTGAAGAACTAGAAGTAAGGACCATGCATTATTTTCATGTTTGCTAAAGTAAAAAAACAACAACAAAAACTTCTGTTTATATAGGGATTTATCAAAGAAGATCTCATTATTTTTTGAAGTTTCCATAATTTATTAAACATTAATTCACAAGCACATTGAGGGGAAGATTCAAAGAAAAATAGAAGCACTGTTGCTGCTGTCGAGGCCATTGCAGTCTAGTCTGGAGTCAGACTAGTTGGCTCTCAATTTTTACGGATATAAAAATCACTTGATAGGTTGTTAAAATACAGATTCCTTAGCTTGTGAGTTTGTTCACTATACCTGATGATGAAAGCAAGTAGGAATTTGCATGTGCAGTGAGCAGCCCCAGTGATTCTGATGAGTATGGTTAATGGAACATACTTCAAGAAGCCCCAATGTAAATAAATTAGACAATTTCATGAGAACGTGTGTGGAGGTCTGTGTGAGGCGCTATGGGAATGCAAGGAAGAAACAGCTAACTGCCTGGAGTGATCTGAATCTTCAAGAAAGAGGAAAATAAGGCAGGATGGGCAGTTTTTCTTCTGTTCTTTTCTCCTTTCCTTCCTTCCTCTCCCCCCTTTCTTCCTCTAAATTTACTAAGTCCTTACTGGAGTCACATTGCTTTTGAGTAAGGTCATTTATAAACTTTTACTTTCGATGCTTCCAAACTTGTAGGCCACTAAGGCGGGTGCATCATCAATGATTCACTACATGGTTCTGATATCAGCTCGCTTGGTGCTACTTACTTTGTGTGGATGGGTACTTTGTTGGACCCTCGTCAATCTCTTCCGAAGCCATTCAGTCCTCAATCTCCTTTTCCTTGGCTACCCGTGAGTACTCCAGTTTTACTATTTTATTAGTAAGTCTTAAGAAATTATTTGGGTCATGCCAGATGATGGTATAAAAGGGAGGGAAATGAAATTCTTCAATGCAAATCTGAAGTTTAGGCAATTCGAAAAAATCAGTGGGTAGGGTGACCGTATAATTTATATTCTAAACTGGAATACAGTTGGGGCAATAGATATAAACTAAGATTGTTCCTGAGTGGTTCCAATGGAGAAGATTTTCATGAGCTTTATTTGCCATATAAAATTCATATACAGTAAAATTCACAAATCTTGTATACATTTACTGAGTTTTGATAAATGCATATACCTGTGTAAATCAAAACCTCATCCCAGTATGGAATGTCACCATTACTCCAGAGATTCCTTCATGTCCCTTTCCAATCAAACCCCACCCTCTGCATCCCAGAGGCAACCACTGTTTTGATGATTTTTTCCCCCACCATAGATTAGGTTGCCATTTCTAGAATGTCATATAAATGGAATTGTTCAGTATGTACTCTTTCAAACCATCTTTGACTCAGCATGTTGTTTTTGAGATTTGTCTGTGTTTACATATTATCAGTAATAGTTCATTGCATGAATATACCATAATTTATTTTCCTTCTATTCGACATTAGGGTTGTTTCTAGTTTTTGACTACTCTTTAAAAAAAAAACAACAAACTAGTATACACATTCTTATACAAGTCTTTTTTTGTAAAGCTACCTTTACATTCTCTTGGGAGAATTATGTGTAGGAGTGGCATTGCTAGGCCACAAGGTAGGAGTATGTTTAGTTTAATAAGAATCTATCAGACTTTTTCCCAAAGAAGTGGTATCAATTTATCCTTTCACCAATACCGTAAGAGTCTGACAGCTACACAGTTTTGTCAGCATTTGATGTTTTCCATTTAAAAAATTTTAGCCATTCTGAAGGTTGAATTGGGGTGTTTTATTGTAGATATTAGCTATTAAACTAAATATCTTGCATAGTTTTTTAATTTGTATACATTTGGCTAAAACCTTCTTCATTAGATGTTAACAGATAGCTATCATTTATTCAACTCTTATTATGTGTTAAGTGTTGGGCTAGGTGGTGATTATAAACATCACCTCATGAAATCATTACAATCACCCAGGAAGTAGTATATTTAATCTGCTGTAACAGATCCAATATACTAGAGGATTTAAAAAGTTAGAAATTTATTCCTCTCTCCTGTACAGTGTGTATTTAAGTTATGGTGGATAGTTGTAGTAGCTCCATGGTGTCAGGACCCAAGCTTCTGTTATCTTTTTGCTCCACTTTCCCTAGTAGAATACATTGTAAGGGGGAGTGGAAAACTGAATCTTTAGCAGGGGAGCTGTATCTCGACTAAAATTTCTGTTGCTATGAAAGAACAAGAGAACAGTAGCTATTGGCAGACAATTAGCAATTTTTGACATAGGTAAAGACAGATTAAGCAGTTGAAATTTTTTCCAGTGGTTAGACAATTAATTAGAAAGACCCAGGTCTTTTTGATTCCAGAGCCATTGTCTTAACCATTACTCTAAATTCAGTAGTTCTCAAAATGTGGCTCCCAGAACAAGAGCATCACTATCTCCTAGAAATTTGTTAGAAAAAGAAATTCTCAGAATCAATCCTAAACTGAAACAGAAACTTAAGAAAGTATGGCCCAGCAATTTGTCTTTTAACACAAGTCCTCCAGATGATTCTGATGCTAGGTCAAATTTGAGAATCATTGCTTTATACCATTTATGATGCTATAACATGAATTTATATGCGTTGTGACTGTATAAAATAAAGGTATACTCAGAGACTGTGCGGCCAAGTCTGACTTTGTGGCAGGAAGAGTCTTTCTATTGGTTGTACTCTGTTAGGTTATAATTATAATGCTTAAACAATTATTTAAAGCACTCATCAACTTGGTTCATACAGAATGAATTTTCTTTGTTATAAACTTCACTTTTCATGATTCAGATTCTTTATAAGGTGTATATTTTACATCAGTTGTTTCTGTATTTCTAGATTAACATTTCACCTGTTTGAGTTGAAAACAAATTATTTATTCTGTTTACCAGCAATATCTGATTGAATCATTTAGAAGATTAACCATATCTAACTTGAAAGGCTAATTATGGATATATCAATGAATATTTTGGCTAGACTGAAGAGAGTTACCATCATCAGAATGACTAGCAAACCTTTTCATTTCTTTTTAGATATGTAAAGAAGCTTATTTTTGGAGGCTGTCCATACCCTTGTAAAACAATGAAATAAGCATGTAATTCAAACAAATTTTATGTCTAAATATTTTTAGTAACCCTCTTTAAAATTCTTTAATGAATCATTTTTGTACTTCACAAAACTCTCCATGCTCTAAGCCTTTGATGCTATCCTGTATGAGTTATCTATTGACATATGATGCTGTAACAAACATCCACAGAGCTGTGGTAGTGTACATACCACTCTGTAGTTATTGTGCACATGTTGGGATCAGCTAGAAGTTAAGAGGCTCTCCCAATCTTATCTTAGCTGGGTTCAGTCACATGTTTGAGATTGAGGACTGTCTATTTAGGCAGCTAGGACAAGTAAGCTCTGTTCCATGAGTCTCTCATGCTCTGGCAACCTTCTCTGGACATGGTCACATGAAACTGACAGAGTGGCAAAAGAACAGGCCTGAATGTACAAGCCCATCTAAAGCTTCCCATCCTAGCGTGTCTGCTGACATCCCATTGGCCAAAACAGATCGCATTGTTGAGCCCAGCACGGAGATTAGGCAGGGTCACTGCACACGTGGAAGGAGGGCTGTGCAGTTATGTGACAGTGGGTGAAACTACTGGGAAGGGTAAAGAAATGAGGCCATCATTGCAATCTACTACACACCCCAGTTCTCACCCCCGCTCCTGCATGTGTGGTTTCAGCTGTATTGAACTCGCAGCCTTTAGCTTTTGCAGTTTTGCACATGTGTGAGTCCTGCGTGATACTTTTGCATTTACTCCTCTCCCATTCTGCTACTCCAGGGCACATTCACTTTGGATCCCAGAGCCGCTGCTCACTGTCCTCTTAATTAGTAATAAACTCATTCTCTCTCTTTCTGTAGGGAACTATGAACAAGTGACATTTGTTAATTTTTTAAAAATAAAATTTACTAAATAAAATGTCTTTTTATTTGCTATTTTTAATATCTAAATTTATATCACTGAAATGACCACTTTATAATACAGACCTAGGTTACAATGTGGAAGTTTCTTAAGACTTAGGGAAGTGTTTAACATGTTTTTAAGGAACCAAAGTTTGGAGTAACTATAAGAAGTTATGAAAAGTCTCACAAAATTTTAGTCCTCTAGCCAAGTAATTTTACCTGTAAAAATTTATCTATTGTACTTCTGAATTGCTTTTATTAATCTTATCAGGTATTTATTTAGTGCCTACTATGTTTCAGCCTCTATTATAAGTATCAAAGATATATATATAGCAGTGAACTAATAAACAGACTAAAATCTCTGGTTCCTGGAGCTTTTTACATTGTAGTAAGGGGAGGTCAGACCCAACGGAAAAAAAACCCAAATAAAAAACCTAATAAACATGTAAAATACATGATCTTACCAGTTAAGTGGAGAAAAATAACCAAGGGGAACTAGGATGGTGATATGGGTGATGTTGTGGGGAGGCAGGGCAGCCCTGTCACTAAGAAGAGAGAACTGGAAGTAAAAGGCAACCCTTCAAAAAATACCAGATGTACACAAAGATGTGTGTGGGAAATTATTTACTCCATTGGTAATTACAGTAGTGGAAAATAATAAATACTATGTTACTAACAAAAGAGAAATAGGTAAAGTATGGTGTAGCTATATGAGAATACTGTAGTACCTTTTAGAATTGTTAACAAAAGCATTTAATGACATGAGAAAATACTCAGTACATACAAGCTACATAATCACACACCCAAAGTTAAAACAGTAGTATACAAAAGTTTATACTGTGTGAAGCTAAACATAGAAAAAATATAAAGCCTATGCACCCAATTGTAAAAATTATAAAAATGGTGATTTCTAGGTAATTGTCACAATTTTTTTGTAGTTTCTTATCCTACAGTGAATATATATTGCCTTTGTGGGAAGAAATTAAAGAGCTTCCCAGATAATGAATTTACCATCAGCCAAGTCCCCATTATATTAGGTTCATTCTGAAGAGTCATGACTATTCTGCTAACATAGTTATGAGATCTGATATTAGGTGGCATCGGTGGTCTCATTTTCATACTCATGTTTTTCTACAGGTTTGGTGTTTATGTTCCTCTCTGCTGTTTCCACCAAGATAGTAGAGCTCATCTCCTTCTCACAGACTTTCCCTATGTGGTTCAGCACCAGGCGGTAGAGGAAAGTGCCTCAACTGTGGGTGGCTTGGCGAAATCCAAGGACTTCCTCTCCTTATTGCTGGAGTCTCTAAAAGAACAGTTTAATAATACCACGCCCATCCCCACCCACAGCTGCCCACTGTCTCCTGACCTCATTCGCAATGAAGTAGAATGTCTGAAAGCAGATTTCAACCACAGAATCAAGGAAGTTCTCTTCAACTCTCTCTTCAGTGCCTACTATGTTGCATTTCTTCCCCTGTGTTTTGTGAAGGTAAGTGGTTACGTGCTTTTCCGTGCTTCCTGGATTTGTGTGTGGATGACATAAACTGGGTATTTCTTATTTAATCCCCCTTTTCTCTGTCTCCCCTTTGGCAGCCTGGATGGTGGAGTTCGGCTGCATCTGGAGTGCACTAATACCTGGTTGGTGGATAGATATTTCCATATCTGTGATGCACCCGTGGTGGTCCCCTCTTGTTTTCTTTCTTTCTTTCTTTTTTTTTTTAGATTTCCCCCGCCCCCAGTTTCTGGAGAGAATAAACTTGTACTTAGAATCAGTATATGGTAGCGTAAGAGGACTGAAGTTTCAGTAAAATACAGCCCGCCATGGTTGATCTTAACATGGTCATCAGGAGTTTCCTTGAATTTAATCTAACCTTTATTTAAACTTTATTTTGGTAGAAGAGAAAAATGGTCTGGATGTCACTTGGGCCCAAAATCTTTTGGGTCATTTTAGTGCCCTTCCTTCACCCATTGAGAAGCACATCTGCAGCTGGAGTGGTCATTCACAGAGAGCATTCACTTCTTCTAGAAAGGAAGGACTTAAAGTATAATTGCCTCTCCCTCCCAACCCTAACTCATGCAACCAGAAAGTCAGGTTGAAGGATTTTGGAGGACTCTGCTCTTGAACTTTCTGCACGGACAGCAGGACAACAAATGCATGTGTGACTCAGAGTGGCATTGTCTGCAGGGCGTATGTACACACACGCACCCATCCCTGCCTTCTTGCTCATCAGTACATGGATCATTTCTCTCTCTTCTAATCTCTTCCAGAGTACCCAGTACTATGACATGCGCTGGTCATGTGAGCACCTCATTATGGTGTGGATCAATGCTTTTGTCATGCTCACCACACAGCTGCTGCCATCCAAGTACTGTGATTTGCTGCATAAATCAGCTGCTCACCTGGGCAAGTGGCAGAAGCTTGAACATGGCTCCTACAGCAATGCTCCACAGCACATGTAAGTAGGTTAGAGGATCAAACCATTTAACACCTTTTTACATGCTGCTGACCATGTTTATTTGCTTTGTATGTCATTCTTGTTCTTGGCTTTGAACATTTAATTTTTAGTTTTTGCCCACATGGGTGCTTGTCATCACTCTAAACTGAAAGCAGGGAACATTAACTCATTTCCACCACCATCCCCAGTCCCTCCTCAAATGCCTTATATCTTTCAGCTGCCCAGTCACTCTAGAGTGTGTAATTTGTTTCCCAAACTATCATCTTGGAGTTTTCTTTCAGTCCTAACCATTTGCCCAAATTCAAAGACTCATGATATATTTTTAATTTTCTTTAGAAGACTGTGAGATTCATCTTCTTGTTTTCATTGCCACAGTTAAATAGCTGCTAGCTAATTGTCTTAGGCAGCTGGCCTTTGCTTCTCTCATCTTTTCTTTCTAATAAATGTAAATTTGCTCTAGTAATTTTCCTAGCCAGCATTTTTATTTTTTGTTTACTTATTTTTGTTTGTTTCTTTGTTTTGTTGCTGTATTAGCCTGCATCTTTGTGCATTTCTTTTCCTAAACTCACTAATGAATGTTGCTCTGCTTTTCCTATATTCAAATGAAAACTGTTGCTAATTGAGTTCTTTCTGAGTATTCCTTTCATTGTGTCCCCCTGTCAGTCATTTCTCTGCATGGTCCTTTATGGGCCAAAATGACTTGACTTTAGAATCCTTTTATTGTCTTGCTTCTGAGCCCTTCATCATACCTTTCTCTCAGACCTGGACCATCTTCATCTTCCTCCCTTTTATAATTTGAACATTTCACAAATTTCATCACCTAGAAATTCTTTCCTAATTAAATTAGGAAATTAAAGGTGTCCTAATTAAAGGTGACATTCCCTTCCCCTCTTCCCCTCAGAGTGCTCCCTTCAATTATTTGCCTTGATGTCTGATACAGATTAGCACAGGCCTTCAAGCCCAGGAACTGAAAGAGATTGGGCCAGGCTGAAAAGAAACCTGACTGTGGGCAAAGGACAGATTTCAATAAAAATTGAAAATCCAATGCACAGTGCTAGTACTGTACATCTTCAGGCTCCTGATGGCACATGGCCATGAGGTGTGTCTTCACTTTAATGCTGGTAAGTGTGAGCAAGGCTGATGGAACATTTTCTGAACTGGGAAAGCTTCAGGGTGCTAGACTTTTTTTTTTTCTTTAACATATTTAAAATGCTGTCCCAGTTCTTACCCTAGGAAACTAACCTTTCCAAAATCAGGAAGAGATGAATTAACTTAGATTTTTTTTTAAAAAGTTTAACCTGAAGATCCCCCATCCCCACCCCAACTCCATTATGTTGGTGCTGGAAAGAGTGAAGCTTCTTCCGTAACTTCTTTTTCCTAGAGAAACCTCTATAAAAATAAACCAGGAAAGCAGTAAAAAGAAAAGTCTGTGTGTTGGTACCTTGTGTGTCTCTGTATTCTTCTGTATAGCTTCTCACAATATGAAGCACTTGAAATGTGTGATAAATGAATAAATTTTCTGTAGCTTGTGGGATGTAATTCTGCAGTAAATGTCATGCTAGTTTGATAATGTGTTAATTTCTCCACTCGTCTTGTTACCATCCACTTTTCTCTTCTTTGTTTCCTCTAGCATTTCCACCAGTGGACTCTGCTCACTTGGGATTGAGGTGACAGTCCACCTGCTTATACTCGATTTTCTGGCTCATCGATGCCTTACTTACACATTTGTTTCTGCTTGTTCTCCTAAGCCTCTTAAGTCCTCTGACACTGAGTTAACTTTGCAGTTAACTTTTCTCTCTATTATATAGCAATGAAGTTGTAATAAATCCTTTCTAATTCCTTCCAGTCTGACTATGGAATTACTATCTTTTCAGAATTCAGGCAGATGAAGACTTGAATACTTAATTCTTTCCATAGAAACATAACTGGTTTTGCCAGACACTAATCTTATCTGTAATTGCCAGTATGCTAACATTGCATTTCTTTCTCCCTTAGTTGGTCAGAAAATACAATATGGCCTCAAGGGGTGTTGGTGCGACACAGCAGATGCTTGTATAGAGCTGTGGGGCCTTACAACGTGGCTGTGCCTTCAGATGTATCCCATGCCCGCTTTTATGCAAGTACCGCTTATTTCTTTTCAAACATAAGCTTAGGAGTGTTAGGAGGCCACTTTGTGTGTAAACATTTAGCACATACTAGGACATTAATACAGGGTAATTATTTTACTACTATAATGGCCTCTGTCCTTGGGAATACTTCTGAAAAGCAGATTGAAGGTGAAATGCCAGTATGTCAATTTTAATAACTTGACTGGTTTCTCTAGTTACAGTGGAATTTGTTGAGTTTGGTATCACTTGAAAGAAGTACACAATTATTTAAGACTTCCATTTTCATCTTACAGTCTTTAATTTTGTAATAGTTTGGTTTAGCGGTATCCCTATTATATCTGTATCATGAAGCAATATTTAATATAGTAATAATGTGATGATTTTATTTTTTGATATTTCTCATGTATATCATCTCCTCAAAATACTTCCGCTTTGAAACACAGGCAGATGGCATGATCTCTGGTCTTCTACCATTTTTCAAATTAAAAGGAAAAAAGGTTTAAAAGTTTGAAAGGAAAAAAGCCATAGATGCCCACTAAACCTAGTTTTGTCCCATTTGATTTATGTCTTGGGTTATGTTCTGTTTGATCTTTCAGTTTTCCAGAAATTCTGGCTCTAGGAGGGAGAAATATTTACTTACTAAAGAAAGACAAACTGATTAATGGGAGTGGGGAATAGAAGGTACATACAGGGAACTGTTTTCAGTAAAAATGCACAAAGTGCAGTGCATTGCCTTTGAATGGAGATCATATTCTGAAAAAGAATTGGGAGATTTTATTCATTCATTCATTCATTTGATACTTGAATCCTGTTCTCGCTCCCATTCCTCCCTTCATCCCTCCCAGTTCCTTATGAGGGTACTTGGACGTTCTGGTTCTGCAAGTGTTCACTACTAAGGACTTTTTCATTAAATACTGGAAACTTGCATCAGGGCAGGATGCTTATAAATAGGGGTGGGTGGGCCGAGGTGGAAGGCCTTTGAATGAGGGAACTAAAACAATTTCTTTGACTCCTGTGGGATTGGCCTTAAGATGGAGGAGTGGACTTAGGTTATAACTGCACAAACATCTGGTTTCTACACAGAATATTTCATTCAGCCAGCTGAATTCCACAGGCTGTTAATGGCATCTGTTGGCCATTGTGGTCCCCTGGAAGCTGACAGTAACCAGATAGTTTATTAAAGTTTTCTGCTTGAAAGATAAATGTTTTCCTTGCTAGTGTTGGACAGCTGAAGAATCAGGTGGAAACCATAGAAGAAAGATTAAGGAACTTATTACTGATTTTGTGTGACCAAACAGGTAAATCAGTGCTTCTCAGAGTGGTGGTTGGGTTCCTTAAAGTCAGATCTCTGAAGAATCCTAGGAATTTGCATCATTTACATATTTGGAAATGATTCTTAAGGCACACCGAAGTTAAGAATGGGCCTGCTACCTGTAACTGTGGCTGTCCTCACATTTCTACTCATTCAGTTTACAGTCTACCTACACATTTAATTATATTTGGTATAATTGCCACAGAATCTGAAATTGCCTGGTTTTTTTTTTAGAATGTTAATTCTGAGCCAGTATTATACATGGTATTACTGGGGGTCATGTAATAAAATCCAGGGTAAACATGTTCTTTCTCCTGCAGAAGAATCCTGAGAACCCAGTTAAACCTTTCAGAGCTGTTGTGATGATTTATTTGGCTTTATTCTCAGATTTGAGCCCCGAGGTCTAACTTATTCTTTTAGATCTGATATACTACCGTTAACACAGTTTGCAGTCTGTGACCACTGTCTTCTATTCATGATGCATTTTTATTAGTCAACTAGGATTCAGCCTCTTAGAGTGATGAATTTGGAGCTCTGTGTTTAGCCAGTCTCTCTAATTCTAACTAATTTTTCCTTCCTTCTTCACTGTTCTCCCTTTGTATACCCTACTTCTCAATATCCAGAAAAACTGGGCAAAAGAAAACAGCTTGGTGGGTAACAGTTTAAGAAAAAAAGTAAGAAATTACTGTATTGATATTTCAACTTATATTACCACCCCTCCCTCCAGACTTGTTTAGTTTAGGTGTTTATGTCTTAGATCAGCCCACAAGCCACGATTTTTACATTTTTAAGCAGTTACATTTTAAGAGGTTATCTCAAATAAAATATTTGAGATAAGACATAATCTAGGAAAGTTTTTTTTTTTTTTTTGAGAAAGAGTTCTTTTGGATAAGTCTGTTTCTATGTCTCAGGGGTATTGAAATAAAATGTATTTCATTATACCTTGAGCAAAAAAGAATGGATCTCTATAGCAAGAAATAGCCTGATTGACATTCAATAAGCAGATCTACTTGTTAGTGTACATAGGAGCCTATAACTGTAAAATGATTTTAGAAAAAAAGAGAATAAATTCCGTCTTTTCTATGAAATAACATTTTGCTTTTTAACTTCCTTACAGTTCCTGTTTCATCGTCCATTAAGGCTGTTAAATCTGCTTATCCTTATTGAGGGCAGTGTTGTCTTCTACCAGCTCTATTCCTTGCTGCGGTCAGAGAAGTGGAACCACACACTTTCCATGGCTCTCATCCTCTTCTGCAACTACTATGTTTTATTTAAGCTCCTCCGGGACAGAATAGTATTAGGCAGGGCATACTCCTATCCGCTCAACAGTTATGAACTCAAGGCAAACTAAGCTGCCTCTCAGCAATGAGGGAGAACTCAGATAAAAATATTTTCATACGTTCTATTTTTTTCTTGCGATTTTTATAAATATTTAAGATATTTTATATTTTGTATACTATTATGTTTTGAAAGGTGGGAAGGGCAAGGGATATTAAATGTATCCATAAACAAGGTGATGTGATCTTTCATGTGTTAGTATATTTGAATAATATACAGAGGAGAGGTGCACCTCTCTAGTAAAGAGATTGATTTGTTTGTATGGCCCTGGAATAACTCATTCATTTCTGAAAACATCTCATATATCACTTGACATGGTACCTTTTGTGTGTATGCTTTCCTTCTAGTCCTCCTCATCTTTAGTCTTTGGTTGGCCTTATTGTTACAGAGAGATCAGTGGAGTTGCCTGACAGCACTCATCATCTTTTGTTTTGTTTTTTTTTTTGCCTGGCAGATAGTATTGGAGTGCACAGGGCAAGAGTGGGTTTAAGTCCTGGTGGGGTTTTCTTTGTTGCCTGCTGGGAAGAAGCATTTCTGAGGTAGGAACTCAGTGTTCTGCCTGCCCTATGACATTTAAATATACTTTTGTGAAAGCTCTTATCCTGAAACAGGATATTACACTCCTTTTCCCTGTTCTTCCACTTTTGCTTGAAAAGATTTTCCTTTTCTTGTTAGCTGTTTTGAAATAATACTTTTAAGAACAGGATAGAGTGCCCAAACTTATGAAGAAGTTGGGTGTGACTGGATCAGTGGGAGAAGATGAGCACAGATCCCCTGGCCTGGGGTCTGGCAGGTTGAACACACCCACGTAACTGGAGGAATGGATGCAGTCTCGCAGCAACCCCCCTACCATGGCGTATTTGGAGTTATGAGTGGAAGGAAGATAGGAGAAGTTACCTCTTTGTCCTCAAGTAGTTTGATCTGTTTGTGTTCTTAATTTCATACTCCAGAACCTTTATGTCTGTGAGTATTAACCCCTTTTAGTCCATTTTCTTGAAAGAGGATATGCCTAGTCAATTGATGTTACTAGTCAACTAAATTTCTGAGCATTGTCTTGAGAGCCTGAAATACATTTTCATGTGTTTCCTATGTTCCTTTTGACCTTTTTACACTGTGAAGCTTTTGGTGAAACACAGTATGGCTTATGAAGTAAAAACAAACATAATCATATAATTCCTATACTGGCTCTGAAAACAGTTCCCAGCAGGTTTCACCAAAGACAGCTGAAATACACTATGGCTTATGAAATGAAAACAAATAATCATATAATTCTTGTACTGGCTCTGAAAGTTCCCAACAGGTTTCAGCAAAGACAGCACTGTGAGGAATAGGTGTATATATAGCTACCCAAAGTGACTGCTGTGTGTGACCATTGTTTCCTTAAATTTTGATGGATATACTTTTTTTTTTTAAGTTACATTATTTGGAATTCATTCTGAGTCAATTCAGTCATTCAACAAATATGTGTTGACCACCAGGCACTATTTTAGGTACTGGGGATATAGCAGCAAATAAGAAAAGTAAAGGCCCTACCTCATAGAGCTTACAGTATGCAGAATGGGAGGTGCGAAATATGCTGTAAACAAACATATATAATGTCTCTTGCTAGTAGTGATAAGGGTGGTAAAGAGAAAATAAGTCAGAATAAGGAAATAGTGCTAGCAATGGCACCAATGGAAGGCATCCTCAAGGAGACAATCCCTCAGGTAGGAGCAATTTTGTGTGCTATGTGCTAAGTCGCTTCAGTCGTGTCCAACTCTTTGTGACCCCATGGACTGTAGCCCACCAGACTCCTCTGTCCATGGGATTCTCCAGGCAAGAATACTGGGGTGGGTTGCCATGCTCTCCTTCAGGGGATCTTCCCGACCCAGGGTTGAACCGACGTCTCTTAAGTCTCCTGCATTGGCAAGTGGATTCTTTACCACTAGTGCCACCCGGGAAGCCTGAGCAATTTTGGTACACTGGAAAAATAACCACCAGTGTGTTGGTTGCTTTTTGTAAAGTGGTTCAGCCTACATATGGTGGTTCTTGGAGTGGGGGAAGGTGGCAAAGCTGCCATTTCAGTGTACTTTCCTTAGACTCTTGATGATACGCTTTTTTTTATTTTTAAAATTTTATTATTTCTGGCCACACTGCATGACATGTGGGATCTTAATTCCCAACTAGGGATTGAAATCATGCCCCTTGCATTGGAAAATGGAGTCTTAACCACTGGACCACTGGGGGAGTCCCAAGATATGCTGCTTTTGACTAACATTTTGATGAGATGACTTGACAGCTAGGAGTAAAATGGGTGGCCGAGGCACAAAGATGTTTCATCACTATGATCCCAAATTGGTTCTGTCACTGTGAAGTAGCCCAGATAACTAATTATAGAGATTAATAGACTGGTCTTGAAAGCTGACATGATTCCTCCTTCCGGTTTGACTTGGCTATGTTCTAAAGAAGTAGCGCAGAAGGACCAGATGCCAACCTGGCCAAACAAATGAGTGAATATAATAAATACAAATAAATTTTGACTAACGGTATTGCACGGTACCCCTCTTCTCCTTCCAGATACGACAGCATCAGAGGTAAAACCTTTCGGTTTTGTCTACCTATTTCAGCTGACATTTGTAGGTGTCACATTCGGAGGAGAGAATTACTAGTTACTTGTGTATCCTATTTCTTAGGGATCATGTGAAAGGACACCATCTTTATTTAGTGATGGAGATGCATGCCCATTAAATAGCTTTTTAAAAATTGTTAAATATCGGGAAATGGTGTGTGAAAAAAAATGGTATAGGTTAGGTGAACTTGGGATACTGCAAAAGGGAAGATTCTTGACCAGTTATCTGGATGGTTTAAGGTGAGTAAATGTGTCTGAGTGAAGGAGGGTGGGTAACATGCATTAGCATGTATTAGCATGATGGTAACATGCATTAGCAATATGTTTACTGTGATTCCATGTTTCCTAAGCTGCTTTCCGTTCCCTCCCTATCAATTACCTCTACACAATCCCTCTCATTTCTATTTATTGAGCAATTACTATGTGCTAAATATTGTTGAGTACCAGAGATGCTGATGTTTAGAGTGCATTAACTAGAAGGCAGAGAAGTCAGTCAGTTATAACACAGAGGTGCTTAGTGAAGGAAGTACATGCAAGTGCAGAAAAGTGATCAACTTTGCTGGGGAGCTGTAGTGTCAGGGGATGCTACACTGCATCAGTCACACACGTGATGCCTTTTGAAGGAGCTCTAGTTTACTACAGAGATGAGGGAGGGAGGGCTTATGCAGTGTGAACAGTATATACAAAAACTCACATAGATTTTTAAGGAAGAGTTCAGTAATGCTAAAGAGCTAGGCAAGGAATAGATTGCAGAGGAACTTGAATTCCACATTAAGTGGTTCAGATTTTTATTATAGGTCACAGATTGTCAAAGGAGTGATTCTTGGGCTGCATCAGATCTACTAAGAATCTTGAGGGTGAATCCCAGTAATAAACACTTTTCACAAGCACTTAAGATAATTCTTAAGTGGACAGAAGGACATCTAATGAGAGATTTTAATGTGAGGACTTAGGATGACCCAAAGAGTTCTCAGGTCAAGGGTTCTGAAAGTGTAATTTCTTGACCAGCAGCGTAAGGATCACCTACCTGGGAACTTGTTAGAAATGGAAATTATCAAGCCCTACCCCTGAACTGAGTCAGAAACTGGATGAATACAACAGTCTGAACACACCCTCCAGAGGATTTTGATGAGAACCACTATCTTAGATAACTTTAGCAGCTGTACATAGGCTAGGCTTGGAGAATGGGGGGTGTGAGACTTAAAAGCAGGGAGATCAGTTAGCCAACCATTTTGAAAGTCCATGTAAGAGAAAACAGGAAAAGTGAGGGTGGGGTGTCACCACTACTGGGTGATAGAAAAAGCTATGGACATGCATACAGTAATGTAGGGAAAGTATATGGAGTGAAAAGAGGACAGAATTCTGATGAGTAACAACACTCAAGGGAAGAGGAAGCTTTCAAATGAATCAAAGGGAATGGAAGTCCAAGAGAGAAGATGAATCAAGAGGTTCCACAGAGTCATGATTACAGTATTGAATATGAGGTAAGTCAAGAATTGACTTGGCTTTGGTGTGATACCACTGGTAACTTTAGCAAGAGAAGTTTAATGGAGCACAAGGGTGGACTGCTTCCTCTCAGAAGTTTAGGTACACACATGAATAAGGAGACAAGCATTGTGTGAGGTAGAGGAAACATAAGCATAAACTTGTGAAAGTTGCTCAGTCGTGTCTGACTCTCTGACCCCACAATAGAGTCCACAGAATTCTCCAGGCCAGAATACCGGAGCGGGTAGCCTTTCAGTTCTCCAGGGGATCTCCCCAACCCAGGGATCGAACCCAGGTCTCCCACATTGCAGGTGGATTCTTTATCAGCTGAGCCACAAGGGAAGCCCAAGAATACTGGAGTGGGTGGCCTATCCTTTCTCCAGCAGATCTTCCCAACCCAGGAATTGAACCAGGGTCTCCTGCATTGCAGGTGGATTCTTTTACCAACAGCCATCAGGGAAGCCTGTATAAACTTGTGAAGTAAGAAGCCATTAGGTTTTGAAAGGAGCAGTCCATCTAGAATACTGTGTGAGTTTTGAGAATGAGGCCATCCTTAGGTGATAAACCATAAATTTACAATGGCTTTCATCATGGTTTTATGATTTTCTCTAGTTGAACTCAATAGACACAGTAAAAGCGTAGAGAAGTTGGGTGGTAAGAGTCCTGCTCCTGGTTTGGAGTTTTGCCGTGCAGGTATAGCTGAAGGATGAGTGGCCAAGGAAGTTATGAGAATAACTGAGATGATGGAATGATGTACTTGGGGGTCTGGAAAGGCTAAGGATGAAGTCTGGTGGGGGTAATGGCCATCAGAGAGAGGCAGGCTGGGGCAGACATTCATAATCTTGAGCAAGTAGAAGAAACGAAGCAAAGACAGAAGTTCTGAGAAAGGAATATGGGAGTTTAAGATCACAGACTTCTGTGTTATGAAACAGCCTGATGTGTAACTGTGGAAGCAACAGTTGAGGCAAAAGCTGTAAGCAGTTGTGGCAAATTTTCCTCAGGAACATTGAAGGCATCCAGGATGATGATGGGACATGAGGTAGAAAGGAAATGGAGCCTGGTACCAAAGACTGGAAATCTGGGACAAGAATTACATCAGGGCCACAAAGAATGGAAAAATTAAAATAGCTGGATGCCATAAATTCTAGTAGTGAGACTTTTGTATGAGATGGGAAGAAATGGTGCAGAAGCAGGAGTGGGAAACTGGATAAATTTTCTGGGCTTTTCCTAGTCTGTGTAATGTGGGAGAAATGGGCAGAGAAAGAATTGTCCTCAGGTGAATGTCAAGGTTTTATTGAAGTCGAAGAAGTGGAGGCAACATTCAGTGAAGAAGCTGCAAGGAGGGGAGGACCCTGGGAATTGGAGGAAAGATTAGGAGTGAGGGGAACTGTTGTTGCCAGACTGGAGATGGGGAAGGGTGGTGGGCTCACTCAGGAGAGAGAAACACAGGAGTGTGGGGATCTGGGAGTGCATAAGAAAAAAAGGCATTTATAACAGTAATGAAGGAAGAGGAGCAGGCCTGACTGGTGTAAAGTTCTAAATAGGATATTGCCAAAATGCTTGAATTTTAATCCTCTTGGTAGCTACTTTTCACTGCAAATATCACCAAGTTGTGAGCCTAGGCAGTATCTTTTTTTTTTTTTTTTTTTAAGCCCTACATTTAAACTCATTGAGTGCCTTTCCCTCCTCCCTGCAACCCCCTTCTGAGGTAATATATGCCAGAATAGCAAACTTTTGCTTTTTTTCCTTCAGAGCACCATTAACAAAAATCACTGAAACAAACAGTCCTCCCTAACTCAAGTAATAGAAAAACTTGAATGTGAGTTCATGTTTCTGTAGGTAGATCCACACAACTCCTTAAGCTGTGGAGTTCTGAGAATAACTTTTTTTTTCTTCTCATTTTTCATTATAACATCCATTGATTTATACTGGGTATCTTGGGTGACATGTATGACTGCAACAGTAAGAGAGTGAAGTTGTAAATATTTGACAATTATTAAAATGCAAGATAACAAAAGCAAGAAAATTTTACTGAAGCAAATCATCAGGATTTTTGCCTTGAGGAGACCAAACCTTGAAGTAATAAAAAAACCAAACAAAACAAACTAGAACAATGAGCCAGAAGGCATATAATCCACTTTTCCTATTATCAATGTAGATGACCCATGTCCTCTAGTTCATAGTGCCATCATGAGCATTATATAGCATTTATTAGAGTACACTTTAAAGCATAACAATCTTTTAATTACACTTAAATGTCTCTATGAATAGGTTTAATATTTATGCTTCTTTAATCAATAGAAAAACATTTTGATTATATCTTTGGAAACATTTATCAAGCTCAACAAACAGCTGAAATCATGTGGCTTTCCGATAGACTCCTTTGAGAAAGTGCTTTACCTTACAGAATTACAAGCCAGGAAGTACTATGGCATTAAGTTAATGTGAAGCATTTTGATTCATCCAGTAAAACACATGACTCTGTATTTCATGGGTTTCTTATATTTAACTACACCCTCCATCCTCCTAGAAGTGATCCCTGTATTGCTCATAAACTTCAGTGCTACTAGATGATTTACCGTGTGTCAGTCAAATCAGTGGTGGCCCCAACTTTACACCATCTGGACCGACCCTGATCTTAAATCATCATGCTTCCACCATCTCCCATTTCTCTCCATGCTTGGAAAGGTATTGGCTCCCTCTTCTACATTTATTAGGAAGGTGTTGACAAAGGAGGACACATTCTTTGTCATTCCACATTTTGAACTGATCTTCCTGCTGGAGATGCCTAAGATCACACTCCTGGCAACACTTAACCCCAAGATTCACACGGTAGAACGTGACTCTAATCAGTCCCTGGGGGGAAATGGACCTTCCCTGAACCTCTCCCATTACAATCCCAGACAAATTAATCCCAAATTTCCCAACAGCTTTTCAAGCAGAACAGGCCTGTGTAGACAAATGACTGCTCCACCCAACTTGAGGCAAATGTTATTACCATGTGTTAAGCATTAGACATGAAAGTTATAATATATCTTGGACCTATGACTTCATCACCAACAGGAGTTAACCCATTTTGTGATGAATGGAAGTGTCTAAAACCCCCTCTCAAGGAGTATGGAACCCTGATGTTACCTGGTTCATCTGCAAAGATCCAAGAGGATTTCACAGCCAAACTAATTAAGACCACACAAAACCTCAGAATTATTTATTCTTAGTCACCACTCTAATTGTGTTAATTGACCAAAGCAGAATTCTCAACACCTGAATGTCTTCCTAGTACCTTCTACTGGATTTGTAATTGTGTTTCATTTGAGTAGAGTCTGGGTAACTTGCGCACTATTAGCAATCATATTACAAGGTGCTAAGTTGCTGCCTGTTTCCCCCTTCTGCTTTCATTTGGTAACTTAATGGGTCTAAATCTTGCTACTAGTTGCTTATAGGCCATTTCATTTGCTACCATCCTTCTCCCCCTTTTCACTAGAGTCTTCAAGAATTTCAGAGTTCTAAAGTGCCCAATTATTACTAAGTTCTTGCCAAATATTGTCTGTTGAGGATGATGTTTACATTTTTAATCTCCCCAGAATATGGAATTTTGCCTCGGCCAATATTTTGGACTTTAAGGCTTAGATTAGGATAACAGTGTCTTAATAGGGTTTTTGGTCAGGCCTTTTCATATTCCATTTGAAGCAGAGAATAAAAGCCAAATTCCTTCTACCTGGTACATTTTGGCAAAAAAGTGGGGGGAAAAGGTTGGCTTGCGAGGGCCATTTTGCCAAAATATAGGTTATCATCCTCTTAAGCAGCCATTAACACTGAAAGAAACATTAGAATATGCATGTTTTCCACTTTAAATTCAAGTTTTAAATCAGTCACCCCCATGTTGAGGACCAATAGTTGAATTTGAGCCACCCCCATATTGAGGATCAATAGCCCTTTGAGAATCTTGTTTCTGTAGCCCTTTCTAGGGCACCATGTAGATCCTCCTATAAACAGCAGCACCTCTTCTCTTCCTTCCCCTGGATAGAAGCAGGCAGTCTTATTTCCATCCAGCCATTCTCAGAGGGGTTCATTTTTCAGCCCCAAGTGGATATCTAAATAGGTAATCTCAGATTTGGGGGGAACAATTTCAAGAGAGAAATGTAATGAGTTTTCCCTGTCATGCAATGGAATGTCATCAGTGCCAGGCTTGCCCCAGGAAGCTTATGAATATGGAGAGGTCCACACTATAGCAGCAGGACACTGACCAAGAAGGTGAGTCAGCTTCCAAGGCCTTCTGGATTGATTGGCCAGGAAAACTCAGAGTAGAGAATATCTTCAGTTGTTATTTCATGATGACATCCACACATAAAAACCCCTGAAGATGTTACAATGAAAGATGTCACAATCTAAGCAACATGGCAGTCATTTAATAAATTTACATGGGTGCCTCAAGTTGAACTCACTTGTTAATGGTGACTTCTCAGTCTATCCCCAAATTAAAATATATCCTCTAAGTGTTACAAATGAAAATTTAACATCATCATAAACTTGGCTCAGAGTTCTGATGGTGAAGCAAAGTGCAGTTCCCTCCTTCTCTCACCTCCTAACTGGAACATGATCTTTATCAAAACGTAGATACCACGGTGTACTGAGATTGACATACAGCCTACTGGCCACATTTGATAAGGCAGAAATGTCCTTTTCAAATCTGAATGTGGCCTTTCTCATCTGGCATCACTATACTCCTTCACCTTGCTTGCCTAGGGGGAAAAATGCTATACTTGAAGGACTTTTCTTACAGGTTTACATCTCACTGGCTGTTGGTCCGACATCTTGCTCACCCAATGAGAATGCAAAAAACACAGACTAAAGGCCTATTAACTGTTCCTCTTACTCACTCAGTGCCCTCTGAGAGCAGAGCTCATCGGCTGGCCTGCCAGTTATCTCTGCCATAGATACTGATTTTAAAAGTATAGGACAAGGTTTCAAAACTCAGTAAGACTTATCAGAGAAGAAGGGAAAGAGCAATATGTAACTGTTGGAGGGCATTAGCTTCCAATTTCTTACTCGAGGAGGTAACTTCAGTTCAGCCCCTAATCCAGCCCAGTACCAGCCTTGGTGGTGAGGTCAGCCCAGAGGTACTGCTAGCTCTTAAGAGAAATATGTGCAGTGACTGAGCTTCTGGACAGAGTTCAGCCAGCCTTGAACCTGAGAAGAGGTGCACAGGGCTAAAAATAGGTCCTATGCTTTCTTTGTTTCTCAAACAAGATAGTTGTCCTCGAAGGTCTGAAAGTGTTGATACCTTCATGGGTTTTGCCTTGAGCAGGGCTCCTGTGAAGATGCCCTTTTTGGAAAAAGCACCAAAAATCTGTCAGCAGGTTATGTTAATCCTCCTTTCTCTCTCCAGTTGGAAAGAACCACTTGATGTTCTAAATAACTGAAATAAGATCAGATTGGTTTATTGCTTCTGCTTGTGTACAGACAGGAGAAGAGCAAGGCTGAGCACTGGGGAGGGTGGTGGATGAGGAGGACTATGGAAACGGGAGGAGTGCCTCAAAGCTGCTGTTCAGCAGTGGAGGGACTGAGGAAGGCAGGCATCAAGAAGCGCAGCGGTCAAGTGGGCATGATGGCCTCCCCACATGGGTCCTTCTCTCTCCTCCTGGGATTCCCCCCTTATCTTCTCCTATACTCTGGCTCCAGCTGAGGAAGGAGAGTGAAGCTGAGCTAGAGGTGTTTTTTACGAATGTCCCATTGACTTAAGCACTGCAAGTTTAGAATGTAGTTCTGCCTATGTGTGAGGCTTTTCTCTATGATGACATCCTATTCATGAACTCTGACACTGGAAGGAGAGCAGATGACTTCACTATCACACACCTAAATGAATATTCAGCACATTTCACTGAGGTAACCCTCAGCTCAGCTCCCATCCTCCCCAACTACTGAATTTATAAATCAGAGGCAGGACAGTGGAGTCCCAAATTAATAAAAGCCAGACCCAGAAAGTCTTGAATTGTGCCAGTCTCAGAGTTTGCTCTTGAGAATACATTCTGATTTTTCTATGCTGATGTATGGAGCCATCTGGGACAGGTCTGCAGGGATTCAGGGAAAGCATGGGTAAATTCACCCACTTGGATATCTAAGTGTACGTTAGTTTGCATTTCCAAACCTGCTTCTACTCTGGATAGTACACTTTTACAAAGCTTATCATAAAACTCATCTAAAAGAACACATGCTTTAAAGAGCATTAAAAAGCATGAAGTAAATAGGAGGCCTTCAAACCTCAATAGCAACATTTGTCAACATAGGCAAAAGGTTTCTCTTTCAAAAGATATTCTCACATCCCCTCTTAACAGCACTAGATAATGGCAATGGGGGAGTGATGCAACATGTTTAAGCCCCACATATCACTGGAGGCCAGCATTTCATCCTTTTCCCTTATCTGAACTTTCCCTGCCTGCTCAAGTAGGCTTATTTAAATGTCATCTCTTGTCCTTCCCCTGACCTCTCTTCTGGAAAATGGCCTAATTAATAAATGGTCAAAAGGCTAAAGAAAGAGAAGAAGAGGCCAAAATAAGCCCAAACTTGGATAACCTCTGCCTGGAATATAGGCAAGGAGCCTTTGTAATAACTTCCAGATGAATCATGACATTTTCTCAGGTACCAGCAGGCGAACTGATGTCATTCTATTTGCCTTCCACTTCTTCCATCCAGAATCACTGATCTCCGCTGGGGCTGGTAAAAACAGCTTGTTGAGGTCTCCAGTCTCTGGCCATTCTTAGGGATGGTCATTTTATTCCTAAGTGTAACCCCTTCTGGTGTGACCCATGTGTTTTCTGCCAACTCCCCGCAAAGTAGGCCAGGGGAAATTGTCTGCGTGGGACTTCTGATAGGGGACAGCAGGACCTTGGAATCTGTCCCTGTAGATGAGGGGGGTGGGTGGTCCATAATGGGGAAAGGAGGACTGAATAAGATTAGGCTCTGAGGTCTTCCTGGTCTAGACCTATGGAAAGGCTTAGAACCCCCTGATGAGCGCTCTATTTTTGAAGAAAGAAGGTTGTCTCCAGATGGCTCTGTCTCTGATGTGTGCTTTCTACACTGCACTACTGCATCCTGAGTGGTCAGCAGGTTGGTCAAACCTGGTTCTGGAGAAAGGGTGGGTCCCTCGCACACACGAGATGCAGTGGTATCCACTGGCAAGGACTCAATGGCTCCTGTATCTTGCTTTGGCTTTTCTTCCTTTGGGCTTTCCAAGGAGGAAAGAGAATCATCTTTGCTAAGTTTCTGAGAGGTCCCACCAGTGGAGCCAGGTTCCTCTTGGTTCCTCTCCAGGGGCTGAGCCCCACTCTCCTCTGAGCTCTGAGAGGGCAGGGGCTGTGGGATCTGAGTGTACTGAATCTTGGGTGGGATGACTGGGACTGCCCTGGCCTGGCACATTTTGACCATGAAGGAGGTTCTCACAGCTGACACACTCACAGGAGCTGAGTTACGGCGGCCCGTCAGGGCATGAGCAACCATGTCCAGGTCCTGAGAGTCCTGGGAGTAAACCCTCCAGGGGTCTACTTTACCATGAGATGAGGTCAGCCATGTGACCTTTGGGTCTCCTGGCTCAGAGACTTGCACTTCAGGTGACCCAAATGAGGCTGCATTCTCAAACCGGAAGAGGTCAGTGATGGGAACGGTGGAGTCCAAGTTGAGAGACGAAGGCCTATTTTTCCCCTTCGCGGCCCCACCCTCACTGTTCTTAAGCTGGAACTTAGGGGGATGCTCTCCAGGTGAGGTGTGGTCCTGCACACCAGGTGAGTTCTCCTTGCTGCTTTCTGGCTCAGGATCACCACCATGCTCAACCTGAGGGTTGTGTGGCCCCAAGTATGTCCCCAGTTGCTTTCCTTCTGTTAGACTGACAGGGCTGGATTCTGCTGATGTGGGCTGCAAACCACCTGATGCCTGCTGCTTGGGAGGAACCTCTGTCCTTTTCAGGCCAGAAAACTCTTGAAAGGACCTCATGGCTTTCTCATTCCACCCAGTAATCTCACTCCTGGGTGCCAAGGGCTGCAGGGGGTTGGAATTTCTCTCTGCTTCAAGATCAGCACAACTGCTGGAGGAGGAACCCTTGAGAGTCCACTGGCTCTTAACATTGGTTTTGCCATCTAGAGAATGGCTCTGGCGAAGGCTGGGTCTGTGAGAAAGCCTCTTTTCTAGTCGGTGGCCCTGGGGGCCCTGCATTTGGGTCTCTTGTATATCTTTAAGGGTGGGTGAGTGCAGGGGGCTTGTCACCCACTGGGGCTCCTCCCAGGGCTCCACCATCTCCAGGCCATGCTGGGCAATGTCTGTCACAGTGTCATCGTCATCACAGTCTGAGGGCTCCTGTACTGAGTGGGCAGCATCCTCCTCTCCTTGTGGGGAAACCTCAGCCTCCCTGGTTGGGCTAGGAGAACTAGAGCCTTTGCTCTCAGGAGCAGCACTCTTTGAATTTTGCTTTTCACTTTCTTCTGAAGAGGCCTTGTCTCCCTGACAAAGACTGGGGATCCCAGTGCTGCCTTTGGACTTCAGCTGGTCTGCATATGGATTGGCTCTCAAATTCCCAGATAAGTCTTCTCTCTCAGGGCCACTCTTCAATAGCTGGACTCGAGGTTCCTCCTCTAAAGGTGTTGGAGTGGGAGCAGCAGGTGGTAGCAGAGGAGACAGATTCCTTGGGACTCCCACTTCCATCCTTGCTTGTGGAGAAGACTTCTCCAATGGAACTATTTCCAGAGGAGTCAGGCTGGCAGGGTCTGGGCGCTGGCCCTTTTCCGGCTCTGGCTCAGATCTAGGGAGGATGCTGGCTGTCTCCAGCTTTTCTCTATTGGCTGCTGTGGAAGTGCCCAGTGTGCTCTGATTGGTTGGATTCTTAGTCCACTCCTCCAGAGGGGTGGAGACTGGAGCTGGAGTGGAGCTCCCAGGGGGCTCCGGGGAAGCAAAAGGCCCTGGACTAGATTCAAGAATACGCTGAGTTGGGCTGATCTTTAGAGCAGGTGGTGCCAAGGAGGAGAGTTCCTCCTCAGATTCAATAATTTTCAGCTCCTGTTGAATCTCAGGCCAGATCAGGGTGTTGACTAGATCATCTTCATCCTGAAAAACATCAAGAAACTGATTACTTTAGAACCAAAGACACTGGGCACAGTTTCCCAGGGACAGAAGGGACTGCACTACAGCTGCGCTACCCCAGCACACAAAGGATACAGCATTAATGGTAACTGAGGATGTTTATTCATGCTTACGGTGCACCACAACACACATTAAACGTATTTTCTTAATTGTCCCAAGAACCCTAAAAGATAAATGTTACTGTAATTACTCCCATTTTGGAGATGAGGAACCTATGTTCAAACAGATTAGACATTTTGCCAAAGTCACAGCAGCAGATCAGGATTGAAATCCAGATTAGTCTACACCAGAACATAAGCACTTAATCCCTGTTTATTGTTGCCTTATGAAACCAACCCAATCCCTGATCTCATATAACTTCAGACTGATCTAATGGCTCATAAGAATGAGGTTCTGCCAATGGAATGAAATGTTAACTCTTGCCCTGACACCTGATTTCCAAATAAATACAGCTATCCCTTCTCACTACTGAGATACACATTTCACATGGAAAAAAGATATGGTACATATTAAAAGAAAAAAGAATGAAAAACAGCAAAATGGGACTTCCTGGTGGTACAGTGGTTAAGAATCCAGCTGCCAATGTAGGGGACATAGGTTCAATTCCTGGTATGGGAAGATTCCACATGCCATGGGCAACTAACATTTGTGTGCCACAGCTACTGAGGCCAAGCGCTGCAACTACCAAGGCCCCTATGCCTAGAGCCTGTGCGCCACAAAAAGAGATGCCACTGCAGTGAGAAGCCGTAATGAAGAGGAGCCCCCACTCACCATTAGGGAAAGCCCACGTGCTGCAACAAAAAATAGATAATAATAAAATAGCTGTTCTTTTTTAAGCTATAAAATTCTGAGCGAATCAGAAGAGTTTCCATTGCCCTTAGGTTAAGCTCCAAATCCCTTCCAAGCAACCCTGCATGACGTGACCCACACTTTGCTCTGAGCCTCACTTTCTCTAGTTCATGTTCCCATTCTCCAGCCTTGTTTTTGTTCCTTGAATGTTCTGTGCTCTTTCCCATTTCAGATTCACGGTCACGGCACATCTTACTCTTTCTGCCTGGGAGTCTCTCCCTCCCTATTCTGCTCCCTACTCCTTTCTCCTAGCTTAAGTTTTGAATAGAAATATCTATTCTTCAGAGATGCCTTCCATTAGCCCCCTCCTCCCTCTGACTAGGTTGGGCCCTCCTGTGACATGCTCCCACAGAAGCCATATTTCCATAGCATCCTAGAAAAGACTTGGTTTGTGATCTTTCTATCTATTAAGCTGTCAGTTCCAAGAAGACAGAGATGGTGATCATCTTGTACACTGCAGTGATCCCAGTGCTCAGCAGTGTGTCTCACACAATATAGGTATTTAATACATGTTTTTAAATGAATGAATTGCTGCTTTTACTTGTTCTCATGAATCCAGCCTGGTTCTCCTAGCGTAAACTTCATCTGCTTCTCAAAGCAATGTCATTCATACTTTATCCCTCCCAGAATTCAATCCCCAAAATAATCTTTGCATCTTTCTGCTTCTATAAATACAAACATAACTTACAGGAACCCTTAATCAGCCCTCCGGAGGCCACTGTGGTAGCCCTGCACTGCCCTAACTTCTAGCCCATAAGCCTTTTATACCCGTCCCAGAGACCAAGTTCCTGAAAGCTACTTAAAAGGCAAAGTTCTTTTCTCCTCTGGCATGCTTCTCCAGGTCACACTCAGGTCACCAGAGCTATTTCCCAAATGCAAGACTCCTCTCTTGGTGTCCCTGGAAAACCTCCTCAAACTTCAGCATGAGCAATGATATCCCTTCCCCCAGAACCTTGGAAAATCCCACCTCTGAAAGGTGGAAAAGGTTCAGCATGCTCTGGCATCATACTTAAAAGTTCTCCAGAGCCATGGGAGGAAGGAATAGATCCTGAAAATCTTACAGAAGATTTTTATAAACAAGCATAGATAACTGCCTATCCAGAATGTCTGGAAGAGAGTTGGCCCCCATGAGTGGTCATCATGTTTGGGACTAGGACATGACAAGCAGGTTTTGTCCTGCTTTCTGATTGAATGTCATTACATTCCCAGGACAAATTACTGATTTATGGTGACTTCAGATCAGAAATATTTAGAGCTGAGTTTGTCCTACGGGATTTGAGCTGAATGGTTACTTGTTATCACCACAGGACCACTGAAAAGTTCACTGCAGGAAAAAGAAAAAATCCCAGACCTGATCAGAATGCTGTGCTCTTTGGCAGAAACTGGTTCTTCAAACAAATAAACAAACAGCAACAAAAAACTTTAAACTGTACCAAGAGCCCTTGAGAAAAAGAAAACCCTGCTGACTGGACCAGGCCATGAGTCTACCTTACCATCTCATGGAGAAACACTGCTTCGGCTCTGGCCCCGGGGTTCTCCTGAAGATCACTGGCCGCCACCTGGCTGGTCTCTCCCCTCTCCTCCACCACCTTCTCTGCATCCAGCTTCTTCTCTAATTCACTTGAATTCTGAGAGTCTAGGAGGCTTTCTGAGGTTTTCTTCTCCTCCACTTGGGTGCCTTGCTCCAGGGGAAGGTCTTTGCTGCATTCCACTGTTCTCACCATGTCTGGTCCTGGCTTGGTATTCTCGAGAGCTGCCTTCTTAGGTACAGATGCTGCAATGAGGATAAGAGTTATCAGCTGAAGGAGACTCCATGTCAAGAGAGGCCATTCCCAGCACAGTCATAGTCTTGGACTAGCTCTGCTACACAAGGATGGAAGGGATTCTCCCAGCTCACTACTCCCCTCACATTCTTTACTCTTTCCTCCTATCAATGATCTGTCCTCATATCCCAGAGTCTCAGACTGCTGGAAGTGGGAGGGACCTCGAAGATCATCTAGTCCAGTTGTTTTCAACTGGGAACCATTTACTCCTCCCCTCTCCAGGGGACATTTAGCAATGTCTGGAGACACTTCTTGTTGTTGCAACCAGGTGGGGTAAGTGGCTACTGACATCTAGTGGGTGGAAGCCAGGAACAATTCTAAATATCCTACAAAGCATAAGACAAACCCCCACAAAGAGTTACCCAGTCCAAAATGTCAATAGTGTTGAGGATGAGAAACCTGGTACTAATCCAATCTTTTGCTAGCTGTCTAAGGTCACAGAAATCTGTTATCTACACTAAGCTACAAAGATGTATTATGATTATAACTGCAGCTTCCTACGTGACTCTTTTCAGGGATTACCTGCACAGTTACTTTGATATATTTTTACATGTAAAGTGATTAAGCTCTGATCTTAAACAGTAGAGAGAGACAGTAGAGGCAGCAGATCTCATGTTTGGCCCCTACTGCCTTTCATGAAGAAGGTCCTATTTCACCACACAAGGCTGTTTCCACAGTGTAGGATAAAGTCTCCATACCTTGCAGAGTGCTGGTTATACAGAAGATGCTCAGTGATATTATTTACATTGGAATTAAAGAAGTCTGAGTTTAAATGTTAGTTTCTCAATGAATCTTGTAATCTTGGTACATGGCATAATACTATATAATAATATATTACAGGACTGTTGTGAAGATAAAGAAGATTAGGGAGGCAAAGCACCTAGTATAGAGTCTGACATAAAAGTTTATTGATTAAGAACAAATTATTTTCATTGCCACTAGTTATGCGGGTGACTTAACTCAAGGCTTCTGACCACATGATGGCCTTGAAGCTCAGTCAGACCCAGTAACAGCATCCTGGTGTTGGAACTAATAACACTTCAGACCTGACAACAGTGCTATTTTCTCCTGCCCATCACTTAGCAGGCTTGTTTATTGAAATTTAATTTAGTCTTTGAATATGTAAAACAACTACAGAGTTGGAAAGTTAAAATTATATGAATGAATGACCTCAGAAAAGGTTAGCTTTCATCCCTGTGTTGCTTCCAGTCTGTTCCACACCCTCACTGTCTCCTAAGGATAACCATTTTTATTAGTTTCTAGTTTATTCTGCCATAGTTCATTTCTGCATAGATAAGCAAATACTTGTACCATCTATTTTTTATTCCCCACCTTTATTACACAAATGTGTAATATGATCTATATTACACATGTGCTCTATACTGTTCTTGCTTTGATTTTTTTACTTAAGAACCTGTCTTGAAGTCTATGCCATGTTAGTACATAATGAAATTGACTGTTCTTTAGGATGTGGGCTTCCCTTGTGGCTCAGCTGGTAAAGAATCCACCTGCAATGAAGGAGACCTCGGTTTGATCCCTGGGTTGGGAAAATCCCCTGGAGAAGGGAAAGACTACCCACTCCAGTATTCTGGCCTAGAGAATCCCATGGACAGTCCATGGGGTCACGAAGAGATGGGCATGACTGAGCAACTTTCACTTTCACTTTCTTTAGGATGTGGTTGAGTTTGAGTTCCCCTCAAAATAGAGCCTTAGTCAAGGTTCTGGCAGCAGGCAGCTTATTTGAAAGGTGGTCCCTGGAAACAGGAGTGAGGAGGTGAGACAGAGATGGAGGAAATGTCAATAAAGTGGTTACCACAACCAGAACAACCAGAATGCAGTCCTTGGTGACCCTCTGAAGAACCGTGAGTAAATGTGCCACATAGTTATTCCACCAAGGGTGGGCAGCAGGCTCATTAGTCCACTGACTCCCATCGCCTACTGGTTGACAGCTGCCTTAGTTAAACTCCACACTTCTGGGTTTTCTTGAGCAAGGGCTGGGTAAGAGTCTCCCTTCAGAAAAAGCCCTGAGGCAGAAAACCAGAAACACAAGGCAGACACTTGAGACAGAATACCATCTGTGTGCAAAGAAACTATCCCTTGCAGATGCATAAGAGTCTGAGGAAGTGGTGCAGGGCTCACAAAGCTATGAACCCCATGGAATTCAACAATGGGAATGCACCCTAGTTATTCAATCCATCTCCTAAAGATGACATTTGAGGTGTGTCCTGTCTTTTGCTATTATAAATAATGCCATGATATGCATACAGATTTTGTGCTTGTGCAGCTACTTATTTAGGACAAATTCTTGGAAGTGAAACTTCTGGGTAAACGGGTAATGTATCGGTGATTTTAAGAAAATATTTTCTTCCCCTTTTACTAAGATCTCTTGGTTGGATGTTGGCCAGTGTCTCTTTCTGCAAAGCTTGGGATCTTCCATTTGTTGACCGTAGACTCTTAAAGCGAGGGGTGGAAGAAAGGCCTGCGTTTCATGTGAGCTTGTTCAGGCCACTCTCTGTCCTGCTCAAAGCCCTCCTCACTCTGGCCCAGCCACATGTCCACTCCCCTCCCACCCCCTGGGGTAGATGCTGAGCAGACCCAGTACCCCTGACCGGCCTTATACTCCCCTGCTCTGGTCCTTCCTGAGACTCAAACCTTCCCCATTTCAAGATATTAACCTAATAACATATCTTTTGGAGCCTCCCCAGACCACGCTCTCCTTCTCCACTTCCTACAGTGTTCACTGTTATTACCTGTGTGTGGCTAAGCCATCAGGTTACCATTTTCTTTCCACTGGTATGTGACACCCATCCCTGGGTTAAGCTTCTCAGCACAGAGGCAGTACCTATGTCAAGAAACTATCATGTAAAGGACTAGGAGTCCAGTACTTGTTGTGGCTGGATACTTGTAAGCTATAAAGGAGTCTCTGTAGCTCAAAAGAGGAGGAGAGGCATTGTCAGATTGCCAGCATAGGATGCTTTATATATGAAGTGGGTGACCATGGAGATAGAGACTTCTAATGTCCCCTAGTGTCCTTTCTCTTGCTTATTTTGAAATAGAACCATCTCAGCCACTCAAGTTTAGCTAGGTACCTAACCATCCACTCAGCCACGCTTCTCAGCCTCCCTTGAAGGTCAGCATGGCCATGAGAGTTTTGAGATGAAAGTAGAAGTTTGGCCAAAAGTAGAAGAATGGGTTTGAGCAGAGTGACTAAAACTGAATCGGGTTACCTGGAAAATTGTCTTAATTCTTTTTCTTTTATCTATTGCTATTGCACAGAAGAAATAAAAAATAATATATTAAGGAAGGTGGAGTTCTTTATTTGGAATAATTATGAAAGAAGGTAATTAGAACCAATGTTAACCTAACCCCACCAGAGACAAAGGTGAGCCCCCCACCCGCCCCACAATGTCCCTGAAACTTTTGGCATCTCCCTCTGGCCACTGGTCCTAGATTCACATGGCTGCCTCCTGTAAGGTCCCTCATTCTGCCCTGGCTGTCACTAGTCACAGTCAGGGAAGCAGGCTGGAGCCTCCATCAGTGTCTTTCCAAGACCAATTTGATACAGACTGGGTATTCTGATTTACAGAGAGATGGAAGGAGAGAGGGGGAAAAAAAAAGGTAACAGATTGTCTGCCAAAGACCCCTTGGGGTTTGGGGACCCTCTCTTTTAAGAAGGACAACCAGTCACATAAAAGCCTTTAGAAACATTTTTTTCCTCAAAGGTTTCACTTCCTCTTCTAGCCCTCACCCTGTTCCACCCATACCAACCGACAGAGCATTCTCTAGACAGGGTATCACTTAACACCCCTAAGTTTTTACTCCTCTTATGCCCCATCCTGAAGGGAAGGGGGAGGAGAATGTTTACTGAGCATCCTGAGGGCCACACTCTAAGCAGGCATTTCATGAACAGTCTCCTGTGCAGAACTCATCCCAGCCCTTGAGACGAGAGCCATCTCCACTCTGCAGAAAAGAAACAGGCTCAGAGATACCAACCAGCTCTCATGCTGCCCCAAAGTGGTGAAGCTCAAATCTGGACCCTTCCAGCTGGAGTCCAAAATCTATACACTTCTCATAACGGTCCAGTGACTCTCAGAGCAGAACACCCTTTTCCATATCTTCTGCATTAAAAAGTCCTACACGTTAATGAAGGGCCAAATGTCACCACTTCTAAGAAGGATTTCTGGAATCCTCCTGAGAGGACTGCTTCAGGCTATCTTTTCTGAACCCCTCTTTCATAATATTTTGGGAACTTATGCGCTCCCTCATTCAAAAAGCCCAATGGAACATATATCCAGACAAAACTACAATTAAAAAAGATACATGCACCCCTGCATTCATAGCAGCACTATTCATAATAGCCAAGATATGGAAAAACCTAAATGCCCATCAACAGATGAATGGATAAAGGAGATGTGATACATATATACAATGGAATACTACTCAGCCATAAAAAGAATGAAATAATGCCATTTGCAGCAACACGGATGCAACTAGAGATTATCATCCTAAGTGAAGTAAGTCAGAAAGAGAAAGACAAATACCATCTGATATCACTTGTATGTGGATATTACTTGAATACAGAATCTAAAATATGACACAAATGGGAACGTCCCTGGCAGTCCAGTGGTTAATACTTCACCTTGCATGGTAGGGGGTGTGGGTTCAATCCCGGGTTGGGGAACTAAGATCCCACATGACTTGTGGCCAAAAAACCAAAACATAAAACAGAGACAATATTGTAACAATTCAGTAAAGACTTTAGAAATGGTCCATGTCAAAAAAAAATCTTCAAAATATGACACAAATGAACCTATCTACAAAACAGAAACAGACTCATGGGCATAGAGAACAGACTTGTGCCTGCCAAGTGGGAGGAGTTTCGGGAGGATGGGGTTAGCAGATATAAACTTTTATTTATGGGATGGATAACCAACAAGGTCCCACTGTAGAGCACAGATAACTATATTCAACATCCTATGACAAACTTTAATGAGAAAGAATATTAAAAATGTATATGTATGTATAACTGAATCACTTTGCTGTACAGTGAAAATTAACACAACATTATAAATCAACTATACTTCAATTTAAAAAATAAAATCTCAAAAAAGAAAAAAATAAAGCCCAAAGAGGGTGTTAGACTACTTCTACCAGTTGACCCTGTGCTGCAGGAGGGTGCAGGGTTTCAGTTTCCCTTCCTAGCCTGTGAGCTTGCTGGGGGAAGGGATTGCATTTTAAGAATCTTTGTAACCCTACAGCCCGTAGCAAACATGAGAGGGAGCATGGCAGAATGCTTGGATTTTTTAAAAGTCTGGATTAAAATCCTGACTTTTATATGTCCTTGCTAGGAGCCCTCAGGCAAGTTAACAATTTCCTCTTTTAGCAAACAGGGATAATGGTAACTATATAATAACCTCAAGGAGTTGTTGTGAGGAGAAATGAGATAACACATGTAGAACACTTAGGACAGTGCCTGACATCATTAAAAGTAATCAGAAAAAGTTAGCTGATATTAATTGAAATAGAAATATTCTTAAACCACAATGAGAATCTGTTGGTTTGTCTCTCAGTCATCCTTTCCTCTGAGGTTCTTATTATTTCCCTTCTGTGTTGCTCACAGTTGGTTGTTGGTTCTCATTCCAGAGAAGACCTGGAGACTCAAGCTTGGCCAATCTTAGAATCCTACTCATCCAGCCACAGTGACTGGCCCAAGGTTGGGGGCGTGACCCAAGCAGACCCAATCAGAATCCTTGCTGTGTCTGATACAAGGAAATTGAGAGGTAGATGCTCCTTCTCATTGCTAAGTCTGCTAGCCATGTTCCCGGCAGACATGAGGTAGAAATTTGGGATGGGTGGATGGAGAGATTGTGTCTGAAAGAGCTGAATCCTCATTTCCAGCTCTGCATTCCATTCCGTGAGCTTCCCTACCCTTCCTTCTCACTATGTGAATGAATAAAATAATAATAACAAGTAACATTTACATAGCACTTGCTATGTACTAGACCCTCTTCTGAGAGCTTTACATGTATTAACTAATAGTCACAATTAAATATTCATTAACATTATTCCCATTTTATAGATCAAGAAGCTGAGGCATGGAGTGGTTATGTAAACTTGTTGAAGACTGTACAGCAAAATGGCTGAGCCTGGACTTGTAACCAGGCAGTCTGGCTCCAGAGCCCATGGTCCTAACCACTTCACTACGTTGTCTTGCAACAAGACAATGTTTAAGTCTGGTTTTTCCTCTCTTGCAATGGAAAAAGACCCTCTCCTCCCTTTTTACCTGTAGAAGTCTCAGCGCTCAGTGACTTCTCCTCTTCGGGCCACTCTCCACTCTCTGAGCCCTGGAAAGAAAACTCTTCCAGGCTGGAAAGAGACTGTAGCTCCTTTGGGGGGGTTCTGCATGGAGTGCTGTTGGTGCTGATGACAGCTGACACGCGAAGTGGCACAGACACAGCGAAGGGCTTGGAAATGTTCAGGGCCTTGCGCTGGTGACGGGGAGAAGGCTCCATTTGGAAGAGGCTGCTGGTAAAGACAGATCTGCTGGGGCTGTCGTTTGAGGTGTAGAACATACCCAGCATCTTCGGGGCTGTTTGCTCGCTCTCGGGATCTTCAATGGGTCGGAACACCTTCAGCTGCTCAGGCGGGGCCCGGGCCTGAGCGCCCTGCAGCTGGCTTCGGTCTCCGCTCACATCAAAGCCGCCCTCCGCCCCTGCCGGCATCCCCTCCTGGCCCCATTCACCCTCCTGCTTGCTGAGGTCACAGGAGCTGCCAGTGCTAGTCGAGTGCATTTTCGCTGCTGGGATGAAAAATCCACCAGTGGTGACGGTTCGACTGAAATTTCCTTTGGTTTCTTTCCCTAGTGAAAAAGCAAACAAACCTGGTCAGCAGCCTGAGTATAGGCATCACTGCAGAGACTTCCAGGAAGGGCCAGCACACAATATTTGAATGTTGGAAAGACTGAAAAGACACAGCATGCTAATAAGGGTATTTTGTTGTTGTTCAGTCACTGAGTCGTGTCTGACTCTTTTGTGACCCATGGACTGTAGCCCACCAGGATCCTCTGTCAAGGGGATTTCCCAGGCGGGAATACTGCAGTGGATTGCCATTTCCTTCCGCTGGGGATCTTCCTGACCCAGGGATGGAACCTGTGTCTCCTGCATTGGCAGGCAGATTCTTTACCACTGAGCCAGCAGGGAAGCTCATCAGTAAGGGTATAGCTATCCTAATAAAGACAGGTACATAACATTTGGTTGACAAGAGGAAACATGTGCACAGAATTCTGTTATGATATCTTGATAGAACCTTCTTCTGTTGCATCACATGTATCATAGCCAAACCTATGATTTTTCCAGTAGTCATATATGGATGTAAGAGTTGGATCATAAAGAAGACTGAAAGTTGAAGAATAGATGCTTTCTAATTGTGTGTTGGAGAAGACTCTCTTAAGAGTCCCTTGGACTGCAAGGAGATTAAACTAGTCAATTCTAAAGGAAATCAACCCTGAATATTCACTAGAAGGACTGATGCTGAAGCTGAAGTTCCAATACTTTGGCCACCTGATGTGAAGAGTCGACTCACTTTGGAAAAGGACCCTGATGCTGGGAAAAGTGGAGGGCAGGAGGAGAAGGGGACAACAGAGGATGAGAAGGTTCGATGGCATCAACAACTCAATGGACATGAATTTGAACAAACTCTGGGACAGGGAAGGACAGGGAAGGATAGTGGAGGGCAGGGAAGCCTGGCATGCTGCAGTCCAAGGGGTCGAAAAGAATCAGACGTGACTGAGCAACTGAACAGCAACACATGTATCTGAATTAAACTTTGCAGGTAGAGCAGTTTCCAAAAGAAAGATACTGCTGAAATGGCTAAATGGAACAGTCATCCACCAAGCATTAGATGTAGATCATGAAAAAATAAAAAGATGATGGGAGATGACAAAATGATGTTTGCTCAAAATGAAGGTGAAGACAAAAAGTCCAAAATAATAGAGTCTTATTTCATTTTAAAACTTTAAAACTTATTGTTTTAAATTTTCTCTGGCAGATGGACCCAGACAGGGGTTAGATTTCCCAGCAAGGAAAGAGATGCTGTCTTCAGCTAGACCTTTCTGCCTTTTCCCAGACTTCTTCCTGCTGATTCAGAGGCTCAGAAACTAGAAATGCAAATTAACTAAATGTTAGAAATCACAGTTGTGAGGAGTGAGTTCCTGACTGACTTAGAAGTGAAGACAAAGAAAAGTCTGTATGGGAAATAACGAAGCTGAGGCTACAACAACCGAATTGCCAGGGATCTGGAAAAGAATTCTCACAAAGTGCTACATCTTGGATAACACGGGATTTAAAATTCCTAAAAACACTCTGTAGAAGAAGTGTAATTATCTCCCTGAACACATGAGGAAATGCGACTTGAGAGGTTAGATAACCTCCCCAACGCCCACGGAAGTGGTGACCTAGCTTTTGAAATATTAAATTCTGCAAAACTAGGCAAGAACTGCCCCCAAGAGGTTTCAGAACCAAGCAAATTGATGAATATAAAGGTGAGAAATGCTAAAAGGATCATGTCTGCTTAAGAAGACCTCATTGAATATTTTACAAGTTTAGAATTATTTTTTGAAAGTTGTTTCTAAAGATTTTTTGTTTTGTTTCAGGCTGCCTCATTTATCAAAGAGCAAAATATCTTGTATTAAAGGGATTGGGAAGTTATGGTTTAAGTATGGGGGAGTTTAAACAGCCTGCTGCTAGGGAAGCCCTGGGTCTCGCATGCAGCAATGCTTGCTAGCTACAAAACTGCTTGCTAGCTTGTTAGTTAACAAAAACAGAAGTGACGGCGACAGCACGTCAGTCTTTTAAGGCTGAAGCTGTAAGAACCAACATGGTGAGGTGCTGCTTTGGTGATGGGTGTCAGCTGGCATGCAACTGTATGTGCATCTACTCCAATAAGCAAGGACCAGCTATGTGCCAGGCTGGTGCCCTTGGTGTTTATTAATGAATGAAGGAATGAATCTCCCAAATCAAAATTCTGAATTGACAAGCACAATGAAGCCAATGCCTATGGAAACACCTATTCAAATTCAAAACTCTTCTTTATGCCCCAAGAGGGAGCCACTTCTGCCTTAGTTTTTAGGTGCTGACCTATTATCTGCTTCAGGATTGAATGTAAAGAGGCTGTTGTCTCCAGCTAAGGTTGGAGCAAAGCTGTAGAAAGGGGCTATGTGGGCGTCTGAAGTTCAGGGTCAGGGAGGAATCTGGGCCCGGGGGATTGCGTGTGAGCAAAACTGGAGATGAGCAGCTTCTGGGGTTGATGAAGCAAGTCCTGTGCGGGGGCAGCTCTCCTCCAGCTGTAATCCCCAGTTTCCAATCCAGCTGTGAGATCTTACCTTCCACAGGCACTGAGCACAGTGAGTCCATGCTTTTAGCTGGTCGGATGGTAGCCTTTTCCACTAAAGACAAAAAGAAAAAACATCCCTGATGAATGCACTTTCGGAGGAAGTGTTTAGAACAATAGGTCAGACTGTAAGTACAAAAGAGAAATTTCTTTGGGAAAATTTTTCAAGTATTTATAAATTTCCCCTTTGGAAAACATTCCCCATGCCACCTTAGATGTTCTCACTTTCTTTAGGGGACTGACCTTATAAAAATAGGGCAATTATAGATCAAAGGTTTATTAACATTTTACAGATAAAGGGAGATTACAATTTTGTCACAAAGCTCTGAGCCAATGAGGAGTCCTGAACCCAATTTTACTTTACAGAAAAGATTCAAAGATTCATCCATGGGGCAGAACCCATGGGGCTCTAGGTAATGCCTCCTAGATGATGGGCCAGGCAGCAGGATTCTTGACTGTAGCCACATTGCTCAACAACGAGAAATTTAGCACAACAGGTGAGAGGGGTCAGGGAACTTTCCCCTCTATCTCTCATGAGTCACCTTTTCTCTGTGGGTCACCCTTCTCCCACAAGCAGCTCTGCTCCTTGAGGTCCACAGTCTGGTTGCTCCCCTAAAGCTCTCACCCACCAACCTCACCCTGGAGCAGATCCCAACCAAACAAACTTTTTTTGAGCACCTGCTATGTGCCTGAAGGATTCTATGCATCTTTGTAAGTCACTTAAGCAGGTTTTCAGAAGAGTGTGAAATTTTATTAGTCCATTTATAGGAATAGGCATTTTCACAAAATCATCTCTTTTCAGGAAGCCAAACTGGCTGGAAGATAGTTCCCTCCAGGTCAAACTTGCTAGGATGGGAGAAAGGGCAATTTAGAAACTGACCAGGGCTTCTAAAGTAACTCTTTAGAAGTGGCTTTAAGGTAACTCTGGATCCAGACACATCTGACTTTGAATCCCAATTCTCCCACTGTTGGGCTCAGATAAGCAGCTTACCTTTTAGAACTTTCATTTTTTTGGCATGAAAAGGAAGAAGAGTAGAGCTGTTATGAGGATGAAATGAGTAATGCATCTAAAGTAGATTGTATTAATCTAGACTCAGGTAAATGCTGAAGGAGTCATTATTGTTTATTGTTGTTGTTGATGTTATTCAAGATAAACCAGGATTCAGCAACAAAGGAGAACCCAGGAGATGGTTCTAAAAGAAGCACTCAGAATTGCCCTAGCCCCAGATGGGTCCTAACTCACACTTGTTTAATCCCTCTCTCAAAGTTCCTTTTTTCCTTCTTGATCCACATCCTGCTTCTTTTGAGAGGCTCTTAATTAACCCCTTAGCCTCCCAGGCTCGGCGCTTCTCTGCCTGGGGCCCACTGGGCTCTTCAAGGACTTAGCAATGATGATGCCAAGACTGCCTTCTACCTCCTTCCTTTCAGAAGTAAGAAGAATTCTCATCCTTGGAAGATCAACTATTCCCACACGTTTACAAAATGACTTCTAAAACTGCCTGGCCATTGGGACTTCTCTGGTGGTCCAGTGGTTAAGAATTCACCATCAAATGCAGGAGACATGGGTTTGATCCGTGGTGGGGGAACTAAGATCCATATGCTGTGGGGCAACGAAGCCTGCTTGCTGCAACAAAAAGCCTATATGCTACAACAACCAAGACTCAACGCAGCCAAATAAATAAATATTTAGAAACAAACAAAAAATCTTGCCTGGCCAGCCTCCTTTCATTCATGTATTCGTTTTTTCTTTTGGCTACACTATACGTTTGCATGGTAGCTTCTCTGGTAGCTTAGCTGGTAAAGAATCTGCCTGCGATGTGGGAGACCTGGGTTCGATCTCTGGGTTGGGAAGATCCCCTGGAGGAGGGCATGGCAACCCACTCTAGTATTCTTGCCTGGAGAATCCCATGGACAGAGGAGCCTGGCTGGCCACAGTCCATGGGGTTGCAAAGAGTCAGACATGACTGAGTGATCAAGCACAGCACACATGCAGCTTGCGGGATCTCAGTTCCCTGACCAGTGATTGAACCCCAGCCACGGCAGTGAAAGTGCTGAATCCTAACCATGAGACGCCCAGGAGATCTCCATTCACAGATTCAGAGACAAAATTTTTCCTGGTGACCCTGAGTGTCAGAGAGGACGGACAACAGTTCTAGCTGCAGGGCCATCAGTGTTCAGCTTTCCCTTGGGACCCTCTGTCTGACCATGAAGCTCCCTGTGGCCCTGGTGGACACAGAAGTGAACAGTCTCCAACAATTCCCTGGCTCCTTGTCTGGACAGTGACTAAGCACTCAGGGCTCTGTGGTCTATGACCGTAGAGTTGTCCCACAGTATTTGCAGAGGATTGGTTCCAGGACCCCCACAGGTACCATAATCCACTGGATGCTCAAGATCCTTATATAAATGGTGAACTACAATCAGCCTTGTCTACCCATACATCCCACATATGCAGATATGAAGGCCTAACTGTAGATATTTATTCATTCATTCAAAGACCTGAACTTCCCTGGGCTTTCAGGCAAGGGCTTTGTTTGTTTGTTTACTTATTTCTTTTTGGCTGCACTAGGTCTTTATGGCAGTGTGCAGGCTTCTCATTGCGTGGCTTCTCTTGTTGAAGAGCACAGGTTGTAAGCACACGGGCTTCGCTGCTCTATGGCAAGTGGGATCTTCCCAAACCAGGGATTGAATCCATGCCCCTTTCATTGGCAGGTGGATTCTTAACCACTGGACCACCAGGAAAGTCTGGCTAACTGTATTTAGATTATTTTTTCTGCCTGGGACCTTGGCCTCATGGCAATGCACTCACCCATTTTCTTTGGGTCCTTGAGTCCCCTCTCTTAGATTATCTCTGTGGCTTTATTTCCCTGCTCAAAGGAATTCACTTTAGAGAGTTCCCTGGAATCTTCCTGTTTGATAATATATTGACACAAATTCCAGTACACGTGTGTCTGGGAGACTCCAGACTTTATGCGTCTCCATTCAGTCAGTACCCAAGTTTTTCTTACCTTTTCAGTCAGCTCAGTTCAGTTGCTCAGTTGTGTCCAACTCTTCTTGACCCCATGGACTGCACCATGGAAGGCTTCCCTGTCCATCACCAACTCCCAGAGCTTGCTTAAACTCATGTCCATCGAGTTGGTGATGCCATCCAACTATCTCATCCTCTGTCATCCCCTTCTCCTCCTGACTTGAATCTTTCCCGGCATCAGGGTCTTTTCCAGTGAGTCAGTTCTTCACATTAGGTAGCCAAAGTATTGGAGTTTCATCTTCAGCATCAGTCGTTCCAATGAATATTCAGGACTGATTTCCTTCAGGATGGACTGGTTGGATCTCCTTGCACTCCAAGGGACTCTCAAAGAGTCATCTTTAACACCACAGTTCAAAAGCATCAATTCTTCAGCGCTCAGCTTTCTTTATAGTCCGGCTCTCACATCCATACATGACTACTGGAAAAACCATAGCTTTGACTAGACAGTCCTTTGTTGGCAAAGTAATGTCTCTGCTTTTAAATATGCTGTCTAGGTTGGTCATAGCTTTTCTTCCAAGGAGCAACTGTCTTTTAATTTCATGGCTGCAGTTACCATCTGCAGTGATTTTGGAGCCCAAGAAAATAAAATCTGTCACTGTTTCCATTGTTTCCCCATCTATTTGCCATGAAATGATGTGACCACATGCCATGATCTTCGTTTTTTGAATGTTGAGTTTTAAGCCAGCTTTTTCACTGTCCTCTTTCACTTTCATCAAGAGACTCTCTAGTTCCTCCTCAGTTCCTGCCATAGGGTGGTGTCATCTGGATATCTGAGGTTATTGCTATTTCTCCCGGCAATCTTGATTTCAGCTTGTGCTTCATTCAGCCCGGCATTTCGCATAATGTACTCTGTATATAAGTTAAATAAGTAGGGTGACAATATACAGCCTTGACATACTCCTTTCCCAATTTGGAACCAGTCTGTTGTTCCATGTCCAGTTCTTACTGTTGCTTCTTGACCTGCATACAGATTTCTCAGGAGGCAGGACAGGTGGTCTGGTATTCCCATCTCTTTAAGAATTTTCCACAGTGTGTTGTGATCCACATAGTCAAAGGCTTTGGCATAGTCAATAAAGCAGAAGTACCTGGAACTCTCTTGCTTTTTCTATGATCCAAAGCATGTGGGCAGTTTGATCTCTGGTTCCTCTGCCTTTTCTAAATCCAGCTTGTACATCTTGAAGTTCACCGTTCACATACTGTTAAAGCCTGGCTTGGAGAATTTTATGTATTACTTTGCTAGTTTGTGAGATGAGTGCAATTGTGTGGTAGTTTGAACGTTCTCTGGCATTGCCCTTCTTTGGGATTAGAATGAAAACTCACCTTTTTCTGTCCTGTGGCCACTGCTGAGTTTTCCAAATTTGCTGGCATATTGAGTGCGGCCCTTTCACAGCATCATCTTTTAGGATTTGAAATAGTTCAACTGGAATTCCATCACTTCTACTAGCTTTGTTCAGAGTGATGCTTCCTAAGGCCCACTTGACTTCACATTCCAGGATGTCTGGCTCTAGGTGAGTGATTACACCATCATGGTTATTTGGGTCATGACGATCTTTTTGTATAGTTCTTCTGTGTAGTCTTGCCACCTCTTCTTAATATTTTCTGCTTCTGTTAGGCCCATACCATTTATGTCCTTTATTGTGCCCATCTTTGCATGAAAATTTCCCTTGGAATCTCTAATTTTCTTGAAGAGATCTCTAGTCTTTTTCATTCTATTGTTTTCCTCTACTTCTTTGCACTAATCACTGAGGAAGGCTTTCTTATCTCTCCATGCTATTCTTTGGAACTCTGATTCAGATGAGTGTATCTTTCCTTTTCTTCTTTGCCTTTAGCTTCTCTTTTCTCAGCTATTTATAAGGCCTCATCAGACAACCATTTTGCCTTTTTGCATTTCTTTTCCTCGGGGATGGTCTTGATCCCTGCCTCCTGTATAATGTCATGAACCTCCATCCATAATTCTTCAGGCACTCTATCAGATCTAATCCCTTGAATCTATTTGTCACTTCCACTGTATAAACGTAAGAGATTTGCTGTATGTAGGTCATACCTGAATGGTGTAGTGGTTTTCCCTACTTTCTTCAATTTAAGTCTGAATTTTACAGTAAGGAGTTCATGATCTGAGCCACAATCAGCTCCTGGTCTTTTCACTGACTGTATAGAACTTCTCCATCTTTGGGTGCAAAGAATATCATCAATCTAATTTTGGTATTGACCATCTGGTGATGCCCATGTGTAGAGTCTTCTCCTGTGTTGTTGGAAGAGGGTGTTTGCTATGACCAGTGTGTTCTCTTGGCAAAACTCTGTTAGCCTTTTCCCTGCTTCATTTTGTACTCCAAGGCCAAAGTTGCCTGTTACTCCAGGTATCTCTTGACTTCCTACTTTTGCATTCCAGGCCCCTCTGATGAAAAGGACATCTTTTTTGGGTGTTAGTTCTAGAAGGTCTTGTAGGTCTTCATAGAACTGTTCAATTTCAGCTTCTTCAGCATTACTGGTTGGGGCATAGACTTGGATTACTGTGATATTGAATGGTTTGCCTTGGAAACAAACAGAGATCATTCTGTCGTTTTTGAGACTGCACCCAGGTACTGCATTTCGGGCTCTTCTGTTGACTATGAGGGCTACTCCATTTCTTCTAAGGGATTCTTGCCCACAGTAGTAGATATAATGATCATCTGAATTAAATTCACCCATTCTAGTCCATTTTAGTTCACTCTTGCCATCTCCTGTTTGACCACTTCTAATTTACCTTTGTTCATGGACCTAACATTCCAGGTTCCTATGCAGTAGTTCTCTTTAGTATCTCCCATTTCTGTTCCATTTTCTAAACATGGTTAAACATCCCTTCACCTGCACTCCCCCACACACAAAAAACTCCAGTACTATAAACATGGTGAATGAACTTTTAAAATGTTCTTAATTATGAAACTTTAAAAAAAGATTTAAAAAATTATTTAAATATGTTAATCCACTGATTTCCTTTTTCACAAGTATATTTCAACAAATAATCAGATTATTACAGGGTTATGACCACCCCTATCCACCCCCTACCCAGTTTTTAATTTTTAGGGTTTCAACAACACTCTTCTGGTGAAACATGGCCACTCAGACAATAGTCAAGGTCACAGAGAGCTACTTATATTGACACTGATGGTTCTTTAATTTCACCTCTGCACCCCATCAAAAGCCAGCCAGTTTGACGAACTATTTCTGGCTAGCTTGTTCATGAGGTAGCAGTGGTTTTCAACTCTGGCTGCATATCAGAATCTTCTGGGGAGCTTGTAAAAAGTTACCAATACTCTGACTTTATCACAGTCCTCCTGATACAGAGCTGCTGTGGGTGTGAACCACATCCTGTGGGTGATTCTGAGGTGCAGCCGAGCTGAGAAGCCAGCCAGGGACATCCTGTACATTCTATGAATTTACCACTGTTTGATCCAGCACCTGGAGCTTCTTCCTTTTGAAAACCACATGGGGGTGGAACTCTTCCTAAATCAAGATCAAAGCAAATCATTTATTCTATTTTTACTCAATTGTTTTGTTCTTTTAACTTTTTGGTACTTGGTGAACCTCTTACATTGTGGCACTAATTCTGTAACTGAAGTTCTTGCTGATGTGCTTCAGCAAATCTATTATTAGATCAGGAGTTTCTTGCCAGGTACACCCCTTAAATTCTCCTTTGAGAATCCTAACTTCTAACTTGTATCAGGCCTTCCATACCTATGGCGACCTGTCCTCTTCACCTGGCTATCTTGCCATTTTGTAAAAGACATTTTCCCCCATAAAATGGATATTACAGATGCCTATCCAGAATCCATTTCCCTTCCCCTTCTCACAGAGCCCTGTCCAGCTTGGGTGTACCTCATTCCTCACCCAATGGGTGTAATGCCATTCCTCATGCCAGTGATTGGTTCAGGAATCCAGTCCTAAGCTGGTCAGCCATAAGGATCCTGGCCATAAGGATCGACCCATGTGACTAAGTGAAGGCTACTATTGTGGGGTGGGGGGTGGCGAGGGTGACAGACATTTAATGTGGAGGTTCTGGGAAAGAAGGGTCCCTGCACCAAGAAGCAAGCTACCAGAAATGATGTTCTTTCTCCTTCTGGTCATAATGATAGTCAAAGGTAAAACCTAGAACTATTAATACTATACCCACTTTGTTGCTGCAAAGGGAGCCAGTGTGAGGGTAAAGCTGACCCTCATAGGAGGGCATAGCTGAGGAAAACATGGAGAAATGGAAACACAGTCATTAGACTAAATGGTCCCTGAAGCTTTCCCTACATCTGGGTGTCCCAATAAGTTACCTCCTTGCATAAGCCAATAGAGTTGGATTTCCCCTTCTTGCAGCTGAAACCAAGCTTCCCAGGTAGTACAGTGGTAAAGAATCTACCTGCCAATGCAGGAGACACAGATGTGGGTTCAATCCCTGGTTCGGGAAGACCCCCTGAAGTAGGAAATGGCAATTTGCTCCAGTATTCTTGCCTGGAAAATTCCATGGACAGACGAGCCTGGCGGGCTACAGTCCATGGGGTCACAAGGAGTCGGACAGAACTGAGCACACACATACAGCCTAAACCACTATAGCCACTATACCTGGTGAAATCCCTCATTACTCCAATAGGACAACGTGATGACTTCTAACATCTATGCTTTATGATCCTTGGCATGCAATTATAACCAGTGTTGAGGAAGGTTCTTAAAGATATTCTCTAAATTTCCTCTACAGATATTAGTTTTTTTCCCCCAAAATCTTTATTGTTAAGAATTTCAAACATTCAGAACCGTTGAAGACCTCTAAACCTACCATCTAGGTTCACATTTTGCCATGTTTGTTTCATCTATTTCTAATCTATTTATCTACCTACATACTTACATTTTGCAGAATCATTTAAAAGTGAGTTTCAGTATTTTGACACTTCATCTTTAAATACTTAACTTTAGCATATGTCTCTTAAGCACCAGCAAACTATAAAAATTTACTATTTTTAATATCATCTAAAATCTAGCCTATTTGTCCTCAAAATTATCTTTTGTAGCCTTTAAAAAAATTTTTTTTAATTTATTTTTGGCTGCACTAGGTCTTCATTGCTGCTTGCGGATTTTCTCTAGTTTTGGCAAGCAGGGGCCACTCTTCATTGCAGTGTGGAGGCCTCTCACTGTGTGGCTTCCCTGGTTGTCGAGCATGTGCTCCAGAGCGCGGGCTTTAGGAGTTGTGGCACACAGGCTTAGTTGCTCTGCAGCACGTGGGATCTTCCTGGACCAGGGATTGAACTCATGTTCCCTGCATTGGCAGGTGGATTCTTAACCACTGGACAACCTGGGAAGCCCTGTAGTGCTTTTTATTTTTTCAAACTAAGATTCAATCAAGGTTTTCTCATTGCATTTTGTATGTTTACTTTTTATTACTTGTTTTCATAACTATTGCTCTCATTTTTAAAAAAAATCATGCTTTCAGTCTATAGCACTAAATGCCACTGTGTCAAATTTCTTTGGCCTTCCCTTTCTGATATAATATTCAGCTTGATTGATTATATTCCCCATTTTTTAGTGGTTCCCTTGGTTCCCTCCTGCATCAGTTCTACTTACTACTCAGATATAATTCCCACAGGGCAGCATCCTTATTTAAATGTCAGATCTTCCTTACAGTAAAGTTCATTAATAAATATAGAAAGAATGATGGAAATGGAAAATTACCATATGGTAAATACCATAGTTATAACTGTTATAGACAAAAACCACTGAAGGATGCTAAAATTCATGGATGAAAGTATGATGAGGAAAAGGATATTTGCGTGGTCTGAAAGTATCTCCCACAAGACATTTATTAATTGCAAAGGAAAAAAATAGTAACTTCACAGGAACAAACCTTGTAGACAGCACTTTAACTGAGTGATCAAAGATGACATCACCAACAATAAAACACTGACCTCATGCACTCTCTGATATGGCACACTGTGACAGGTACAGCATTTGTAACCTCAATCTAACCATGAGAAAACATCAGACAATCCCAAACTGAGGTATATTCTACAAAATAAATGCCCAAAACTCTTCCAAAGTGTCAAAGTCAGAAAGATGGAGGAGCTGCCTAGGTTGGAAGATTAAGGAGGCATGACATCTAAATGCAATGTGGGTTCCTCGACTAGATCCTGGCCCCGTGGGGCCTGGACATTAGTAGGACAAAGGGCCAAATACAAATAACATCTGTAAATTATTTAATAGTATTACACTGATAGTAACATTATGGTTTTGATCACTGTATTACAGTCCTTTAATATATTAGTTTTTGGGGAAGCTGCATGAAGGGTATATGGGTTCTCTGTGTACTATTTTTGAAAACTTTTTGTAAATGCAAAGTTATTTTTTAAAAAGAAGGACTTCCAAGGTGGTCCAGTGGTTGGGAATTCACCTGTCAAGGCAGGGGACATGGGTTCCATCCCTGCTCTGGGAAGAGCCCACATGCCTCAGAGCACCGAGGCCCGTACGCCACAACTACTGAGCTTGTGCTCTAAAGCCCATGTGCCACGACTCCTGAAGCCTGCACACTTAGAGCTAGAGCTCCGCAACAAGAGCAGCCACTGCAATGAAAAGCCAGCGCACTGCAGTGAAGAGCAGCACCTGCTCACTGCGACAGAGAAAAGCCTGTGCAGCAAAGAAACCCAGTGCAGCCAAAATAAACAAATAAACTTAATAAAAACCAAAAACAGCTCTTCAGTTAATTTATAAGTTTCTCTTCTAGGATTAGTGAGCTTGACCTAATCAAACCAAAGACTTAAGAAACAGAAACATATATATCTATATCTCTCTTACAAACATAACCGTTGTTGATTCTTACCTGAGAGCCTCTGTCCTCTCACAAATACACTCCCATTTCTACTCAGCTTTGATTTGGAGTCTGATCCAGAACGTCCCAGGTTAAATATTGATTTCCACTTCTTGGATTTACTGGAGAGCTTTCTTCTAAAAGAGCCAAGCCACAGGGGGTGAGTTGGATAACTAGACATTTCAATGGGACTCTGAACTATAGAAGGAATATCCCAAACATGTTCTTCGTTATGAATGACTCTGACATGGTAAGAAATTCTTCTAAAAAATCCAAGTTAAGCCTGACTCTCACCCTATCCAAGGATGCCCTTGATGACCAAGTCGGGTTTTCATGAGTCAGAGTGAAGGACCACATTTTTCAGATGTGCTATTAAAAGCAGGAAAGAGAAAGTGGCTTAATTGTATTAGACTCTTAGTGACCCCATGGACTGTAGCCCACCAGGCTCCTCACTCCAGGGAATTCTCCAGGCCAGATACTGGAGTGGGTTGCCATTTCCTCCTCCAGGGGATCTTCCTGACCCAGGGACTGAACCCAGGTCTCCCACATTGAAGGCAGATTCTTTACTATTTGAGCCACGAGGGAAGCCCATTAAAAGCAGGGGTTGGGGGCAAACAGAGGCAGGGGTCAGTGGGAGACTCAGAGGTCACAAGCAACCACAGTTCTGGGAATTCTGGTAGAAATTCTGATGAGCACTTTCCTCCTGGATTTTCAAAGATATCTATTTCTTACAGGAGTATAAAGACCAGAGACCTCAGTCCTTTTATGCTCCCTGCACTGCAGCCACACTTCTGGGACATACACAGGTGAGGAGGTTAGGGAAGCCTTCAGTGGGCTGGACAGGGGGTGGATGAGAAAGCAACTTGAAAGAGAGCTGGCCTGGGAGAGTTGCAGACTGCTGGGTGTGGTCAGTGGTCACTGCAGAAAAATGCAAAGGGTGGTCACTGTGTCTCTGGCTTTGTCTCTCATTTCCCTGATGAAGCAGGGATAGTTGAGTGCTAGACTTAAATTGAAGAAAATAGGGAAAACCACTAGACCATTCAGGTATGACATAAAGCAAATCCCTTATACAGTGGAAGTGAGAAATAGATTCGAGGGATAAGATCTGATAGACAGTTCAGTTCAGTTCAGTTGCTCAGTTGTGTCCGACTCTTTGCAACCCTATGAACTGCAGCACACCAGGCCTCCCTGTCCATCACCAACTCCTGGAGTCCACCCAAACCCATGTCCATTGAGTCGGTGATACCATCCAACCATCTCATCTTCTGTCATCCCCTTCTCCTCCTGCCCTCAATCATTCCAAGCATCAGGGTCTTTTCAAATGAGTCAGTTCTTTGCATCAGGTGACCAAAGTATTGGAGTTTCAGCTTCAACATAAGTCCTTCTAATGAACATCCAGGACTTATCTCCTTTAGGATGGACTGGATGGATCTCCTTGCAGTCCAGGGGACTCTCAAGAGTCTTCTCCAACACCACAGTTCAAAAGCATCAATTCTTCAGTGCTCAGCTTTCTTTATACTCCAACTCTCACATCCATACATGACCACTGGAAAAACCTTAGCCTACACTAGATGGACCTTTCTTGACAAAGTAATGTCTCTGCTTTTTAATATGCTGTCTAGGTTGGTCATAACTTTTCTCCCAAGGAGCAAGTGTCTTTTAATTTCATGGCTGCAGTCACCATCATGCAGTGATTTTGGAGCCCCCCAAAATAAAGTCAGCCACTGTTTCCACTGTTTCCTCATCTATTTGCCATGAAGTGATGGGACCAGATGCCATGATCTTCGTTTTCTGAATGTTGAGCTTTAAGCCAAATTTCTCACTGTCCTCTTTCACTTTCATCAAGAGGCTCTTTAGTTCTCCTTCACTTTCTGCTTTAAGTGTGGTGTCATCTGCATATCTGAGGTGACTGATATTTGTCCCAGCAATCTTGATTCCAGCTTGTGCTTCCTCCAACCCAGCTCTTCTCATGATGTACTCTGCATAAAAGTTAAATAAGCAGGGTGACAATATACAGCCTTGACATACTCCTTTTCCTATTTGGAACCAGTCTTGTTCAATGTCCAGTTCTAAATGTTGCTTCCTGACCTGCATACAGGTTCCTCAAGAGGCAGTCAGGTGGTCTGGTATTCCCATCTCTTTCAGAATTTTCCACAGTTTATTGTAATCCACACAGTCAAAGGCTTTGGCATAGTCAATAAAGCAGTAATCGATGTTTTTCTAGAACTCTCTTGTATTTTCAATGATCCACTGGATGTTGGCAATTTGATCTCTGATTCCTCTGCCTTTTCTAAAACCAGCTTGAACATCTGGAAGTTCTCGGTTCATGTATTGCTGAAGCCTGGCTTAGAGAATTTTGAGCATTACTTTACTAGCATGTGAGATGAGTGCAGCTGTGTGGTAGTTTGAGCACTCTTTGGCATTGGAATGAAAACTCACCTTTTCCTGTCCTGTGGCCACTGCTGAGTTTTCCAAATTTGCTGGCATATTGAGTGCAGCACTTTCACAGCATCATCTTTTAGGATTTGAAATAGCTCAACTGGAATTCCATCACTTCTACTAGCTTTGTTCAGAGTGATGCTTCCTAAGGCCCACTTGACTTCATATTCCAGGATGTCTGGCTCTAGGTGAGGCATCACACCGTCATGATTATCTGGGTTATGAAGATCTTTTTTATATAGTTCTTCTGTGTATTCTTGCCATCTCTTCTTAATATCTTCTACTTCTGTTAGGTCCATACCATTTCTGTCCTTTATTGTGCCCATCTTTGCATGAAATGTTTCCTTGGTGTCTCTAATTTTCTTGAAGAGATCTCTAGTCTTTCCCATCCTATTGTTTTCCTCTATTTCTTTGCACTGATCACTGAGGAAGGCTTTCTTATCTCTCCTTCCTGTTCCTTGGAACTCTGCATTCAAATGGGTGTATCTTTCCTTTTCTCCTTTGCTTTTTTGCTTCTCTTCTTTTCACAGCTATTTGTAAGGCCTCCTCAGACAGCCATTTTGCTTTTTTGAATTTCTTTTTCCTGGGGATGGTCTTGATTCCTGTTTCCTGTACAATGTCAAGAACCTCTGTCCATAGTTCATCAGGCACTCTATCTATCAGATATAGTCCCTTAAATCTATTTCTCACTTCCACTGTAAGGATTTGATTTAGGTCATAAGGGATTTGATTTAGGTCATAGCTGAATGGTCTAGTGGTTTTCCCCACTTCCTTCAATTTAAGTCTGAATTTGGCAATAAGACAGAATGCCTGAAGAATTATGGACAGAGGTTCATGACATTGTTCAGAAGGCAGGGATGAAGACCATCCCCAAGAAAAAGAAATGCAAAAAGGCAAAATGGTTGTCTCAGGAGGCCTTACAAATAGCTGTGAAAAGAAGAGAAGCAAAAGGCAAAGGAGAAAAGGAAAGATATACCCATTTGAATGCAGAGTTCCAAAGAAGAGGAAGGAGAGATAAGAAAGCCTTCCTCAGTGATCAGTGCAAAGAAAGAGAGGAAAACAATAGGATGGGAAAGACTAGAGCTCTCTTCAAGAAAATTAGAGACACCAAGGAAACATTTCATGCAAAGATGGGCGCAATAAAGGACAGAAATGGTATGGACCTAACAGAAGTAGAAGATATTAAGAAGAGATGGCAAGAATACACAGAACTATACAAAAAAGATCTTCATAACCCAGATAATCATGACGGTGTGATGCCTCACCTAGAGCCAGACATCCTGGAATGTGAAGTCAAGTGGGCCTTAGGAAGCATCACTCTGAACAAAGCTAGTAGAAGTGATGGAATTCCAGTTGAGCTATTTCAAATCCTAAAAGATGATGCTGTGAAAGTGCTGCACTCAATATGCCAGCAAATTTGGAAAACTCAGCAGTGGCCACAGGACAGGAAAAGGTGAGTTTTCATTCCAATGCCAAAGAGTGCTCAAACTACCACACAGCTGCACTCATCTCACACACTAGCAAAGTAATACACAAAATTCTCTAAGCCAGGCTTCAACAGTATGTGAACCGTGAACTTCCAGATGTTCAAGCTGGTTTTAGAAAAGGCAGAGGAACCAAAGATCAAATTGCCAACATCCAGTGGATCATCGAAAATGCAAGGGAGTTCCAGAAACATCTATTTCTGCTTTATTGACTATGCAAAAGCCTTTGACTGTGTGGATCACAACTGTGGAAAATTCTTCAAGAGATGGGAAAAACAGACCACCTGACCTACCTCCTGGGAAATCTGTACACAGGTCAGGAAGCAACAGCTAGAACCAAACATGGGACAACAGACTGGTTCCAAATCAGGAAAGGGGTATGTCAAGGCTGTGTATTTTCACCCTGGTTATTTAACTTATATGCAGAGTACATCATGTTAAACGTTGGGCTGGATGAAGCACAAGGTGGAATCAAGATTGCTGGGAGAAATATCAATCACCTCAGATATGCAGATGACACCACCTTTATGGAAGAAAGCAAAGAACTAAAGAGCCTCTTGATGAAAGTGAAAGAGGACAGTGAAAAAGTTGGCTTAAAATTCAACAATCAGAAAACTAATATCATGGCATTTGGTCCCATCACTTCATGGCAAATAGACAGGGAAACAATGGAAACAGTGACAGATTTTATTTTTGGGGGCTCCAAAATCACTGCATGATGGTGATTGTAGCCATGAAATTAAAAGATGCTTGCTCTTTGGGAGAAAAGTTATGACCAACCTAGACAGCATATTAAAAAGCTGTCTATATTAAAAGCATTAAAAGCAGAGTTATTACTTTGTCACACAAAGTACAGCCTTGACATACCCCTTTCCCGATTTGGAACCAGTCTATTTTCTCATGTTTGGTTCTAGCTGTTGCCTCCCGACCTGTGTACAGATTTCCCAGGAGGTAGGTCAGGTGGTCTGTTTTTCCCATCTCTTGAAGAATTTTCCACAGTTGTGATCCATTTAATGTCTGCATTAAAAACAGAGGTATTACTTTGCCAACAAAAGTCCATCTAGTCAAAGCTATGGTTTTTCCAGTAGTCATGTATGGATGTGAGGGTTGGCCTATAAAGAAAGCTGAGTGCCAAAGAATTGATGCTTTTGAACTGTGGTGTTGGAGAAGACTCTTGAGAGTCCCTTGGAGAGCAAGGAGATCCAACCAGCCCATCCTGAAGGAAATCAGTCCTGAATTTTCATTGGAAGGACTGATGCTGAAGCTGAAACTCTAATACTTTGGCCAACTGATGTGAAGAACTGACTCATTGGAAAAGACCCTGATGCTGGGAAACATTGAAGGTAGGAGGAGAAGGGAACGACAGAGGATGAGATGGTTGGATGGCATCACTGACTCAATGGACATGAGTCTGAGTAAATTCTGGGTATTGGTGATGGACAGGAAGGCCTGACGTGCTGCAGTCCATGGGGTCACAAAGGGTCAGACACGACTGAGCGATTGAACTGAACTGAACTCAGATGTGGCCCAGGGAACCTGGTGCCACCAGAGGTCACCAAAGAGGCTTTTCTGGGCTCTGGCTGGTCTAGCCATTATATTTCATAAAGTCCTGGGATGAAACCCTGCAACCTGTAGGCTCCACAGAGGACCTCTTCTTCACAGGGTCTCATAGAACACATGCTTCTACCATCAGAGATAGACCTGCAGTGCTTTGTGGTTTCTCTCAGATCTAGCCTAATGTTGACAACTTGGCCTTGGGGTAGATTTTACAGTATCGCCTATATCTTGAGGTATGGTGCACCCCAGGTGTGCTTGACAGCACAGAGTAGGTATACTCGATTGTCCTTCAGAGGTATCCTTCTTCCTGATCCCTGGATGAAAGTCTCATCCTCCAAGGATTTGGGGGAGGGGCAGTGCCATCTGTGCCCTCCAGGAAATGGAGGGTTTCCTGCCAGGTGAGATCCAGTCACCCTTCCCAGGCACTCAGCACACTCTCCCTCCTCAGAGGGAAACAGCCGTGCCGTCACATGGAGGACACTGACAAGAGGTCTGAGGGGTCTGTTTTTACACCTCCTTTCACTGAGCAAACAGCAAGGATGATACTCTTCAAGGGAAAGATTGCCTTTCAGCTCCTCCACTTACTGTCTCCCTAGACTTTAGGACTCCTGCTTCCATAACTGAGGAATGTGTGGAGACCAGGGTCACAACAGAAGAAACGAAAAGGAGAAGTGAGGAAAGACATGAGTGAAAATCGTGTGTGTTTTGTTTTTGGAGGGAAGGGGCTCTGATAGGTAAAAGAGGAGGAACAGAAGCCAGGATGCATGTCCTCAAGTGCCGTGTCCTCAGAGTTTTCAGTCCAGAGTGGTGCTTTGTCAACTTGTCCTCTGTCCACCTCCATGCCTTTTATGATGTGCCATGAAGGTGAAGGGTGGGAGGAGGCAGCCAAATTTTTCCATTTAGCAGCCTTCCTTTTGAAAACATCAAGGCTATTTTGTCTAAGCTAGGAAATAAGGGATTTTAGTTATGACTCTTGACACCTATGAGCCGTATCCCCACCACAGTACTAGGGATCTCTGGTGGGAGATCAAGGTCTCAAAGACTTTGGGCAGTGAGGGAATGCACCAGTCATTGGTGGATGTCGTGGCATCAGCTCCCATCTCTTCTGGAAGGCTTCCTTACCCCCCAAACTAGACCACAACTCTAGTCCATGCTGCCATTATAGCCCTGAGACTCTAACTGCTTCCTCCTCTGTCCCCCGCCACCCAAACATCTCCCAGAATTTGAAAGGAGGCCACTTACTTGTTGTCTGGTAACTCAAGGACAGTGTGGAAGAGGGTGCCCATGGGGGGTACAATCTCAGGCAGGCTATTCTCTCTTCTTTCCTTCCTGGCGGGATGATTAGTAGCCAGGCTCCGGGCCTGAGCTTCCTCCAGACTCACCAATTTCATGGGCAGTGAGAGGGCAGGCAGGGTCAGGCTCTTCATGATCGGCCGGTTTTCTGTAAAGAGAAGATAAGAGCTCATAGACCTCCTGGGAGTGGACCTGTTCACCAGTTCCAGCCAGATGCCACAGCTCCCCCATTCCTAACCTCCTAGCAGGGGCTTCTCTTGGGCATGGTGGGGTCTGTGGCAAAGACTACACATAGGAATGTGATAGCAATCCTGGCCAGCCCAGCCAGAGGGCACACAGAGGCTTCAGAAGGTAACCTGCATTCCTGTACTTTTCAGAGACGGACTATTCATTCACACTACAACATACTGAACACTTGCTATGGGCCAGAGTAACAACTGAGGGCATTTGCCCCTGGGTACTGCCTAGTCCTTCGGTCAGGTGAGAATGTGTGTTCAGCCACAGAGGTGGTCTCACTTAGCTAGGGTGGGGAGGAGACGACCACCTTCTCTCTGCAGCTGTAGGCATATACAGATGTGAGAGCTGGATCATGAATAAGGCTAAGGGCTGAAGAATGGTTTCGAACTGTGGTGCTAGAGGAGACTCTTGAGAGTCCCTTGGACTGCAAGGAGATCAAACCAGCCGATCCTAAAGGAAATCAGCCCTGAATATTCATCCCTGAATATTCATTGGAAGGACTGATGCTGAAGCTGAAGCTCCAATACTTTGGCAACCTGATGCGAAGAGCTGACTCACTGGAAAAGACCCTGATGCTGGGAAAGATTGAGGGCAGGAAGAGAAGGGGGCAGCAGAGGATGAGATAGTTAAATAGTATCACTGACTCAATGGACATGAATTTAAGCAAACTCTGGGAGATAGTGAAGGACAGGGGAGCCTGGCATGCAGTACATGGGGTGGCAAAGAGTTGGATATGAACAACTTAGTGACTGAACAATGACAACAAATGATTTATTCCATTTTGTGTAAATGTTAAGTATGGTACCAAAGTCAATAAGAATTCATAATTTAAGTGGAATGCACTGAATAATATGGAGGCATAATAATAATAATATCGGAGGCTGTCAAGTGTTAAAGGCTCAGAGGAAACTAAATTTCAATATGTGGGACAAAAGCTGATTAAGGCAACAGTCATAAAAAAGGAATTTTATGGCATTTCCAGGTTGGAATTAGGAACACCCTTAACACTAACAGTCATGGGTGGAATTTGCTGTCAAGAAGAACATTTCCCAAAGTCATTAATTCTCTACAATGGTTTATTTATTTGTTTTCCTATTTTTTTTTTCCTCCCAGAGGCATCACTGGGTAAGGAAAAATCAGAGGCTGGAAGATTTAGGTTCCATATTCAGTCCTATAAGTTGCTAAGCTTTTCTGGTTCTCTAGTTCTTCATGTATAAAATAAGGTTGATAACTTTAGAATGGTTGTTGTGATAAGACAAAGAGATGATATATGTGGAGAGTCCGCCATAGTTCCTGGCATACAACCAGTGAATTACTGGTTGATTCAAAACGATGAACGAATGAAAGATACTATTTCTCATTCCCACGTGGCGCTAGTGATAAAGAATCCACTGGAGACTTAAGAGTTGTGGGTTCAATCCCTGCATCAGGAAGATCCCCTGGAGAAGGAAATGGCTGCCCACCTGGGTATTCTTGCCTGGAGGATCCCATGGACAGAGGAGCCTAGCAAGCTACAGTCCATGGGGTCACAAAGAGTCAGACAAGACTGAAGCAACTTAGCACAAAGTGCAAGTTAAAATAAAGATAAAAGAAACGTCAGCCATTCCTAGGTATATAGTCAAGACAATTAAAAACATACGTTCACACAAAAACTCGTACATGATTGTTCACAGCAGCATCACAATAACCAAAATGCAGAAACAACCCAAATGTCTATCAACTGATAAGTGGATACATAAAATATGGTATATCCATACAATAGACTATCATTCAGCTATTAAAAAAATGAAATGCTGATCTATGAGAACAGTGCTAAGTGAAAGAAGTAGGTCATTAAAAGCCATATATTGTATGATTCCACTTATATGAAATGTGCAAAAGAAGCAAAACCCATAGAAACAGGAAGTAGATGACTGGTTGCCAGACTCTGGTGGGAAGCGAGGACAAAACGTGGAGTGACTACTTTACTGGGTGTGGGGTTTCTTTCTGGAGTGATGAAAACATCCTGGAATTAGACAGTGGTGATGGTTGAACAATTCTGTGAATACACTAAAAACCACTGAAATGCATACTATAAAATGATTAAAGTGGTGAATTTTATGGTATGTGAATTTTAAAAGAAAGATCATAAACCACATAGAGAACAGGGTGGGGGTAAGAATTATTATACCAGGAATCAAAATTTGATATTAATTGCAATTGATTACTTTGATGGTTATAATTGATTTTCCCAAGCTTATTAGCCAAACTAGAAAAGAATGCTTTGATCAACTCATACAAATATCTTGCAGTTATAGTTCTCACACACACAGGTTCTTGAGGTATGGACCCGGGCCAGTAGCAGCAGCATCACCTGGAAACTTGTTAGAAATACAGATTTTCGGCAGCACTCCAGACAAGCTGAATCAAAAATTCTGGGTATGAGGTCCAGTAAACTGTGTTTCAACAAGCCTTCCCAGTTATGTGATGTATGCTAATGCTGGAAATTGTACCCTCACACAAATGGTAGTTATCAGGTTTACTGATCAGCTGTATTTTTAATTTTTACAAATTAGGCTCATATGGGTTCAAGCAGCATAAACCAATACCAATGCATCCCTGGGGTTCATTATGCTATTATGAGAACTGGAACATCATGTCTTGCATCTCATTACATCCAATCTGAAATAGCTATATGTTTCTCACATATAGTGGGTTTCAATGCTAGCTAGTCTCTATATACATGTACCCACAAACACACACTCATTGCAGTATGCCCAGTGTCCAGCGCAGGGCAGAACAAAGCAAGTGCTCAAGAAATGCTTGCAAGAAAGACAAGTATTATATGATACAGCTTACATGTGGAATCTAAAAAATAGTACAAATGAAGTTATTTATAAAACAGAAACAGACTCACGGAGATAGAAAACAAACTTATGGCTACCTAAGGGGAAGTGGGGGATAGATAAACTGGGAATATGGTATTACACAGATACACACTACCATATGTAAAACAGACAATAAAGATTTAGGGTGTAGCACAGAGAATTATATTCAATATCTTATAATAAACTATAATGGAAAAGAACCAAAAAAAGAATATAGGTGTGTGTGTATGTATAAATGTAATTTATATTGTAAATATAAATATTCACAATATTGTAAATCAGTTATATTTCAGTTTAAAAAAGAAATGCTTGCAAAGAGAAGGCATTCTGAATATATATGCAAGCATGGACAGGATGCTTCTTAACTCACTCACTTAAGCCTTCTGCAATATCATACTGGAAGTAAAAATAAAAGCTAATAGTTGGGGGGATATTGCCAGTGCCTCTGGATAACAACTGGAAGAGTTTAAGAACTCACTAAAAACAACAGAACAGCAGTCAAAGTCACCACACCACGTTCATGGGATAGGCCATGTATGCAACTGATCAGAAACATACTAGAGCCACATCTGCACACACCACACCTTTGTTGCATAGGCATACATGTACACATGCATGATCCTCAGACATTTGACACACAGTGTTGTCAGCACACACACATAGCTGACACTGAGAGCTAGATCCCAACCCACTCTAACTTATTCTTGGATCCCGTGCCTCAGGCAAAGAAGAAGTGTATGCCAGGAGGAGCCATTACCATCGTTCTCCAGTGACCCGGGTGTACCGTTGTTGAAGATTTGATCCACATGATTCAGTATGAATTCAATCACCACCTGCTGGACCCGGACTGCGAGGAAGGCTGCATCTCCATTGCAACCAGTGGCTTCAATTTCTTTAGACCTGAACCGCAAAAGAGACACATTCAGTGAATGAGTCTGCCCTACTGACTGAAGCATAAGCGGGGAACCAGCAGGCCTTTTGCACAGGCCCTAGTTCCTAAATGTATACAGCTTGTTAATTTGTATTAATATAACTATTTAAGATCAATTGAAGAGACTCTTCAAAGGTTGTGAAGCCCAACACACTGGAGAAATTGGAAATAGTCACCAGGTACTATAAACTGCAAAGCTGTAAACACCGTATTACTCAGTATATAGGAATTGATTTTGCTTTTTTCATAGGATCTCCTTCAAGCTCCAAAGAATTGTTCTAAGGGAAGGTCATCATTTACAAAGTCATGTGAAGCAGCTAATTCAGGTTCTATCTACCTCAGTTCAGTTCAGTTCAGTCGCTCAGTCGTGTCCGACTCTTTGCGACCCCATGAATCGCAGCACACCAGGCCTCCCTGTCCATCACCAACTCCCGGAGTCTCCTCAAACTCATGTCCATTGAGTTGGTAATGCCATCCAGCCATCTCATCCTTCGTCACCCCCTTTTCCTCTTGACCCCAATCCCTCCCAGCATCAATCTAGGACCCCACCAAAACCAACAAAAGCCAAGGAACCCCAAAGACCCAGAAAGACCTTTCCAGGAAATTATAACATACGATCCATCACACTGGCCACATCATGATTGTAGCCAGAATATACTTCTGGGTTCCAGAGTTTCCAAGGTTAGCAGGCAAGGGCTGTTAAAATCACCTTTAATTCCCCTGTGTGACAAATAACCACTTAGCCAAAGGTTTGTCTACCAGGGGACTCAGTTTTGAGGAATCCAGGCTTCATTTGAATTGGGGGCTGCTTGGAGCCCACTGGGGCAGTCAGGTGAGGGGAGGTGGTTACCTGAGGAGGTTTGGTGCCCACACCAGGGCCAGGTTCCTGGCATGCATGTTGGTCTTGCTGCTGAAGGATGCAATGTGGGCCAGGTGTCGAATCAGGTATTCCAAGGTCCTATAACGGTTCATTGAAAAAAAAGAAAAAGTAGGAAACTTCAGAGTCTGTGTGAAACCTGACATCTGGAGATAATTTCTAAGGTTGAGTTAAGAGACTCTAAATATGTCTATTTCATGAATTTTGGAAGGTTATCAGGAAGATATCAAGATAGATGGAAGTAATTTTCCTGGCCCTGGGAACACTGGCCATAGGTGGGGAGGAGACAGTCTCGACAGAAGTCAGCTGAGGATGCCAGTGCAGCCAGAGACGGATCCTGGGACTCACAGTGCTTGGAGCCTATGCCTCCAGTTAACCAGGGCAGCATGGCCTCCACACAGTCTTGAAACTGGCCCTCATCTCAGCTTTTATTGTAATTCTTCCAGCTATGGGCACCCTGGTACTGGTTAAGGAACTCGTCTGATAGATGAATAACATCTGTTATTTCTGGGATGTTCTTATACTACATCAAAATCTGCCCTCTTATAAAGACCTGGGTAGGTTTAAGAACCACTGGGATTCCCTGGTGGCTCAAATGGTAAAGAATCTGCCTGCAATGCTGGGAGACTGGAGTTTGATCCCTGGGTAGGGAAGATTCCCTGGAGAAGAGAATGACAATCCACTCTAGTATTCTCAATCTGAGAATTCCATGGACAGAGGAGCCTGACAGGCTATAGTCCATAGGGTCACAAAGAGTCGAACATGACTGAGTGACTTTCACGGGGAAAGGTGGCACAATTAGGGACTGAACTGTGAGGAGACGAGAGGATGACAGGATATAAGGGCTGCTACTGATGAGCATACAGAGACAGCAGGCAGCCAAATGCTCAAGAGTGATAGTCAAACCCTGTTTAGAAACCACCTTGGTTTCCACTGATTTGGTTAAGCTATGAACCTGGGTAAGAATCTAGACTATCTCTGTGAGACTGGCCTGTGCAATCAGAAATGATTCTTATGGGACTCTGAGGTATACTCTGAAAGTAATTTAGACATGGGCTGTCCCTTCCCACCAGGGTCTCTGGTCAGGCACCAACACGCTCTGATACAACTGACCTTTTCGCCTACCTCAGCCTACTCCAGAAAGCTACTGTCCACTGAATTTGTCCCCTTTTATGATGCCAGCCTGCATCTGTGGTATTACATCACATTGAGAGACTGTGACTTTCTTTTACCAAGAATTCTTACCTGTAATGGGATGGGGGGAGCTCGTGGATAACATTCTGGATTCGGGCCAGTTGGCCTTCTTCTGGGCAATGAGACACCGCCTCCTGTGGACAGGAAAGGAAGCAATCCAGTGAGCACTCAAGAAGGGGGACACTCCCCTGGACCTGCGGGTTTTATTCAGGCTTCTGGCACTCCAGCCTCTCAGCCATGCCTAGATACCATCCTCCCAGGAGGCACGCTTTTCTAGAAACAACAAACCACTAAAATCTCCAAGAGTTCATGATGGAAAGCATCTCTAACAACGTGGGCACACAGGGTGTCTGTGTGTCCTCAGATGGTAGACAGGTGTCTGGTAAAGATGGTATGGAATCTTGGGTGTGTCCTGCGTGGCAGACAGAGTCCTCACGCTGGGAGAGAGAAACAGAGACAGAGACCGAGAGAGGTGGAGATGCCAGGGTGGCTGCATGTTTATTCAACCAGCTGTCTTTTTGGGTGCAAACAGCCACTCCCATCTAGCCTGAGACTTTCCTGTGACCAGGCAGCCTCTCGCTGATTCCAGGAAGTGGGGACCACGTGAAGACGTGCCTTCTCAGCAGGATAAGAGTTTTGTCCCTGAGACCCGGTGGCCTCGTCCAGACTTGCTCTCTGGTTGTTTCCTGTGTGGGTATGTGGTTCCCAGCTCAGCCCAGGCCCTCAGGAGAGGCAAGGGCTTCAGTACATGCAGTGTGATTCCAGGCCTGCCTGAGGCTCCTGCACAACACAGGTGCCCCCGACAGATTCCCCTATACCCTGTCCTGTGAATCTGTCCTGCCTGTGCTCAGGCTCAAGGGCCCCTCCCAGTGGCTGAGTACTCAAGACTGACCACATGGGAGCAGTACCTAAGTTCAAGGTCAGTAGTCACATTTTTTTTTCACTACGTTATAGTTTACTACACTAAAAATGTACAAATCTTCTGCCACAGCTTCCCGAGTCCTTTCAAATGCATAATAACCGTGTAATCCCACTCAGATTAAGACACTTTAAAACAGCTCAACTACTGGCTCCATTTTCCTAAGTGGGACATCACACCAGAGTTTTGGCCACCAACCTGTTTTTGTTTGACTTTTTTATTTAATTGAAGTAAAGCATTCACAGAAGCTAACCATTTACAAAGGCAATCAAAAATCTCTATGTGGGAAAACTCTACTTCATTTCCTACTCAGAAGTGGGGAGAAACTTGGGGCTCAGAGGGTCACAGCTGTCTCAGTCTTCTGTTGGGTTTGCAAGCCTCAAAACGGAGCCAGAATAAATATGATCTGTCTCAATTCTTGCTTATTGAGATGTGCAGATGTAGAGGGTGAGGACCAGAATGGGGCCTGAAGTAAGCACCTGATACCTCTGCCCTCTTCCTGGGCTCTGTCACTTAGAAAACAGATTTGTGGGGGAGACCCTGACTCTCAAGACAGGGAGAATCTCATAAAGCGAGTGAAGGGAGAGAGCCTCAGAGGAAGGAGTGGCGAAGGAATGAGGCGTGGACCCTGCCACCTTCTATCCTGTGAAGGGCAGGTGGGGAGGCCTCTCTTCCTCTCTTGGCAAAGAGAGGATGAGCTTTGCAAAGCTTTACACCCACCCCCTTCCCAAGCCCCCCACCCACCCCACTTTCTAAAAGTGTGTCTTAGGAATAAAGGTGTAGGTCAGTTTAACAGAGTTCATGGAAAGTTTCTTTAATATTTTAGGAAGCTGTTAGTCACCTCTGTTCTGAGAGACTGGGCGGGCTCACCCCTGATGCCTGCAGGTCCCATATGGGATCATTTTATTATTCACAGCTTCTCCCCTTCACACCCCAATCCTATTTGGAAGCTCTCTAGATCTTCATTGTTTTCCCAGAGGGTCTGCTCACTGCAAAGCTATTTTTCCATCTCTTTGTGTTCCCACATTAGGACAGCACAGAGTTCATCACTGGGCAATTGAAGGAAGGGAGTTGAAACTTTGCCCATCCCAATCTTTTGCCTAAAAGAGAATTTCACTCAACATTACCCAAGACAATCTTGCTGATGGTTAAACTTTAAAAAATCCAGGTTGGATCTGTGACCATTTGTTCTCTTCCAGTCAGTATCAGTAAAACCAGCTTCCTGAACTTTGAGGAATCTGGCGAGGGCTGGTCTCCCATCCCCTCTGGCCAGGCCCAGGCTCTAGTTTCCTCTGTTTATCTGAACACCTCCTGAGCTCCTGAGCCTGGGTAGCCCCATCCCCAGGGTGGATAAGCAACCCGGGTCTGTCCCTTCTAATTGCACCCTAGCTGCCACTCAGTTTTTACCTTTTATTTTGTATTAATTATTTAAAAATTATATAAAGCCACTTTTGTTATTTTTAGTTATTTTAAGTGATTAGGTTAAGAAGTTATTCATGCACATGATTTAAAAAATGCAACGTATTCAAAGGAATACACAGAAGAAAGTGTCTTCCTTCCAACATCAGACCCTCAGTCTCCAGAGACAACAACCACCATTGTCTTCCAGACAGTTGTCATACTTCCCTGTCTTTGTCACACCGGTAGCAGCAGGCACCTGGCCCATCTGCAAATTCCTCATCACCCATCATTTCCTCCTTGCCTGCTCCCTATGGGCCGTGCTGGCCTTCATATATTCCCTCAGACAAGCTCGGCATGTCCTTGACAAGGGCCTTGGCACCTGTTTTCTTCTCAGCACCCTCTTCCACCAGATACTTGCACAATTTGTTCCCTCGCTTCATCTTTGTCTCTGTTCAAATATCACCTCATAGGAGACCTTTGATTATCAGTCCCTAGCATTCTCTGACTTGTGTACACATGCGTGCTCAGTTGCTCAGTCGTCTTTGACTCTTTGTGACCCCATGGACTGCAGCCTGACAGGTTCCTCTCTCCTTGGAAATTTCTCAGGCAAGAATACTGGGGGGAATTACAATTTCCTACTCCAGGGGATCTTCCTAACTCAGGGATCAAATGTGTGTCTCTCGTGTCTCCTGCATTGGCAGGTGGATTCTTTACCACTAAGCTACCGGGGAAGCCCTCTCTGACCTGTATCCTGCATTTATTGTCTTCATAGTGCTAATCAACAGTTCTCACTATCGAGTTATGCTTTGGATTTATTCGTCATCCACCTCTTTAATTAAAATGTAAGTTTCGTGAGAACCTTGTGGCTCAGCTGGTAAAGAATCCATCTGCAATACGGAAGACCTGGGTTTGATCCGTGAGTTGGGAAGATCCCCTGGAGAAGGGAAAAGCTATCCACTCCAGTATTCTGATCTGGAGAATTCCATGGACTTCTATGGGGTCACAAAGAGTAGGACACAATTAAGTGACTTTCATTTTTCATGAAAACAAGGATTTTATCTGACTTGCTTACCTAGCACCTGGAACTGTGCCTGCCTAGTATATATGGCAGGTGCTCAAGAGATGTTAGTTGCATGAAGTGAGTAAGTGAATGAATCTGTATTTTGCTTTGCATTTAAAAATGCCAGAAAGCCCCACTTTGGGCCACACTTCCAGGGCAATACCATCCGAGGACCAAACCTCCTTCGTGGGGAGCATCAGCTTTACTGAGATAACTCCCCTCAACTTTCAGCTCCTGGAGAGGTGACTAATCAGCCTGGTTTGCCCGAGATTGAGGAGAAGTGCCCTGGAACTCAGGACTTTTCTGAGTTAAAAGTGGGCGAGTCCCTGGCAAACCAGGACAGTTGGCTACTGCCACACTGGCAGACATCTTGAGCTCACAGCCAAGATGTGGCAGCCTCTACCTGACGCCACACACCTGTGGTCCACCCCCATCGACACTTCAGATGACGCGTGTGAGCCAACCAACCTGCCAGCAAATGTTTACTAGGCAAGAGTCACAGCATTCTCCAGTAGCTGGAAAGCAGGGAAAGGAAGCACAAAAATCAGTAAAATAAATATGCTTTCTGTCCTTAGGAGGCTTACAGTTTAATGAGGGAGACAGATACGCAAAGATGTTATTTCAGTATAAAATGTAATGTCTCTTTAAACTGCCTTCTCTAAAGATCCTAAATCAGCAAGCAACTTTTCTCTATCTTGGGTTTAATTATTTTAGCTGAATCAATCTGATCCAAATTGAATTTTTCCTAAAATGAACTTTTTTCTGATACAAATAAAATGTAGTAGGTTGAACAGTTACTTCCAAAGATATCAGGTCCTAATCTCAAGAACCTGTAAATGTTACCTTATTTGGAAAAAGAGTTTTTGCAGGTGTGATTAAGTTAAGGCTTTTGAAATAAGGAGAGTCTCATGGATTATCCAATATGTGTGTATGCATTCAGTTGTGTCCGACTCTTTGCGACCCCATGAGCTGTATAGCCCACCAGGCTCCTCTGTCCATTGCCTTCTCCAGACAAGAATACAGGAGTGCACTGCCATTTCCTTCTCCAGAGGATCTTCCTGACCCTGGGATCTAACCCTCATCTCTTGGGTCTCCGGCATTGGCAGGCAGATTCTTTACCACTAGCGCCACCTGGTGGGCCCTTAGAAGAGGGAAGCGGAAGGAGATTTGACACAGACCATGGTGGCTCAGAGGATAAAGCGTCTGCCTGAAATGAGGGAGACCTGAGTTTGATCCCTGAGTTGGGAAGATCCCCTGGAGAAGGAAATGGCAACCCACTCCAGTACTCTTGCCTGGAGAATCCCATGGACAGAGGAGCCTCGCTGGCTACAGTTCATGGGGTCGTGACCATGGAGGCAGAGACGTGGCCACAAGCCAAGGCATGCCAGCAGCCACCAGAAGCTGGAGGAGGCAAGAAACAGGTTTCCCCCCACAGACTCTGTAATGATCCATGGCCCTGCTGACACCTTGATATCAGCCCAGTGAAACTGATTTCAGATTTCTGGACTCTGAAACTGTGAGAGAATAACTTTCTGTTGTTTAAGCCACCAAGCTTGTGGTTTGTTACTGCAGCCACATAAAACTAATACATGTACTTAAAGGACATAAAAATCACGTGCTAACTCATCACTCAGACATAACTACTGTTAACCTGCTCACACTGAGCCCTAAAAGAAGGAATCTGCCTGGGGCTTCCCAGCACCAAAGATGAACACTGCCATCATTTCCTATTTATTGCATATACTGCTTTTTTCCATTTAACTTTGTACTGTGGCCAGCAAATAGTCTTCAAAAATATGACTTTTCACGGCTACACAGGACTTAAAACAATAGATTTATCATCATTTATTTAACCCTTTCCTTACTGTTGGACATGTAGATACTCCCCAATTTTGTTACTGTTACTACAGCAGTGAAATATTGGTAAATCAATTATTCATGTACACATCTGATTATTATCTTAGAATGGAGTCTGGGAATAGAATAACTGTATTTAAAAAATATGAGCATTTTAGGACTCTTGATAGTAATTTCAAATGACTTGCTAGATGTCCAGCCAATTTACACTTGCAATAAAACTATGACAGAGCCAGTGTCACCACAGGCTTGGCAACATGAAATACTAACATTAAAAAAAATTTTTTTTTAATATGAAAATACATTTTTTCTAATACATTTATACTTTTAAAATAACTATGTTTCTTTACAAACTGTCTATTGAGGTTTTTGCTCATTTGTTTAGCAGGGTGTTGTGTGTTTTTTCTTTTTTATTGATATGTAGGAGTTTTATATAATTAAAAAATATTCATCTCCTGTCATCCTTATTGTAAATGTTTTCCATAGTTGGTCATTCACCTTTTAATTTTGTTAATGTATTTTTAATGTAGAAAAATCTAATATTTATGTAGTTTAGTTTGTTAAATTTGTCTTTGGTGATTTATTTCCTTTGCTTTTGTTCTTAGAAAATCTTTCACCCTGAAATCTGTTAAATGGTATGAATGTAACTTGACTTCTCCCCTCTCCCAGCACTTAGCCAATTTTCCTAACATTGTTTATTGAATTGTTCCTTCATTAGTTTGGGATGTTTTCTGTATATCATATTAAGTTATTTAATACCTGAGCCTATTTAAGAGCTGTTAAATCTATTTTAAAAACAGTGTGGCAGGTCTGAGACAGAATGTTAAATCTTTACTTTCATTTACTATCTGTATAAACCCAGGCAAGAGTCACTTCAGCCCCAATTACTCATCTGTAAGAGACAGTAAAATCTGTTTCACAGTTATTTTGAAGATTGAATGTAATAAGCTTATCATATAGTAAGCACTAAGTAGCAGATATCATCATCATCATCATTACTTCATTAATATTTTTCTAATTCTATTATATTCTACTGAAATATTATTCTACTTCATCTGTGCAAGTAAGTTTAAATAAATCATTGTAAGAATGTGTGACAGTGTAATAGAGCTGTTCCCATGTCCCTGGAAAACGTTTGCTTATATTTTTATAATTCATCACTGTGATTTAGAGAAATGTACTCAACTATAAATTCAATGATAGTTAGTCACAAGATCCTACCTATGTAGAGTTCACCTGTCACAACAAAACATCTTTTATTTCTTAGTGTCCTTAAACTATGTTTAAATACAATGTTAAGTTCTCTTGAGATCTGATGACAAGTGGACAGTTACATTGCTTTGATATTTTCTGTTGCTGTGGAAGAAAGAATGATTAGCAATGTCAGGGAACAGAGGCAGAGAGAGATAAACATGGACTTTGTTTTGACTCTATAAACAAGATCTGAGAAGAAACTTCTATTTCTGAAGTGTCTAGACAAGAATTCCTATCTATCCCTAACTATCATAGAATTAAATTTAATTAAAATAGGTTGGACTCATTCAGCTATTTAACATGTGATGTTGTAGTCTTATTTAAGGATGAAACTATTATACTGTACTAAGATTAAAACTATGTAGAAAACAATAAAATCTTATGCACAAATTAAAACAATAAGATATTTTTTGGTTGATTGAGATTGGCAAACAATTTAGCAAATTAAGAATATTCAGTGTTATTCTTGTGTCTGCAGGAAAAAGAACATTCTTGTGTCTCTGCAGAACTTGGCAACATGTGACAAAATTTTAAATAAGATCCTTTTACTTAGTAAATGTACTTCGGTGATTTAAACAGAATAAAGTATAAGGATATATGTACAAAAATGTTTACTATAATGTTGCTTATAAAAGCAAAGTGTTAAGAAACAAAATGTCTAAATATCCATCAGTAGGAATCTGGTTTAAGAAATCACTGTGTATATGAGAGAATACCCTGTAAAAATAGTGTCTCTCTGTATTTTTTACCATGGTAGGATGGTCAAGTTGTTGAATTAGCACTGTTTCATAACATCAGAATGTATTGAATAGTACTGAGGAACAAATGTAGGGAGAGAGAAAGGGAGATAGAGACAGACAGACAGACAAGACAGATCTGTAAGAGTATCTTCTGAAATGTGAACAGCACTCATTAACTCCTATATAATTTCAAATTAAAGAACATTTATATGTCCAAAATAGGTTTATTACAAGAGATATAAGAAAGATTCTTTCCCATGGTAGGAGCCTTGGTCTGGTCCTTACCAATAATTGCAAGTCTTCCATAAACTTAATTTCAAACATCCCCTCTGACCACCCTACTCCAACAGTTTACTGATTTCACTGGGATGAATGATCCATTGATCTATTTTTTCATTGTTACCTGCCTTAGGCCCTCCTTTCTCTTCTTATCCAGACAAAATTCTATGGTCAATTATTTCAATCACTTGCTTGCACACACTCTGACCTCCCTCCCCTTCTTTTTCTAGCTGAGCCTCAACCTTGGTTAAACCCAACTCTTGACCTACTCAGCACCTCCCCCACCCCCATCACAGCCAAATGTTCAAGCCCTATTTTTAAGGTTGACACTACAAACATGCTCTAAGCATTTATTCTCCTTTTCCTGTGGGGGTGGGATTTGGTGATGATGCAACTGTTAGGTAGGCGTTCTGCTCTTGCCCATTCATCTTGCACCACCCAACTCACTGGCCCAATCTATACTCCCTCTTAGCTGCTTTTTCCAGAATCTTTTCTCTCCTCAGCTTTCTGACCTCTCTCTTGATTTCTGTTTGTTCTCTCTCCCCTCTCTACCCACCCACCTCTTTATATAGCTCCCAACAGAAACACAGAAGGAATAGCCTGAAATGAATTAACCATGGGGGTAGCATCTGAAGTCTCAGGTTTCTGTTCTGTTTGGGGATAGAGCGTGACATTGGGCCAGTCACTTCATTCTCTGCTTCTTTGTTTCCTTCTTATCTACTGACACACATTTGGTTACATAAATATGGAGATGGTTTAAGCTAGCTCATGCAAGCAAACAAACATGATTCTGAAAATTTAAGATAGGAAAGATATAGCAAACAGTCCCACCACCCTGCTTTCCTCACTATACCATCCAATTCCATCACCAAGATAAAGGCAACCAGCTGGTAAGTATTATTATTGTAATTTTAGTGCTGAAACTTTCTTTGGCTCATCCATGCATCCCACCCAGTAACTATAATGGAAATCCAAACACTTACCGTGAATTTCTCATAGAGCTCGTAAGTCAGGAGGGGGTTGGGCAGCTCCCGAAAGTAGAGCTTGCAGAGGGAGCCCACACAGTGGATGTCCTGGAGGTACACTTCCCTTGTCAGATCTGGACATTGATCTGAGCCAAACTCCTGCCTGAAACAACACAGACAGAGACATAACAATCCCAGGAACATGTGTTCCATGTCAGCAGCTACTTGGGCTGCTTAGAGGGTAAAAAGACCCTAAACTGCTGATCTGACCATATTTTTGACCTTGATTTAAAAAGACCTTCTATTCCAGGCCTAAGAAAGCTACAAAAGATTTCCACTTCAGGTCTGGATCTTCCCTGCAGAAGCTGCTGTAATGAGAAAGACATAATCCCATTTACGAATGGATTTCTCATGGCATTATGTCTGTAGTTTCAATCGTGAACAGTGAAGAAATATGAAAACAATTTTCCAAAAACCCTGTTGAGATTTCAGTTTTCCAAAATATTGTTCTAAATGAACTTCTCTCTCTTGGAGGAGAAACCAAACCCAGGGTGAGTCAGATTGTTATCATTCATGTCCACATATTCATGTCAGCCAACTTGTTTTATCTGGAGACTCAAACTCAAGGTCTGAGAACTTCAATCAACTCTCTCTTTGATACTTAGTGGAAACTTCTAGGCTGCCTGACAGTGACTCCCACAGGGCAAATAAGCTTATAAATATCTTCTTAAACAATCCATAGTGGGGTGTTTGAGAACCTCATCAGATTCCAGGCCTCATTTCTAACTGAAAAAACATTTCCTAGCATGATTAATGAATATACTGCCTCAAATGGTATATACTTGCAAGTTAAAAATTTATTTAAAAGATGATAAATCTGAGCATTAATACAGAAGAGAAGTTAGGTTTTTTGAGAGTATTCACTTGGTCAGACAAGAGGTGACAACGGCAACTGGACTCTCAAAATCAGCATCTGGAAACAGCTTGCTGCCCCTTCTCCTGTAGTCTGGTTCTGCCCCTTTAACAAAGAGAAGGGAAATCCCTGATGCTGTCAGAACCTGAAAAGAACTCTGTGAGGCCTTGAAAAGAAAACCATGCAATGGCCTCATAAATTCATAGGCATGTGTTTTTTTTACAAGGGCAGAACACAAACAACTTAGACCTTATTCATTTAGTTAGCCAAAAATTTCCCTTGTCAAGGCTAAGGTCAGCCTTAAGTGAAAAAGAATTGGCCATTGTCCAAGTGTCCTTCCACAATACCAACTACTGTGCAGTATGTTTCAGAGCTGAGAGTAAACCAACACTTGCTGTTGAAACTCTGAGAAATATCACATGAGTAAATTAGTGAACTGATGTAAGCACACAGATCTGTTAAAATCTACGGCTGCAAAAAACCAGTCATTTTTTAAATAGTTATCACTTTGCCAGGAGTAAAAAGGATGTTTTATTCCTGTGGTATAGTTTTATGACAAGTGAGATTTGAGGAGGAGGGGCAAAAAACAAAACAGGAGGAAGAATAAAAATTTGCACAATGTAAAATTTATATATTAATCTTGTAATAAGAATGTTTTATTTTAAAAGTCTACATTTGTAACTAAAGAATATGTAATAAATATATTAAAATGTATTCTTTTGTATTAAAGAACAATATCTAAAATACATAAACCTACGACTTTAGTCCTAGAACAGTATATATATTATATATAAAGTATATATTCTGTATATACACCTATGTGTGTGTGCTAAGTCGCTTCAGTCCTGTCCAGCTCTTTGTGATGCTGTGGACTGTAGTCACCAGGCTCCTCTGTCCACAGGCTTCTCCAGGCAAGAATACTGGAGTGGGTTGCCATGCCCTCTTCCAGGAAATCCTCCAAACTCAGGGATCGAAGCCACATCTCTTATGTCTCCTGCATTGGCAGGCAAGTTCTTTATCATTAGTGCCATTGTATATAATGGATATATTCTATATATACACTACATATACTACTTTTATTTTACAGCTATAATATCAATACATATTTGAAGATTATTGTCCTTTTAATTAAAAAAATTCTAGGATACATTTTAGAATTGTTTAGGATAAATCCATAGAATTGGAGATAGTTCCTCTATCAGTGATTTCAAAAATACAGGCATCAATTAGAAAAATGCACAATCATGCAGACTTCTGATTTTTCAACCAGATGAAATTATCAAATGTTGAGTGTGTGTCAACAGAAAAACTCACATTGACCTCTAAGTTCTGAATACCGTGTAACGGGGATCTGAGCTTTGGATAGGCAAGTGAGTAATAATAAATCATTTTTTCCCAACTTGTAATTTAAATCATTTGAGTTCAGCCGAATCCACCTAAGAAGAATAGATCTGGTGCAAGACATAGGAACAGATTAAAAGCCCTCAGGAGTTTCTGTTGGAAGGAATTACATCAGATTGGAGAGCTTCCTGATTAGATTAAGAACAGTTAGGCATCTGAAAACATTAGCAATTGATCTTGTGCCCTGACATCCTTCCCTCAACCCCTTCAGTTTTTAGTACTCCCAACACCTGCAGATAGACGTATGGACAGAGCAAGGATCATGGGAGAATTCTCTGGGGGCGATTCTTGGACTTACCTTAGCCGTTGTATGTTTGAGGTGACTCCTGAAAGACGATAAATTCCATCCACGATGCCGTGAGTCTCTATAAATTCTGCACAGCTCTTCAATACATATGGAACTATGCAAAGGAAAAGAAAAAAGCATTAGGTTTAAGTCTGACTGTCTTTTAGAGATAGGCTTTTAAAAATCCAGGTAACTTCAAAGAGAAGTATGGAACGCATATGAGTTACAAGTGGAAACAATTACGTTTAAATGGAAGATGATGTTCTTTGGTATTTAAAAAAAAATCATAGGGTTTTGTTAAAGTTGGAAAATGTGTGTGTTTTAAGAGTTAGGTCTTAAAGAATTTGAAAAATATGCAAACACTTGGATTTTTGAAACCAGAAGTGACCTTGGAAATCCCACAGCTCAGTCTCATTTCACTGATTCTCCCAGTGTGGTCTCCTGACCAACAGCACCAGCCTCTCTTCAGAACTTGTTGGGAGTGCAGATTCCCAGGCCCCACTCCAGACCCACTGAATTGGAAATTCTAGAGGTGGTGCTCAGCAAACTGTGTTTTAAAAAGCCTTCCAGGTGACCTCTGTGATAAAATTAGAGAACTCTTGCCTATGCTACACATGAGGAAGCCAAGGGGCAGGTAAATTTATTTACCTCACTTAAGAGTACTTGTTGCTTGCAAAACGTAATTAACATATGGAAAAATGCTTATGATGTATCTATTTACCTATGATGTAGATAGGTGAAAGAAAAACAAGGCACAAAATCAAATATATGTTGTGAATTCAGCTATATTTAGAAAACTGCAAAAGAAGAAAAGACTGGAAGAATATTTGCCAGAATGTTAAAGGTGATTTAAAAGTTAAAGTGTTGTTTTTTTTTTTAAAGGTGAGAACCACCCCCCACTTCACCACCACCAAATGGGTCAAAGAGTCATTGATTGAATGGACCTCATAAAAGGGACCAACATGGCCTGTTGAACTCCTGCCACTCCATAAGTCCAGTGTCTGGGTAGAAGGGTCTGGCTGTGCTGTTCTCCCCTCAGGGCTGGACCTGATCAGCCCAGCCAGCTCAGTGACCTAGAATGGAAGTCACAGGCCCTCTGGATGGCATGGAGAGAGTGGCAAGTCACTTGCCACTTTGGTCCTTGGGCAGATCCACCTGAGGTCCCTCTATGAGCGTTCTGTGGATGGTATGGAACTACTAAAGCCTTGGGTGCTGAAGTCTTCCGGCATAGAGGTAGGGTGGAAATTCCATTACTGCGCTGTGCTCACTCCCCCAAAACATACACAATCCATTAATATCTTAGATTAGACTAATACCAATCCATCAGTGCTTAATGCACTTGATCACACCTGCACACAATTCCAAGCTGGACTGAAACTTTACATGAGTAGATACTAGGCATTCAGACTCAACATTCTTCTTGGATTCTCTATTACAACACTTTACACACAACTCCCCCACCATTTCAACTACTAATCATTTTAGATGCTAAGTAAAACTCATCATACTTACCATATCCCACCCATCTTTCAAAGACCATGCATCTCTAGAGCCTTTCCCCTCCAGGACACACCCATGTTTTGTCCCTGTCATTCATGACCAACTTACCTCAGGTGGAAAGAGGGCAGGAAGTGAACTTGCGGTTGGAACTTTTTTTTTTTAAGTTGTTTCAAAGTAGTTTATTTAGGGGTTCCATTTTCATTCCTCAAGTGGTTTTTGCCATATACTGACATGAATCAGCCATGGATTTACATGTGTTCCCCTTCCTGATCCCCCCTCCCACCTCCCTCTCCATCCCTTCCCCCCGGGGTCTTCCCAGTGCACCAGCCCTGAGCACTTGTCACATGCATCCAACCTGAGCTGGTGATCTGTTTCACCCTTGACAGTATACTTGTTTCAATGCTATTCTCTCAGAACATCCCACCCTTGCCTTCTCCCACAGAGTCTAAAAGCCTGTTCTGTACATCTGTGTCTCTTTTTCTGTTTTGCATATAGGGTTATTGTTACCATCTTTTTGTTGTTGTTGTTGTTACCATCTTTTAAAATTCCATATATATGCAGTAGTATACTGTAATGGTCTTTATCTTTCTGGCTTACTTCACTCTGTATAATGGGCTCCAGTTTCATCCATCTCATTAGAACTGATTGAGGCCGGAGACCACAGAGGTGGAACTACTCCCGGTGAATGAATACAGGGTGGGAGTGGGGTGTGGTACATGAGGGGCTGTGAGTGTGGGCTGGGGTCCAGAGTCTCTGCCTGGCTTCAAGCTGAAGAGCTTTACTTTCATATATTTTATGAAAAAGGTTCTTGGTGAGACTTTTGTCTCCTACCCTTGTGCCTCTAAATATATTTTATAAATAAATAAGTAAATGGCAAACAGAGTTCCAATGCTTAAAAAATTTGTCTTGTTTAAAAACAGATCCCTATTGTGCACAACAGGTTGACTTTTTCCACCACACCAAGCTGCTGTTCTATAACCTGCCACAGGTGGTCACGATGGAGACCAGGTTTGGACTCCTAAGTGCCTTTTGTAACCTCGGGCAAAATATGCAGTAACTCTGTTTCTTAATTTCCACATCTGCAAAATGAGGATAACAGTGATATTAACCTCATAGCTAAGACTGAAATAATACTTGTTAACACTTAGCACAGACCCTGGAATACAGTATGCATTCTACAACGACAGTTGTTTCTGTTTGAAGTTTCTGTATGATGTAAGTTTATCATTTGTGAGATGCAGTATTGGCGAAAACAGTGTACTACCCTCCCATCTGGTAGACAGTGGGGCAGAGCTGACCAACTGCTTACAAGTTCACATTCACCTCCACTATGCGGAATGGGTTTTGCATCTGTCTATGGTTCAGTGTCTCTATTTGAAGTGATTCTGCTCACCTAATGCCACTTTTCTTTGCACTGAGGTATATCTTCATAAAATAAAGGCAGGGGCACCCAACAGGGTACATATTTTGTTAGATTTCTGAACTATGCTTGCCCTTGATGTGTTTCTCACTGTGTGTCCGTACCAAGGAATATGGCTGTTGCAGGGCACAGGTGGTTGAGAGCTTGGGGACAGTCCCAAGGAGGACTCAAAGACAAAAGCCTCAGCCTCGAAGGGCCTTTATACAGAAGGGCGGGGCAGGGTCACAAGTCTGTCCTATCCCCTTCTCTAAGAGCCACCTCCCAGCACCAGGGCACTCCGCCACAGCCCCTCAGGCTCTGCTTGTTTTCAAGGTGAGAGAAACACGTTCCCGGATGGAGCCTCTGCCATAAATTTACTCTGGCTTCAGTACAGAGGCCCTAGAACCTCTCGTCCACAGCTCTGTTTAAACAGGAGGCAATTTTAAAACAATCCAAGGGAAAAGGTCCCAGTCACTGAGGAGTGTTGGCCTTCCTGGATTCTCGCCTCAGGTCAAGTTGGAAGACGCACTAATTCTCCATCATGCACAGTGAATGGAAAGGAGCCACTTGATCTCTGTAACCATCCAGCTCTAGAGCCAGAGCAGAGCACTTCTCAGACTGTGGTCCCGAAGAGGGCCAGCAGCAGTAGCTGCCTCCCAAGTGCCTCAACGCTGAAGCTGAAGAATCGCTGTCTAGACCAGTGATCCTCATTTTTTAACACTGATACAACCCCCTGGGATCTTGTGAACATGCAGATTCCAATGGGAGGGTGGGAGTCAAGAATCTGCCTTTCTGACAAATTCCCAGGTGATTCAGATACAGCCAATCTGTAGCCCTTGCTCAGGGTAGCAATGCTCTAAAGGTAATACTGACCAGTGGTATTTCAGGGGCTTACTAAGAGTTTAGTCTCAAAGTCTCAGAATTCTTTAGACTATTGTTCCTGGGGTCCAATAAAATTGGGGACAACCTAGGATTCTGGACAGGATAAAAGCTTGAAGCAAAATAGCTGAGTAGTTAAGAGACGGAAAGAAAGCGTCCATTGTCTATTTAGGTTGCCGTTGGAGGTTGGAGTCACAGAGCTAGTTTTGTGGGATTTACCATGGACCCAAAGAACTTCAAGTCTCCTCCTACAGAGGGGCACACAGTTGCTGATTATGATATAATGCTGTAACTTCTTCTAATTGTTGCACTGATGGTTCTCTAAGTCATTTTCTTGTTTTGTTTTTCCTGGATCAGCGATCTTAAACGTTAAATTTTAATCTGAGTACAAAATAAATCTTGAGGTGGTTTTTTATGATGAAAAAGGGCACTTTGATTTACGCTTTACAGTTTACAAAATGTTTTAAAGTCCTTTGTTTCATTCGATCCAACTTGGTATAACTAAAAGACATTGTATACTTGTAAATAAATGTGGGGGTACTTTCCTCAATTCTCAACCTCTTCAAGGGTTTAGGGAAGAAAAAGCCAGCAGTCAAATCATTTCTTTGACTCGCCCCCAGAATGTCTGCTAAGCTACCCCAGCTCCCTGCATGGCCAGGATCTAACCAGATCTGGCGATGGAAATTGGAAAAAGCACAGTTTTATTTGGTCAGTTATGTGGTCTTGGCAGCCACATTCTTTCATAATACAAACTGCATTTGTGTTTTAGAGAAACATGGCACTTCTCCCTCCCCATTCTGGATTTTTGTTAAGGTCTTGGGCTGCTCAGATTTCATTTCCTCTCTGGGGGCTGCATCCTTAATCTTCAAAGTAAAGTCTAGTGGTGCAAACACACAATGGACTACTACTCAACAATAACTAAGAATGATATAGCATATGGGTGACAGAAACCAGACTACAGAAGAGTACATACTATATGATTCCATCCACACAGAACTGGAGAAAATGCAAACCAATTTCTAGTGGGAGAAAGCAGGGAAGAGGCAGGACTGCAGAGGGGCTGAGAACACTTGGGGCATGATGGATACATTCATCATCTTGATTGAAGTAATAGAAAAGACCAAGGATCACTGGTGGATAAAGAACTGATACTTGCAGAGGGAAAGGTAAAGAGAGACAAGCGGCTAAACAGGGAAGAAAGCTTTGAGACTCGTCTGCTGGGCACAGGGGAGGAAGGGAGGGAGGGCTTCAAGTAGCTCTGCTGTGCTGTGAATGAGCCCGCTCTACAAGGGCAGTTTTTCAAGAGATGAAATAAAGATTTAAATCACTTTTCTATT